TCTTCTCTTCCTTCCTTTTCTTTCCTTCCTTCCTTTCCTCTCTCTTCCCTAACTCCCTTCCTGTCCCTTTCTTTCTCTTTCCTTTCTCTTCCTTCCTTCCTTCTTTTTCTTGCTTCTTTCTCCCTTCCTCTGTCCATCTTTCTTTCTCTTTCTTCTCTTCCGTCCTTTTCTTTCCTTCCTTCCTCTGTCCCTTCTTTCTTTCCTTCCTTCCTTCCTTTATTTCTTTCTTTCCTTTTTCTTCCTTCCTTTCTCCCTTCCTGTCCCTTTCTTTCTTTTTCTTTTTCTTTCTTTTTCTCTTCCGTTCCTTCCTTTCCCCACCCTTTCTTTCTCTTTTTTCTTTTCCTTCCTTCTGTCTCCTTTCTTCCTCCCTCCCTCACTCTTTTTTCTTTCCTTCCTTCCTTCTTTCCTTCCTTCCTTTCCTTCCTTCCCCTCCCTTTCTCTCTCCCTCTCTTTTCTTTTCCTTCCTTCCTTCCATCTCTTTTCTTCCTCCCTCCCTCTTTTTCCTTCCTTCCTTCCTTCCTTCCTTCCTTCCTTCCTTCCTTCCTTCTTTTTCATTTCTATAGCCCCCCCGCTAAATCTCGGCAAACGACTGAGCTTCTCAAAATTTAATTTAGAAAAGCTGTAAACAGCCTGGCAGCTTTTAAGAGTTTTGGAAGAATCTTTCTTTTAAAAAAAGTTCCCCAGCGCTACAAACATCACCAAATGGGACTCTGGAGACAGAAATGTCTCCAGATGAGACCCCCAGTGAGAAAAGACCCCCCACCTCCATTCCCAGCAGCTGACATAGAGGTAGACTGGTCCTGAAAGTGGAGGCTCCACCAAGCCAACGTGACCAAGAGCCCTCGCTTGACTCATCCGATGCTCACTCGTTTTAAGGTGGCCCAATGAAGCGGCTCAGCCCTGACCCCTAAATAGAGGTGATTTCGGGGTTCATTTTGTTGGAGTGCTCGGATCTCGAACTCGTGACCAGGCTGCACATTTTTACCAGGTGCCGAGACCGTTGGGCACACGGTGTCCTTCTCGGCTGGCTGCATCATTAATGTTTAGCGTCTTTACAAAGCCTGAGATCTTGCATCACTCGTTCTGGGCTTCGGAGTCCCATCTCTCCAGATCCTGGGGACCCCTCCCTCCCGTTTGCGCACACAAACACACAACCCCACAATCACACAGGGTCTACCACATCCCACCCCCCCATCAAAGCTCACAGCCACCTTCCCCAACCTGCTACTCTGCATTGGATGCCAGCCAAGCCAGGGAGCGATGGGAGTTGGAGTCTGAGACACACACATGCCCCCACTCCCACATCACAAGCAGGCTCAGTTGTGTGCGACCTTTCGCACACACAAAAGTTGTGCTTCGTCAGATGTGGCCGGGAAGGATCAGCGCCCGGAGGGGCCTTGCCGAGATGAGAGCCAGCCATACAAGCCCTCTGAGCAACCATCACAAACCTACGCACCACACGGACCCACAACTCATTCTCGGGAATAAAAAGAGCCAAAGGACCAAAAGAGGAAGCAAAACTCACACATTTGATGTTTCTTTGTGCGTGTTTTTGTTTCTGTATTTGCTGTACGAGGCTCGGAGTCGCTTCTTATGGGCGTCCGTATAAATCTGAAATAAAATAAAACGCTAAAAAACTTAACAAGTTAATAAATTTATTTATTAGTTCAATTTATATGCCACCTTTCTCCGGAGACTCAGGGCGGCTAAATGGAAAAAAAGAATAAATAAAATAAAGCCGAACAATAAGATGAAAGCATTAAATGTAATAAGAAACAACAAATATAACAAACTAAATATAAATAAATAAGAATAAATAAGATAAATAGGAAGTCCTTCAATAAATAAAATGAGGTAGAAATAAAGAAATAAAACAAAATAAAAGCAAATTAAATGTAATGGCAATAAACAATAAATATAATAGCAAAATAAAACAATGAATTAATCCATAAAATAAAGAGTTGTTAATTGAATAAAGATATAGAAATAAAGATATAAAAAACATTAAATAGAATAATAAAGAGTAGATATGACAAAATACTGAATTAAAATAAAGATACAGTAATTAAAGAAAGAAAAATATCTAAAGAAAAATAACAATAAAAGAATAAACAAAAGAAGGCTGCTGAGGATGATGGGAGTTGGAGTTGCAGGGGTATGGGGAGGTGAAGGGTCTTCAGAGGGAGCCCAGCTGGACTACCTGATAAATATGGGGGGGGAGGCCAAGTCCCTCCCAGCGGCCAGCTGTTCGTTCCCCCTTATTTAGCATGGGGGGGGTCTCACATTAAGGAGGACCCTCAGACTGGGGGACCCACTTCCTTGGTTTGATAAGAGGCTGGCTGGCAAATTGGGGGGGGGGGCTTTGCAAGTGGGGAGGGAGTTTTAAAGGGAAGGGGTGGAAACCCTCTCTTGGGGGGGGCTGACAGGGCCAGAGGAAAGGGGAGTCCTGGGGGAAGGGGAAAAAGACAGGGCCACGACTGTCTGACTCAGCTGCCCCCTTGGCCCTCTTATTTTATTTTTATTTTATTTTTTTTATTTCCAATTTATATACCGCCCTTCTCCCTGAGGACTCAGGCGGTGTACAGCCAAAATAAGAACATAAAATACAAATATTAAAAAACAGTTAAAATATATATAAATTTGGCCCAGAAGTTAAAAAATCACAAACCGATTAAAACAATCTTGAGGGGGCTCCGATGCCACCCACCCACCCTGGGGGATTTGCACCCCTGGCTCCCTTGTGCACAGTAGCAGGGAGATGCCTTGTTGTGCGAAATTATGCACAACCCAGAAGGATAGAAAAGGGACCCTCAACTAGATTCCTTCCTTCCTTCTTTCCTTCCTTCCTTCCTTCCTTCTTTCCTGTTCTTTCTCTCTCCTTCCTATCTTCCTTCCTTCCCCCATTCCTTCCTTCTTTCCTTTCTCTCTCCTTCCTTCCTCCTCCTTTCTTTCTTTCATTTCCTTTCCTTCCTATCTTCCTTCCTTCATTACTTCCTTCTTTCCTTTCTTTCTCCTTCCTTCCTTCTTTCCTACCTCTCTTCTTCCTTCCTTTCCTTTTTCTCTCCTTCCTATCTTCCTTCCTTCCTTCTTTCCTTTCCTTTCCTTCCTATCTTCCTTCCTTCCCCATTCCTTCCTTCCTTCCTTTCTCCTTCCTTCTTTCCTCCCTTCTTCTTTCCTTCCCTTCCCTTCCTATCTTTCTTCCTTCCTTCTTTCCTTTCCTTTCCTTCCTATCTTCCTTCCATCATTCCTTCCTTCTTTCTTCCTTCCTTCCTTTCCTTTCTACCTTCATTCCTTCTTTCCTTTCTCTCTTCTTCCCATCTTCCTTCCTTCTTTCCTTTCCTTTCCTTTCCTTCCTATCTTCCTTCCTTCTCTCATTCCTTCCTTCTTTCCTTTCTTTCTCCCCCCTCCCTCCCTCCCTTCTTCTTTCCTTTCCTTTCCTTCCTATCTTCCTTCCTTCCTTTTTTCCTTTCTTTCTCCTTCCTTCCTCCTTCTTTCTTTCTTTTCCTTTCCTTCCTATCTTCCTTCCTTCTTTCCTTTCTCTCTTCTTCCTTCCTTTCCTTTCTCTATCCTTCCTTCCTTCCTTCCTTCCTTCCTTCCTCCCTCCCTCCCTTTTCCTTTCCCCTCCCTCCCTCCCTCCCTCCCTTCTATCCCGCCTTTATTAATGTCCCCTTCTTCGGTGATCTTTTTCAATCCACCCAACTTGAAGATGGGCGGACTTCAACTCCCAGAATTCTGGCTGGGGAATTCTGGGAGTTGTAGTCCGCCCATCTTCAAGCCATCAAGGTTGAGAAACCCTGACCTGCTTCCAATTTACAGTGCATTTTTTTTAAGCAAATTGTACACTCTGGAGAGAAATAATATTGACAGAGCAAAGGTCCCGTGGGGAGGGATTGTGGGGGGGAGGACAGAAGTGGCCGCACTGCTTACTCCTACAGGCTGGTCCAGCCCCCTCAGGCCAGCCCTGCTTTCAGAGCAGCCGGGCAGGGTGGGTGGGGAATGGATTTGGTGACGGATCTTTGCGGTGCCCAAACTTTGCCCGGGATAGCCTTCTAACCAAGCTTGGGTGAGCAGAGGGATCTGGTTGCCAGTGGCCTGCAAGATCCACGAAGGAAGAGGAGGGGGTGCAGGGCAGCATGGCGACTTCGGTGGTCAAGTGAGTAGCCAGGACGTGGTCAGGAGCTTCCTCCCCTGAGTCCCAAGGAGAGCGATGCCGTGGGGTGATTAACAGAGTGGGAAGGGACCTTGGAGGTCTTCTAGTCCAACCTCCTGCTCAAGCAGGAGAACCTACACCATTCCAGACAAGTGGCTGTCCAATATCTTCTTAAAAACCTCCATTGATGGAGCACCCACAACTTCTGGTGGCAGGCAGTTCCACGGGTGAATTGTCCTCGCTGTCAGGAAGTTTCTCCTTAATTCCAGGTTGCTTCTCTCCTTTATTAGTTTCCATCCGTTGTTTCTTGTCCTGCCTTCTGGGGCTTTGGAGAATAGGGGGACCCCCTCCTCTCCTTTGGGGCAGCCCCTCAAATACTGGAACTCTGCTCTCATGCCACCCCTGGTCCTTCTTCTCATTTGACTGGACGTGCTCTAACTTGGGAGTTAACAGACTAACAGAGTTGGAGGGGACCTTGGAGGTCTTCTCATCCAACCCCCTGTTCAACCAAGAGACCGTCTGAATACTCAGCAATGGCCGTAAATGTGGAAAGTGTCATAAATCACTTTTTTTTTCAGTGCCTTTGTAACTTCAAACCGTCACTAAATGAATGGTTGTAAGTTGAGAACTAGCTGTATAGTAAAATGACCCTTGGCAGTTTACAGCTGAAGAGGAGACGTTGTATTGGGGGGGGGGAATGTTGGGTTGTTTCTCTTCAGACCAGCATTCTCAATCATGGCCACTTGAAGATGGGTGGACTTCAACTCCCAGAATTCCCCAGCCAGCGCAAGCCCCTTCCCCATTGCCCCCCCTACAATTTCTCCCACCCATCTCTGCCCCTTTTCCCCAGCATGGAAGCCTCCGAGGCCCCCACGACGCCCGAGATGTACGAGAACTTCCAGTCTGCAAATGTGGAGAAGGAATACGAAGCAGACTTTGAAAAAGGTACCTGGAAGCGGATTCGAATCATACACCGGATGATTTTGGGTGGGTGGGGGGAAGACATGGGTTGGTGGGGTGGGAACCTGGAGACCTCCTCCCTTGGGGGAGCCATGTCGTGGTCCTGAGGAGGGGTCAGGGGGCTGTGGCTTCAAGTCCAGAAGGTGGAAAGGGCTTCTCAGAGATTCTAGCACCTCGTTTCCCTGGGGGAGAGACCCCCACCCTGCAAATGTCCATTTCTGGTCCTCGAAGGATGGGTAGGGGGTCTTCAGGCCATCCTTCTCTTTGCCCAGACTTCCCGTTGTCGAAGTCCTTCCCCCAGCGTGTCTGTCCCACCAGCCGGCTCCTTCTGGTACTGATGGTGTTCTGTGGCGTTCTGATCCTCTCGGTCAGCATCCTGGGCATTCAAGGTGAGTGTGTCACACGAACAAGCTGGGACTTGTGGGTTGTGCGAGGCCCTAGGGAGGAGGAAACGCCAGGCAGACCCGGAGATGGAGAACGAGCGTGCAAGATGGGAAGTAAAAGAAGGAGAGAAACGTGGATTGGTCCGTGTGAAATCCAAAGCTGCTGGAGTCTAAGGGATGGAAATGCAGGAAGACACTGTGTTTAGTTTTCGGGTGTTGTAGGATCTGGCCAAAGCTGGAGGGGCTGTTGCATGTCATCTAGTCCCACCCCACCTACAGGTAGTCCTCGATTTACAACCATAATTGAGCCTGTAGTTTCAGTCATAACTGAAAATGGGAAATGAAGAAGAGAAACGTGGATTGGTCCATGTGAAACACAAAGCTGCTGGGATGGCTATAAAGGCAGGCAACCACTGTGTTGTTTGTTTTAACCTGAGTTTTGGGTGTTGTCGGAATAGGCCAAAACTAGAGGGCTGCCCCACATCATCCAGTAGTCCCACCCCAACTACAGGTAGTCCCTGATTTACAACCGTAATTGAGCCCACAGTTTCAGTCGTAACTGAAGACGGGAAGGAAAGAAGGTTTTGTCAGAATAGGCCAAAGCTAGAGGGCTTTTCCACATCATCCAGTAGTCCCACCCCCATCACAGGTAGACCTCGATTTACAACTGTAATTGAGCCTGCAGTTTCAGTCATAATTGAAAATGGGAAAGAAGAAGAGAAACGTGGATTGGTCCATGTGTGAAGCCCCCACAGACACCTCCTATGGAATGGCAATAAATTCAGGCAATTGCTGTAGGGTTTTTTTTGTTTTGACCTGGGTTTCGGGTGTTGTAGGAATAGAGAGAATAACAGAGGGAGGTAAGGTTACTGGTTGCCCCCCCCTCCCTCGGCTCTGCTTCCTCCCTCCCCCTCTCTGTTCCAGGTGTCCGGTTCACCCAAAGCCTCCAGGGCACCCAGAAGGGGGTGCAGAATCTTACCCAGACGGTCCAGCAGGAGGTCACCAACCTCCAGGCCAAAAGTAAGGAGCCAGAGGGGGCGAGAAGCAGCATGCCAGCACCCCACCCCTTCTTCCCCCACCCAGCCCCATCCCTGGGGCTCCATTTTCCCAGGTGGGATAGGCATCCACTGGGGGGCACTTGTTGGAGAATGGGGGGCAAGCTTTCTCTTGGGAGGGTCGTAAGAAAGGGAGGTTGCTGGTGCGATTCCCGCCAAAGAAGGGGCCCTCCTTCTCCCAAAGTCCTTGGCTCTAGAACTCTTGGGGGACCGTGGGAATGGGCCCCACTCCAACCGGACCCTCCTTCTTGTCTTCTTTAAGGGAACAGCACCAGGACGAGACTGGCTGAGCTGGAGAAAACTATGCAACAGGAGAACGATAAGCTGTTCAAAGGTCAGCATTTTTCTCCCCGGAAACAGCCTTCTTCCAGCTGGGGTGTAGTTGTTGTAGGGGGGGGGACTTGGGGTCCCTACGGAGGAATAAGGGATGCTTGTTGTTGCCTTTCTCCAGTCTCAAAATCCCTGGCAAGAGAAAGAGGACACAACCGCTGCAGTCAACGTCAGGAGAGGATTCTAGCAATTCTTTATTAAAAGGCAGCTGCTTTCATGAGCCAGCTCAACTGGCAGCTGCAGCCAACCAGGCAACCTGTCTCCCCCTCCCTTTCTTTCCCCCTCCCCAATTGAATCCCCTCCATCAGCCCAGCCTCTCCAAGCACCAACGAAGGGAGTTGTTGCTGTCGCAGCTTCTCATTAAAGCACCCGCTTCTGAATCAAATGCTTTAGTGGGTTTTTTGGAACCGTGGATTAACACGGTGTTTTTCAAACGTGGCCACCGGAAGATGGGTGGACTTCAACCCCCAGAATTCTCAAGAACTCTCCCAGAATTCCCCAGCCAGCATGCCCCCGTGAAGGGAGCTGCTCACGCTTATGAAAGCAGCTGCCTCTGAATCAGATGCCTCAGTGGGGGTTTTTGGCACCCCAATTAACACGGTGTTTTCCAAACTTGGACACTGGGAGATGGGTGGAATTCTGGGATTTGAACTTGGGGTTCAAACTTTCCACTTGTCAAGTTTGAACTAGAGAATTGAGATATCTGATTGGGAATGTTTTAACAGCGGCTAGAATTGTGTTTGCTAAAAATTGGGAAAACGAGAAAGTACCAACTCAAGATGAAGTTACTAGGAAGATTATGGAATGTGCTGAAATGAGTAAATTGACATTTGAAATTAGAGAAGAAGAAGATAAACAATATTATAAGATATGGGATTTATTTTATCTATGGCTAGATAATAAAACCTGGAAATGAAATGAATGAAATGAAGCCAGGAGCCTGGATAGCTCAGCAGACTAATGCATTGTAATTTAACTCCAGCTGTCTGCAATTAGTAAGTTCGAATCTCACCAGGCTCAAGGTTGACTCAGCCTTCCATCCTTTGTAAGGTAGGTAAAATGAGGACGCAGATTGTGGGGGTAATAAGCTGACTTTGTATAAAATATACAAAAGTATGAAGGGTATTGCTTAATTCATTGTAAGCCGCCCTGAGTCTCCGGAGAAGGGCGGCATATAAATCAAATTTAAAAAAAAAAAAAATGAAACATGAAATGAATTTTATAACTATAATATTTGAAAATAATTTTTATGAAGCGATAAAGCCCTGGTTAAATAAAGGATAAATGAGGATACTTATTTGTTTGATATATGAGAAATTAGATAATTATTAAATTTTGAATATGGGGATGAAGCACAAAAGACTTGCAACCGATAGACACACTGTTTGCAATTGTAATGGATGATGGATTGGTGTTTTAGGTTTTGTTTTAAAATTCAAAAAAAAATTCAAAAAAAAAAGTTTGAACAACACTGGACCACCCACAAGGTCTGCCACTGAGATGGGTAGCATCAGGGCAAGGACGGGGGTCTTTCAGGGATAGGGATGGGCTTCGGTTCTCCTCTTGGGATCCTGCCGTGTTTGGGTGAAACTTCTTTCTACTTTTCTTGCTCTTCTTCCAGTGATGGTACAGGTAGAGATTCAGCTGGACACCCTCGAAAAGAATTCCAGAGCTTTGCACTGTGAAATTATCGAAATGAAGAGCAATGGTAAAAAAAAGAGAGCCAGATTTTCTTTCTTTTCTTTCTCTCCTCTCCTCTCCTCCCCTCCCCTCATTTATTCTTCTCTTCTCTTCTCTCCTCTCCTCTTCTCCTGTTGTCTAGTCTTTTATTCTTCTATTCTATTCTATTCTATTCTATTCTATTCTGTTCTATTCTATTCTATTCTTCTCTTTTCCTCTCTCCTCTCCTCTCCTCTCCTCTCCTCCCCTCATCTCCTCTCCTCTCTTCTCTTGTTGTCTAGTCTTTTATTCTTCTATTCTATTCTATTCTGTTCTGTTCTGTTCTGTTCTGTTCTGTTCTGTTCTGTTCTGTTCTGTTCTGTTCTATTCTATTCTATTCTATTCTATTCCCCTCTCCTCTCCTCTCCTCTCCTCTCCTCTCCTCTCCTCTCCTCTCCTCTCCTCTCGCCTCCCGTCTTCTAGTCTTTTATTCTTCTCTTCTTCTCTTCTCTTCTCTTCTCTTCTCTTCTCTTCTCTTCTCTTCTCTTCTCTTCTCTTCTCTCCTCTTCTCCCGTCATCTAGTCTTTTATTCTTCTATTCTATTCTTCTCTTCTCTTCTCTCTCCTCTCCTCTCCTCTCCTCTCCTCTCCTCTCCTCTCCTCTCCTCTCCTCTCCTCTCCTCTCCTCTTCTCTTCTCTTCTCTTCTCTTCTCCCATTGTCTATTCTTCTCTTCTCTTCTCCCATCATCTATTCTTCTCTTTTCTTCTCTTCTCTTCTCTTCTCTTCTTTCCTCTCCTCTTCTCTCCTCCCGTCTAGTCTTTTATTCTTCTATTCTATTCTTCTCTTCTGTTCTCTTCTGTTCCCTTCTGTTCTCTTCTTTTCTCTTCCCCCGTCATCTATTCTTCTCTTCTCCTCTCTTCTCTTCTCTTCTCTTCCCTTCCCTTCCCTTCCCTTCCCTTCCCTTCCCTTCCCTTCCCCTTTCCTCTCCTCTCCTCTCCTCTCCTCTCCTCTCCTCTCCTCTCCTCTTCTCTCCTCCCTTCATCTAGTCTTTTATTCTTCTTCTCTTCTCTTCTCTTCTCTTCTCTTCTCTTCTCTTCTCTTCTCTTCTTCTCTATTGGAAGGCTGCTATCATGCCCCCCCCCCCACCCCCCAATCCTTCTTTTCTCTAGACTGGCCAAACCCAAATCCTGCAACCGTTCTTTTGTCTGTTTTAGTCTCCAGGCCTTTGATCCTCTTAGTTGCTCTTCTCTGCACTTTTTTCCAAAGTCTCAACTTCTTTTTTTTTGGCTCTGACGCCCTGATCTTTTCTCTCCCCCACCCCAAACCCCCCCCAGGCAGCAAAAGTGGCTGCTGCCCCCGAGGCTGGGTGAACTTTCGCTCCAGCTGCTACTGGACCACCCAGTCCACGGACACCTGGCAGGGGGCCAAAAAAGACTGCGAAGATAAGAAAGCCCACCTGGTCATCCTCAACTCCGCCGATGAGACAGTAAGTGGGCCGGGCTATTCCCTGGGACTCCAGCAGGGGGCAGGAGAGAGGGCAGCCCTTCCTCCCACGCTGGCTTTGCCATGTTCCGCCCTTACAGCCAGTCCTTGACTTACAACGGTTTGCTTAGTGACTGTTCAAAGCGACTTCGGCACCGGAAAGAGCGATTTACGACCGTTTCTCACCCTTACGACCGCTGCAGCATCCTTGCGGGCACACAATCCCAATTCGGACGCTCGGCCATTGGCTCCGATTTATGACGGTTGCAGCGTCCCCAGGGGTCGCCTGATCCCCTTTTGTAACCTTTTGACCAGGTTCACTTAACAACCACGTTCTTAATTCACTTAGCAACCGTGGGAAGAAAGGTCGTAAAATGGGGCAAAATTAACTGAACGGTTGTCTCGCTTAGCAACGGAGATTCGGGGCTCAGTTGTGGCGGTGAGTCACTCGTGTTTTCTCCCGCCAGGACTTTGTGAAGCGCCACAGACAGGGAAGTAACACCTGGATTGGCTTGACCGACTCCAGCGGGGACTGGAAGTGGGTGGACGGATCGGCCTACAGCGTGGACCCAAAGTGAGTCCAGTCGACCGTTGGCTCTCTCCCCCCCCACACACAGGGAATTAAAATTAGCCCCCCCCCCCATTTTTACCAGGAGACTCATTATATTTTATCATCATCCTCATTTAATGACCCCTACTGAATGGAGCCGAGGGTTTTACTGGCCGGATGCCCTTCTTGTCGCCAGTGAGGAGTTTTGTTCCGCAGATACATTCTCAGTGTGCCCAGAGGGAGAGAAAGATTAACGAATATGAACTCTGTTAATCTCTTAAAGCTGTTTGTGAGGCCAGGGCACCACCCTACCCGTTCTATTTTATGCCACGGATAAAACAATGGCATCTATTTTCATGGGGGCACAAAATGCCTCCGGGAAGCCCCTGTCTGGCCTGAGATATTTGGAATCCCCCTTTCATGGGGTTTATCCCTGGTGGGCTTCTCCTTCTGCTCCCGCCTGGCTTGGCTCGGAGGAGAGGTCGAAACAGGGAAAGGAGGAGCAGAACAGGGTGACAGGCTGGGGGCGATGGGAGTTGTAGTCCAAAACGTGGAGGGGGGGGATGAGGTTGGAGATGGTTGCTTTGAGGTGCCAGGAGATATTCAATGTGATTCATTTTTCTTTTGTTGCCTTCCATTGTTCCTTCCTTTCCTTTCCTTTCCTTCCTTCCTTCCTTCCTTCCATCCTCCTTCCCTTCCTCTCTTTCTTTTTTCTGTCTCTCTCCCTTCTTTCCTTCCTTCCCTGTCTTCTCTCCTTCATTTCTCCCTTCCTTTTATTTTCCCTCCGCCTCCCTCACATCTCCTTCCTTCCTTCCCTCCCTTTCTTTCTTTCTCTCTCTCTCTCTCTCTCTCTTTCTTTCTATTCTTTTCTTTCTCTTTTCCCCATTTTAGAGACTGGGATGTAGGCCAGCCAGACCACTGGTACGGCCACGGCAGTGGGGGCGGGGAGGACTGCGCCCACATAATATCCAACGGCCTTTGGAACGACAACGTCTGTTCGCGCATGTTCCCCTGGGTGTGCGAGATGGAGCTGGGCATCTGAAGAACCCCACAGCCAGCCCCTCCTCCCTTGGCCGGAGGCTCTCGGTCCACGTGCGAATGTCTTTGGGACAGGCTGACAATCGGGGGGGCTGAGAGGGGACACGTGTCCTGGGAGGCTTCTGGCAGCCCATCACAAAGGCCTCCTGCAAAGATCTGTGTCGCCAGCCCGTCTCTCGCACCCGGGACCCAGAGAGGGCTTAAAAGCTGTAAAAACACCCGGGTGGGGGTGGGGGTGGGGTGGGGGTTCAAGGTCCCCCCCTGTCTTTTTTAAAACAATAAAGCTCCTTTTAAAGCAGCTGCCTCTCCGTCTTCCACTCAGGGGTCGGTCTCTTTGCGACGGTTGGGGTCTCTAGGGGCCTGTGGGTCAGAGGGCGCATCCAGCCCCCCCCCCCCCCCGCTCAAGCAAGCAGGGATTTAGAACGGAATAGAGCCGGAAGGGACCTTGGAGGTCATCTAGTCCAGCCCCCCGCTCCAGCAGAAGACCCTATACTATTTCAGACAAAAGCTCAGGAGGAGGAGCCCTGATTTATACATGGACGGGAGGCCACCGGGTGATCACAATCCTGCAGGCTCAGCTGCAGACCCGGAACCGGCGAAATCTGGGGGGTGGGCAGGGGACGGAACGGATCTGCCCTCCGTGGGGAAGGGATCGATGGCCACTCTCCCGTTGGCCTTCTTAGTCACAGCAGATGCTGTTTCAGGACCTCTTTCCGGAGCACGATGCCATCGTCTCTTGAGACTGTGAAGGATGCCCATGAATGACTGGGAAAGTTACCAGCTCAACTCAAGGGAGATTTGAACTCGCTGCTCCAACGGACTCTCTCCAAACAGCACTTGCGACCCAGTTCTGAAGTCCCGGCGGCCAGGCCACCCACACGGCAGCCCTGCGATCACACTTTATGACATTTGGGCTGGGGAGGGTGGTGGAGAAATTGGTGTTTATTTCTGGTTCCCAGGAAAATCTTCCCCGTAGCCCAGCGTCACATCTAGAGACATAAATCTAATACATAAATAAGGTGTTTAAAAATCACCTTTTACGATGGAAACCGCTAGGAATCTTTTGGGAAAAAGAGAAGTAGAAAAATAGGTAGAGTGGAAAGAGACTTTTCGTAAAATCAAAGTACTGTTTTACGAAATACGAGGGGTTGGACTAGATGACCTCCAAGGTCCCTTCCAAATCTGTTAGTCTGTCAATCTGTTACAATTTGCCAGCTGGACAAGGGCCTACCGGGGTCTTTTTTGATTTCGGGGCTCCGCATAGACTAATATAACTCTCCTCCCGCCATGTTTGCAACCTGTAGTCCTCGACTTACGGCCGTCACTGAGCCTGGCAATTGCAGTGGTAAGGCCTGATGGTCATAAAGCAGGTCATCACACCAACGACTTGATTTTATGACTTTTTTGCAATGGCCATTAAGCAAATTCATTGTTTGCTGCTTATTTTGTTTCTATTTATTTATTTCCAGCTGGCAAATTTTAATAAAAGACTTTCCTCTCTATTTATTTTTCTGCTTTTCCAAATAGATTCTTAGCAGTTTCCATCTTTAAAGGTGACTTTTTTTTAAAAAAAAAAAAGTCAGCCATCTTCTTCCACAAGACAACTGGCCCACCGCTGAGCCTTCATTCCCCCCAAACCCCCCAAAAGCATCCAGAAGAGCAGTTGGGGAGTGTTACCCTAGATTCTCCCTGAGGGGGAACCCCAGAAATGGGAGCTGCTCCTGAAAACGCCCTGGATTTTCTGGTGATCTCTGAGCGTCTGCACTGATGAGGTTACCTAGTTGGGTCAAGAAACGTCTGCAGGAAAACCACCAAGGTCAGAGAGCACCAAAGACCCCATCATGATCTTCTTCTCCTCCTCCTCCTCCTCCTCTTTTCTTCTTCTTCTTTTCTTCTTCTCCTCCTCCTCTCTTCTCCTTCTCCTTCTTTTCTTCTTATTCTTCTTCTTTCTTTCTTTTCTTCTTCTTCTTTCTTTCTTTACCTTCTTTTCTTCTTTTTTTTCTTTTTCTTTCTTTTTCTTTTTCTTCTCTTTCTTCTTCTTCTTCTTCTTCTTTTCTTCTTCTTCTTCTCCTCCTCCTCCTCCTCTCTACAATCCCCACTCCCTGCCAACACTCCTGATGTTCCCTAGTTGTGTCATGAAATAGAGAGCACCAAGGATCCTACAGTTCTCTTCTTCCTCCTCTGTATACCCCACTCCTTTCTAGCACTGAAGATGTTACCTTGTTGGGTCACAAAACGTCACTAACGAAACAGCCAGATCACAGAGCTCTGAGGAACCCACATTTCAACCTGGGTGGCTTTGGGCCAATCACCAGGAGACTGGGAGTTCTAGTGCCAATTTAGGCACGAAAGCCGGTCCCTCTCTCTCAGCCCAGCCCACCTCACAGAGTTATTGTATGATGGGAAAAAGGGAGTATTCGCTATATTTGCCGCCTTCAGCTGTTTATTAAAGAGTCATAAAGACCGGATGTAAATAAATAAGGAAAGAAGAAAACTGCAGAGTGACGTCCTGGCTTACAGTCCTCCACCTCGTCGGAAACCCCCATCCCTCTGGGGCAGTTTGCTTCCAAGCCAGACCTCTGCTACAGCTGTCGGAAGCCCTGAGGTTTCTGAGCCTGGCAGAGGGACAGTATTGACAGTCCAAAGATCACTGGCGTGGCAGCCAGAGAGACGGTGGACCCACAGCTCCGGCTCTGGAAATCCTAAAGAAGAAGGTAAAAAAAGGCAATTAAAAGCCATATTTTTCATTTATTTTGTATGCGCTCCCCCCCTTGAAAACCTCAAAAGGGCCCGAGAGAAGATTCTACCCCACTCCGATTGTATCCTGACTCCTTCCTTACTTTAACAGAATAATAACAGAATAACAGAATTGGAAGGGGCCTTAGAGGTCTTCTAGTCCAACCCCCTGCTTAAGCAGGACACCTGATACCATTTCAGACAAATCCAATCCCTTCTTGAAGACCTCCAGTGAGGGAGCACCCACAACTTCTGAAGACAACTTGCGTTCCACTGGTTGATTGTTGTTTGTCTGCCTAATCCCCATTGGAGGCTGTTTATGGGGAGCTATCTGGCCATGGAGTACGTTGAGCATTGTGTGTTCTCTTCTAAAGGGTGTTCTTACTCAGTTCTCTCTCATACGCAAAAGACCAGAGTATCATGTAATTTGAAGCTGTTGGCCAAGATTCAACAGAGATTTTGGTTCTCTGCTCCCCTGCAGCCATGGGGGGCTTTGCCCACCAGGACTCCTGGCGACAAGGTGTTTGCTCCGGCCGTCGGGTGATCCTCATCCCGATGGGACTTCTGGCTGTGGTTACCCTCTCCCTCGTCGTCTTAGGCTTCGTGGGTGAGTAAGAAATGTGAGTGGGTAATTGTCTTCCTGGTAGTTAACCTAACATCAGAGTTATTGCTCCAGAACGCCATTCACTCATTCACAGCCTCCATTCATCTGCGGGTGATGGGAGGAGATACATCCTTGCAGCATCTAAGGAACACTTGCAAAAATTGAGAGGTGAATTGAATTCTGCAGTCTGGAGATGACCCACTCGGAAGCATCATGGAGCCTGTATATGTGTTGCACAAAGAGTTGAGTTAGTGTACGTCCCAAAAGGATTTTGGGCTATGCTATGAAGTGCAGTTCTTTAGAAAAGAAGTCGGTGGCAACCCAGATCACGTGTTTCCTGAGATTTCCAGAAGCTCCCCTATAAAGTCCGAATAAATTTCTTTCCAGGGTTCTTGGGGTTTAGCCACTAGCTGCAGGAGACATGGGAAGAAGTTTCTGCAAAAGGAGACCATGATTTCTGCAGGGTCTGGTTGGTTAGAGAAGATCCGGATGGGAGGTGGGCTTGAGATGGTTGAGCAGATCTGGAAGGCTTTCTTCCTGCTCGCAGCTTCTGATTCTTGTAGCTCTTCCTCTGTTGTTCTTCCTTTAAATATTTCTTTCTTTCATCATGAAGGCTTAAGAAAGAAACAAATGGACATGATTCATTAGTTTCTCTCCCACTAGATGAGGGGAGAGAAATAATTGTTAGAAATTCTATTTATTACTGTATATAGCACCACGGATCAAACAAAGAGTACAGTCACCATGTGCTTTACTTCTTAACTGCTCAACTGTAACAGTTCAATCAATCAGAATGGAGCTGGAAAGGACCTTGGAGGTCTTCTAGTCCAACCCCCTACTCAAGCAGGAGGCCCTGGCCTATACCATTGTCCAATCTCTTCTTAGAAACCTCCAGTGATGAAGAACCCACAACAAAAAGAAACAGGAAACTCTACTTAGTAGAAAAGAACGTAAGAGTATATACCATGGACCCAAACTTGTAAACTCCGCTGAATGCTACTGGCTGAATCCGAGTGTAGTTGTTGCATAAAAACACATCCCAACAAAATGCATTCCAACTATAATTAACAGGGAGAACACCTGAGCTTTGCTGATCTGTAAATTGCCAGGGAGAAGCTGCTAATTAACATTACAGGAGACCCAGAGAGAATGTCTGTGGTTTGTAAGTAAACTTTGTAGAAGACAGATCTTCTTATAAATGCCATTGTGGATCATTTATTCTAGCAGCAAACAGAGGGCTGTGTCCTTCCAGCCAATTGCCGCAAAACACACTGTATACAGCACACAATTACCCAAAGCCATGCACCAAAGAATGATTGAAAGGGGCCACAATTGGGCGAGGTGCACAACTTGCAAAGTGACCCCAAGATGCAGGAAGGATAGGAAGCGCAGGGAAACAGAGGCACGGATACGGGTTCAAGGAAGTCAGCCAGAGACCTGCTTCCTCTCCCCAGGGCACAACTACTCCACAACGTTGAGGAAGACGAAGGAAGATTTGAAAACCAGCAATCGCACCTTGGCCGTGGAATTAGCTGATCTGGAACAAAAGGGTGAGTCACAAAATCCCAGATTTGGGGATGAAAATGGTGGGAGCCCCACTCTTCCTTGATTTTAATTTTATTCCCAGTTTGTTTACCAAGACGAGTGCAAGCAAACATCGGGACAGGCACAGCTACCTCCATCAAGATCCTTTTAATGCAAAAACTGACTGGACTTGTCCTCTGAAACAGCTGGGAGAAAGACAAATCTTGATAAAGTTAAAAATAAAAATTTCCTTGTATTTTAAAAAAAGAAAGAAAGAAAGAAAATGGTTGGAGGGATGCATTGCTGTGGGCTGGCAGGGACAATTAGGAGAATTACTTTCCTGAGTACTATTCTTCCAAAGATGTTTCACGCTCTAACCCAGGGGTCTCTTTAAGACGAGTGGACTTCAACTCCCAGAATTCCCCAGGCAGCCATGTTGGCTGGGGGATTCTGGGAGTTGAAGTCCACCCATCTTCCAGCCGATAAGGTTGAGAAATCTTGGTCTGATTTTTTTGACGTCTTTCCCAGAGACCAGCGATTCGGAATTTCTCCAAAACGCCGACGAGTTGGTGGAATTCCTCGCCAAAGAAGGCACAGAAAGTAAGTTTGGGAGAAAGGGAGGTGTTTAACAGTCCATCCCGGGTTTGGGAGAGACCCTCCCTCACCCGGAGTCAACACCAACCAGGGACCTTCCCCTTCCCCACTTCCAGTGAAGACTCAGTACTTGGATCAGATCCAGAAACTTCAAGAAACTCTCCAGAAAATAAATTGTGATTTGGAGGAGATAAAACGCAAGGGGAAAGGTGAGCTGGGCCTTTGGAGGGAGGGGAGCGCTGGGTATGAGGAGGATGGAGTGGAGTGGCCTCCCGATCTCTTGATTGCACAGGTAATCCTCAGCTTACAACCACAGGTGAGCTCAAAATCCCCACTGCTAAGTGAAACATTGGCTAAGTGAGTTTTACTCCAGTTTACGACCATTCTGGCCACAGTTGTTAAATGAATCACTGCAGTTGTTAAGTGACTAATACAGTTGTTAAGCGAATCTGGCTTCCCGGTGGACTTCGTTTGTCAGAAAGTCGGAAAAGGTGATCACAGGACCCCGGGTCACTGCGACCGTCGTAAATAGAGGTAGTCCTTAACTCGCGACCACAATTGAGCCCAACATTTCTGTCGTTAAGCGAAACAGTCATTCAGTGAGATTTGCTCCATTGCATCAACTTCCTTGCCACCGTTGTTAAGTGGATCGCTGCCGTTGTTAAATTGGTAATGTGGTCGTTAAGTGAATCTGGCTTCCCCGTTGACTCTGACAGAAGATCGCAATCACATGGCCCCGGGACACTGTGACCGTCGTAAACACGAGCCCCTTGCCAAGCGTCTGAATTCTGACCACGGAGATGTTGCAACGGTCGTAAGTGGGGAACAAGGTCCTTAAGCCCCTCGTTTCAGTGCCGTCATAGCTTCAAACGGTCACTAAATCAGTGTTGTAAGCCGAGGACTGCCTGTATCGCGGATTGGCTGCCCGCTGCTGGGATCGGCTGCCCGCGGCATCCGTGTCTCCCTGTCCCAGCCGTAACGGGGTGCCCCTCTCGTCCCCCATCTCTTCTCCAAGGGCCGGCGAGCGGCTGCTGCCCCAGAGGCTGGCACCTGTTTCAGCAGGGCTGCTACTGGCTCTCCTCTGCCGAAAACGGCTGGAGCAAAGCCAAAGAGGACTGCGAAGAGAAGAGTGCCCACCTGGTGATCATCACCGGCTACTTAGAGCAGGTCGGTGCCTCGGTTTCCCCATTCGTCAGAGAGGGAGGGGGGGATGGGCAAAGGCCACCAGACCAGTGGAAGGCCGGGACAGAGGTACTCAATCAGGATCAAGGGAGGTCCTAAGACCACTTTGTAAAGCCTTAGTAAGGCCACACCTAGAGTCCTAGGGTCCCCACACTATGAAAAAGACGTGGAGACTCTGGAAAGAGGGCAGAGAAGAGCAACCAGGAGGATGAGGGGACTGGAGGCTCAAACAGACGATGAACTGGGCATGGCTGGTCCAGGGAAGAGAAGGACCAGGGGAGACAGGAGAGCATCTTCCGATATCTGAGGGGCTGCCCCAGAGAGGAGGAAGGGGGTCAAGCTGTTTTCCAAAGGCCAGAGAAGAAATAGTGGAGGGAAACTGACCAAGGAGAGATTCCACCTGGAAATAAGGAGACATTTTCTGGCAGTGAGAGCAACCAACCCGTGGAAGAGAAGTTGCCTTCAGAGGTTGTGGGAGCTTCATCCCTGGAGGCTTTCAAGAAGAGACTGGACTGCCATCCGAATCAGGAACGGTGGAGGCTCTCCTGCTTGGGAAGGGGAGGGAGGGTTGGACTGGATGACCTCCAAGGTCCCTTCCGACTCGGTTAATCTACCTGCCCTCGGTGTCCTGCTCATGCCTGCTCTGCTGTTGTTTTCTCCTCTTGGCGTAGCAATTTGTGGCACGACTCGCCAAATCTGAGCGCGCTTGGATCGGTCTGGAGTTCAGCAACCAGGCGTGGAAGTGGGTGGACGGGACCCCCTACACGGTGCGCAGGATGTGAGTCTCCTCCGATGGTCCCCTCTCTGGCCCCCCTCGGATCGGGCTTCCCCAGCCAGCTTTTTTCAGGCGCCATTCGCAGCTAGCGGCTCCCCTCTGTGTTTGCACACTTGCACGCCTGTCCTCCTGGGGGAAGGTCCCTATTTGGTCCACACGCGCTGAAAGCCCCCTGCCCTGATTGACTCCTGGGAAGAGAGAGTCGGTGGGCTTCGTTCCTCAGCACCAGCCCCCTGGGACCCCGAGCGCACAGGAGTCACGGGGGAAGCCCTCCAAGAGGCACAGAGGTGGGGATCCAGTGGCAGATCCCACGATCTCGGTGGGATCTTGTTGCACACGCAGGAAGCCCATGGTTAGGCCCCGTGGATCCTGCAGCCCACGCTGCCCTGGGGAAGATGGTTGTGCCCCATGGGATCTGGGTATTCTCTTGCAGCAATGTTTCTCATCCTCAGCCACTTTAAGGTGTGCAGACTTCAGCTCCCACAATTCCCTTATTTAAGATTAAGAATTCCTCAGCCAGCATGCCGTTAAGAGCATGGACGGTGCCCCTTTTTCTCTGGACACGGGCCCTGTCCTCTTGCACCGCACTCCTGGTGGTGCTTTTTTCCATCAGTCGAATCTTGATCTCCGAGTGGTGCCCTTTCCCCAGCTGAGGTGGGCTTATTGGCCAGAGAGTGTATCGAGACCAGTCATTAACTGAATTCTCACCATACATTCACTGCTCAACGGGCCTTCCTGAGCTGTTACAACCCAGAGTTCATTAACCAGGTTCCCCCAACTGACCCAGGTTGGCATCCACTGGGCTGCACAAACAAGCCAATTTGCACCATTCCCCAGGCTAGGAAACTGCTGCCGGTCGGGGATGGACTAGATGACCTCGGGGATCCTTCCCAATTTTGCCTCCCGAGATGCTCGGCTCAGCTGCCCCTTCCCCAGCGACAGAAGGGGATCTCCCTTCCCCCCCCCATGGGCTGCCCCACCATCTCCCGCTTTGCCCTTCCAGCGACTGGCGGCCTGACGAACCGATGCACGTGAGCGTATACTGCAGCATGATGTACCGAGACGGTTTGTGGAGCCAGGCCCACTGCAGGGCCAAACTAAAATGGATGTGTGAAAAGCTGGCCCAGCAGTGAGCCCAGAGGAGACCCCAGGAAGCCCCCCCTGCTCAACGCCTGGAGCAAATAAAACCGATCCTAAGACAAAAACCTACGGTCGACATTCGCTTTTTCTCTGGATCCTGGACGAGTGGCACGGCCGGCAGCTTTGATCGGTCACCGGAAGGGCCTAAACTGGCTGGTGGGGTCCAGCCTGGGACCCCCGCATGGCCTTCGCACCCCATGCTTCTTCTGCATTTGGGGGTTTTGCGGCCTATCGTACTTTATTTATTTACTAAGAAAACAGATACGGCCACTTATTCTTGGCGACTCTGGACAGCATCCATTCATTCATCTATAATCTATCTGTCTGTCTGTCTATCTATTCTATATCTCATCTATCATCTATTTATCTATCTCATCTATCAATCTATATCTATGTATCTGTGTCTGCCTGCCTGCCTGCTCTATCATCTATCTATCTATCTATCTATCTATCTATCTATCTATCTATCTATCATCTATCTATTCCATCTCTCTCTCTACCTCTCTACCTCTATCTATCTATCTACCTATCATCAATCTATCATCTATTCTATCTATCTATCTATCTATCTATCTATCTATCATCTATCTATCTATTCCATCTCTCTCTCTACCTCTTTAACTCTATCTATCTATCTATCTATCTATCTATCTATCTATCATCTATCTATCTATCTATCTATCTATCTATCAATCTATTTATCTATCTATCTCTCTTTAATTCTATCTATCCATCCATCCATCCATAATCTGTTTGTCTGTCTATTTATCCATTCGTCATCCATACATCCTATGTGTATTTGTGTCTGTCCGTCCATCCTTCCTGTCTGTGTCTGTCTGTCTCTGGATCTATCCTCTAGCTGCCTATTTATCCATTCATTTTATCATCCATCCATCCGCAGCCTCTCCCTCCCTCCCTCCCTCTCTCTTATAAAACAGAGTAAAAAGTTACTCAGGTAGTTTAGTTTCCCACAAGACTCTAAAAGAAGAAAACGCTGAATTCCAAGGCATTTATTAGAAATGCAGACTTTAATTCCCGTTTTATTGCCGGTTTATTACATCCCGAGTCAGCCTGCACAGATTCTTAGGGGCTGGAGGAAACCCACGTCCTGCAGAGCTTGGCCCCCTACGGCCTCAAAGACCCCGGCCCGGCTCCTGTGCCCGCCTCGCCCAGGGCCAGCTGCTTCAGGGCCTCTGCTCCGAACCGGAAGGAGTGCCAGCCCTCGGCAGCCGTCAAGTCCACCGCCCCTCGCCGGAAGTAGAAATCGATGGCCGGGCGGTTCCAGTCCAGCACCCCCAGCCTCATTTGGGTGCAGCCTTTCTCCAAGGCAATCTGGGGGCCGAAGAGGAGGGGCCGAGTTCCAGGGGAGGGGATGCTCTGGGGGAGGAAGGGGCGGGAGGGGGGCAGAGGAGTCCCAGAGGGGGGCAGAAATTGGGGGGTGGGCAAATGAGGTTGTGCCAGTTGTGAAGTTCTAGGGTCCTAATGATGCCTGTCTTGATGGATTGATCATCTGATGCAGGGGTCTCCAAATCTGGCCCCTTTAAGACTCGTGGACTTCCACTCCCAGAATTCCCCAATCAACAGGGCAGGCTGGGGAATTCTGGGAGTTGAAGTCCACAAGTCTTAAAGGGGCCACGTTTGGAGAGCCCCTACTTTAATGATTCCAGCTTTGTGGGGCCAAGCGATGGAAGCTTGCAAGGACACCACCACCACCCCGGTTCCCCCTCCCCACTCGGACAGTCTTTGTTTTTGGCAATGGGGGGGGGGAGAGCGACAGTTGTGTTACCTTCGCGATCTCCCTCAAGAGCTTCCTTCCGACTCCTTTCCCTGTCCGAAAAAACACAAACACACCTCAACAACACAACACAAGGTGGCAAGAGACCTCGAAGGGGTCAAGGGCAGCTCCACGATGGGTCAGCATCCGCAATGGAGGTTAAGGGGGCAGGGCAGAATTCGGCCCCTCTGCCAAACGTTGTACAGGCAGTCCTCGGTTTACAATCCCTACCATTAGAAGTTACAAGGGACTCAAAAAAGGAGATTTGAACCCGAATATGAATTCCTGACAGCCGGGGGGCGAGGGGGGAGGCCGGGGGAAAGAGGGGGGAGTCACGTGACCGCATGTCACACACTTATGACCTTCGTTTATATGGTCATTTGCAATGTCCCACAGTTCAGTGATCATATTTTGCATTTATTTCTGGTTTTCAGCAAAATTGTGGTGTAGCGAACAATGGGCTTGCTTAACGACGGCAGGGCTGGCATTACGACCGTGGCATTTGCTTATCCGTCAGCGCAAACAAGGTCATAACATTGGGTCCCTCGCCCATTTCACAGCCGTTACAATTTACGACCGGAATGGGCAGCCTCCATTATGGCCGTAACCCCGAGGACTACCTAAAGAGATCTGGCAGATAATGAAGAACTAAACGTTACGTTTCTTTAGTGACCGTTCAAACTTACGACGACACTGAAAAAAGTGACCGTGTTTCACCCTTATGACCGTCGCAGCCTCCCCGTGGTCACATGATCAAAAATTTGGACGCTTAGCGAGGGACTCGTATTTACGACGGTTGTAACATCCCGGGGGTCACGCGATCCCCTTTTCGCGACCCTCTGCCAAGCCAAGTCAACCGGATTTGCTTAAGAACCATGATAGTAACTTAACAACTGCAGTGATTCACTTAATAACTCTGGCAACAGAAGTTGTAAAATGAGGCAAAACCCGCTTAATGACCGTCTCGCTTAGCAACAGAAATATTGGGGCTCAATGGTTCTAGTAAGCTGTATTTGAGCTTTTAAAATGCCTGCACACCTGTGTAGATGCACGCATGCACCCATTTTTTTTAAAAAAAACTATAATTCCTTTCCCATTTTGGCCGGGCTCCTGCCCCGACCCTCCTCACTCCAAACAAGCTACGCACCCCGAAATTCTGGCATCACGTACAGATCTTCCGTGTAGATGTTCCTGCCTTTCCAGGTGCTGTAGGTAAAATAATAGAGGCCGTAACCTATGACGGTGTGGCCTGGAAGGAAGAGAGAGACAAAATAGAATTTTAATTTGTTTTGGAAGTTCCCACGTCTCCAGGATCTTCTTCACCCATTTCTGGATGCCAAATTTCTGGACGTCGCTGAGACCAGCTGCCCTTCCATGCTCCGGACTGCCCACTTCAAAGCAGCGCCTCTCCCTTAGCAGACTAACAGCTGGAAGGGACCTTGGGAGGTCTTCTAGTCCAACCCCCTGCTGAAGCAGGAGACCCTGTGCCATTCCAGACAAAATGTCTCTCTGATCTCTTCTTAAAAGCCTCCAGTGATGGAGCACCTACAATTTCTGGTGGCAAGCAGTTCCACTGGTGAATTGTCACGAAATTTCTCCTTAGTTTTAGTGGCTTCTATCCTTGATTAGTTTCCATCCATCCATCCTTAAGTCATGATATCTACTGATAGCCACAGGAATGCTTATTTTATTTATTTCTTTTGATTTGTATACCACCCTTCTCCAGCAGGACTCAGGGCGGTGAACAGCCAGAATAAAACATAACATACAAAATTTAAAAACAGTTTAAAAATAATTAAATATTTTGGCCGCAATTTAAAACTCCACACCTGGGATACTGGTTGGACATCTGGTGGGACCTCCCCCCTCCCCCTATGCCTCGGTGGTCAATTCAGTTCATTCTGGACATTACTGGGTCATCTGATCCTTTAAGTTCTGTGGACTTCAACTCCCAGAATTCCCCCAACCAGCACTTTAAGAAGCACGGACTTCTGGGAGTTGAAGTCCACTCATCTTAAAGTGACTGAGGTTAACAAACACCGACCTCCCCTGAGGGATTCAACCCCTCCCTCTCCCCAGATACTAATGAGACCCCTCCTCACCCTCTTTGCTCCGGCATTCAGGGGGCAGCTCAGCCACCACACATTTGTAGAAGGGGTCTTGACCGAAGCCATCTTCGCACAGCCCTGGGGGAGAAAAGTTCATTTAAAAAGGGAGGGGGGAACCCCGTGAGGACAAACCCCCCCCCCAACAGGGACACAGATCTTCTGAATGGAAAAATATTTGTGGATAAAATTTATTTTACTGCTGTTTACTGCTTCATGCCACCCTCTGCTTCTCCTGGTGGCCTCCTTTCTGAATAACCCTTTCCTTGGATGGATACGGGAAATCCTCAACTTACGACCCCAATTTGAGCCCCAAATTTATGTTGCTAAGCGGGACACTGGTTAGGTCAGTTCTGTCCCATTTTACCACCATTCTTGCCACAGTTGTTAAGTGAATCGTTATAGTTAACAACCCAGGCGTTAAGCAAATCGGGCTTCCCCGTTGACTTTGCTCGTCCGAAGGTCGCAAAAGGTTGATCACGTGACCCCGGGGCACTGCGACCGTCATAAATACGAGTCACTCGCCAACTGTCTGAATTTTGATGACGTGACCCCGGGGGAATGCTGCAACGGTCGTTAAGCGTGAAAAATGGTCATACATCACTTTTTTCAACTTTGAATGGTCACTAAATGAATTGTGGTAAATCGAGGATTACCTCTGTGGGGCGGGGACCCCTTGTTCTCTGTGGCTGTCAGTCATCCAAGGGCATCGAGACAGGTCACCCCCCCCCAATAAAAGATGAAGCCCACCCCTCTTGGTCTCACCTTCATCCGTGATCTTGACCTGCTCGGAGAGTTTTTCAAAGGCTGCCAATTCCTGGGAGGGGGCAAAAGAGAGAAGACCCCCTTCAGGAGACCAAAGGGGCTCTGCAGGCTGGCCTGTCCCATTGGGGGTGGGTGGGGGGGCAAAGCGCCCCCTCGCCTCAGGAGACACCAGGGCCAGTTATTCCTTTCATTGGGATCTGGGCAGGTCGTCCCTGATGGGCGAGGGTCTCCTCTACCAGACCCCGGACGGAGGGGGGGGTCATCTTTCATGGGTGGGGGAGAACTCTGGAAGCGGCTGGGGGCAGAGATGGCTCGGGAGCGCGCCCTGGAGTCCCCGGTGCGCGTTCCCGAGCCGCGTAGTCCGACTGCGGAGCCAGAGCGGCGCCTGCGGGGACCCCAGCCTCATCTTCCCGTGGGGTCAAGGAAGGCAGGCAGGCAGCTGGGTGAGGAAGCAACGACCCTCCCCTTTAAGAGCCCCCCCACCCCGCTTGCAAAGCTGCCCCTTTCTTTAAGACCTCCCTCCCCTCTTGCAAAACTCCCCCTCCCTTTAAAAGCCCCCTCCCCACTTGCAAAACTCATTTAAGAGCCCCTCCCCACTCTGCAAAGCTCCACGCCTTTAAAAGCCCCCTCTCCTCTTGCAAAGCTTCTCCTCCCTTTAAAAGCCCCCTCCCTTCTTGCAAAACTCCCCCTCCCTTTAACAGCCCCCTCCCCACTTGCAACCCCCCCTTTCTTTAAGCCCCCCCACCCCGCTTGCAAAGCTTCCCCTCCCTTTGAGAGTCCCCTCCGCTTGCAAACTTTCTCCTTACTTTGAAACCCCCCCGTCCCGCTTGCAAAGCTGCCCTTCTTTAAAAGCCCCCTCCCCTTTTGCAAAACTCCCCCTCCCTTTAACAGCCCCCTCCCCACTTGCAAACCGCCCCTTTCTTTAAGCCCCCCTCCCCACTTGCAAAACGCTCTTTAAAAGCCCCCTCCCGTCTTGCAAAACTCATTTAAGAGCCCCTCCCCACTTGCAAAGCTCCCACCTCCTTTAAAGACCCCCCCCCTCTGCCCGCTTGCAAAGGCTGCCCCCGCGCCCACCCGGATCATGCGCCCCACGTCCGCGCAATCCTCGGCTCTGCCCGGCCGGACGGTGACCGCGGCGGCGAAGTCCATGGCTGCAGCGGAGACCGGTCCGTTCCCCCCACCGCCATCCAGCTCCCCCCCCCGAGAACTACGTCTCCCAGCAAGCCCTGGGCGGGGGCGGAGCGAGGGGAGGAGCCAGCCTAATCCGGGTTGGCTTCGGTTGGAAAAACTCCCGCGCCGAGCATGTCAAGAGTTCCCCGCTGCAATTCTTGCAAGAGGGTTTGGAGCCCACTTTCTCAACCTGGGCAGCTTGAAGACGGGTGGACTTCAACTCCCAGAATCCCCCAGCCACCATAGGGGAATTCTGGGAGTCGGAGTCCACCTGTAGGTGGCTGGGGAATTCTGGGAGTCGGAGTCTCAGCCGTAGCTGGCTGGGGAATTCTGGGAGTCGGAGTCCACCCAAAGCCAGCTGAGGAATTCTGGGAATTGGAGTCCACCCGTAGTTGGCTGGGGAATTCTGGGAGTCGGAGTCCACCTGTCTTAAAGTTCCCAGGTTGAGAAACATAGATTGAGAGTTTCATTCTCTGGAGCGTACCTCGAACCCAGGACTTTGGCCAATTTGCCAGCCAGCCTCTTGTCAAACCAAGGAAGTGGGTCCCCCAGTCCGAAGGTCCTCCTTAAAGTGAGACCCCCCCCAGATGCTAAACGAGGGGAAACAGCCGGCCCCTGGGAGGGTCTTGGCCTCCCCCCCCCCAAATCTTTATCAGGAGGTCCAGCTGGGCTCCCTCTGAAGACCCTTCCCTGGCCTGCCCTTCCCCATGCCCCTTCAACTCCAACTCCCATCATCCCTGGCAGCCTCCTTTTATTCATCGTATTGTTTCATTGTATTCTTCTTTTCATTTCTTTATGTATTAGTTTATTTATTTAATTACTTTATTCTGTTTATCTTATTTTATTGTTTAGTTTTATTTTGTTACATTGCTTATTATATTTAATGCTTTTTATCATTCATTTTCTTTATTTCTATAGCATTTTTTTTTTTAATTTGATTTATATGCCGCCCTTCTCCGGAGACTCAGGGCGGCTTACAATGTGCTCAGCAATAGCCTTCATCCTTTTGTATATTTATACAAAGTCAGCTTATTGCCCCCATTTCTTTAATGACTTCATTCCATTTATCTTACTGATTATTGTTTTTTTTTTCTTTATTGTTTATAGCTATTACGTTGAACACTTTTATTTTATCGTTTTATTTTATTCCTTTGTTTCTATATCATTTTATTTAGTTAATGACTTTATTCTATTTCTCTTATTAAATAATGGTTTTATTATTATAATTTATTGTTGATTACTATTTAATGCTTTTTATTTTATTATTTTATTCTGTATCATTTTATTTAATGACTTTATTTATCTTATTGTTTTAATTTATTGTTTGATTTATTTATTATTATATTTAATGCTTTTATTTTTTTTGTTCGGCTTTATTGTAATTATTGTATTTCTGTTTATTAACTTGTTAAGTTTTTTAGTGTTTTATTCTATTTAAGATTTATACGGCCGCCCATAAGAAGCGACTCCGAGCCTCGTACAGCAAATACAGAAACAAAAACACGCACAAAGAAACATCAAATGTGTGAGTTTTGCTTCCTCTTTTGGTCCTTTGGCTCTTTTATTCCAGAGAATGAGTTGTGGGTCCGTGTGGTGCGTAGGTGTGTGATGGTTGCGCAGAGGACTGGTATGGCTGGAGGCAAAACTGCCAGCAGGCTCTCATCTCGGCAAGGCCCCTCCGGGCGCTGATCCTTCCCGGCCACATCTGACGAAGCACAACTTTTGTCTGTGCAAAAGGAAATCCACGTTCCCCTCTTCTCCAGCCCTTAAAGCAGTGGGCTGAGGCCAGAGGCAGGCAGAGAAGGACAGGGAACCATGAGCTTTGTTGTCTGTCCGTGCGCCCCCAGGGATCTGAAGGACATCATGCACCTGGTCAAGGTGAGGTTGATGGGCTGAGCCACAGCGATGCAGGAGAACAAATACAGCTAGTAGATAGATGATGTCAGCACTTCAAACTACATTCGTTCCAGTGCTGACATAAGGAGGAGAAGAGGGGGCAGCTGGCAAGAGGACGCTTGACTTTTCACCTACTTATTTTCCCTGAAGATAATATCCCCTAGGAGATGGGGTGGGAGGGGGGACATTCCTGGGAGCTGAAGTAGTAGATATGGGGAGAGTGATTTGGAAGATGGCCAATGAGACGCAGAGAATTGGGGAACAGAAAGGGAAGGTTTGGGGTCAGGAAGTCAGTGTTGGCTTCGACATAATCGGGGACAGATTGTCGTGCTTAATAAATGAAAGATTTCATCAAAGATTATCTGTTTGGAAATGCAATTTATTTGAGACGACATCAAAACCTGACAGATAGAAAGTAGACGTCGCGGCGAGACGGACGGGTGATTTTGGGACTCCAGAATCCCCGCCGACAGCCCCGCTGATAGACGGTCCTGTTTGGACCCCACAGTCTAGTTACATCACTTCAGACAAGTGGCTGTCCAGTCTCTTCTTCAGAACTTCCAGTGTTGGAGCATTCACAACTTCTGGTGGCAAGCAGTTCCACGGGTTCATTGTTTCTCACAGACAGGACATTTCTTAGTTCTAAGTTGCTTCTCTCCTTGATTGGTTTCATTTCTTTAAGTCTCATTTCCCACCAACTTCTAATGATGTCGTAAACCGAGGACTGCCTGCACAAAGTTTGGCAGAGGGGCCAAATTCTGCCCTGCCCCCTTAGCCTCCATCGCAGATGCTGACCCACATGTGCTCCCCTTGACCCGTTTGAGGTCTCTTGCCACCTTGTGTTGTGTTGTTGAGGTGTGTTTGTGTCTTTTCGGACAGGGAAAGGAGTCAGAAGGAAGCTTTTGACGGAGATCAGGGAGGTGGGGAAGGGGCATTGCCCAGGTAACGGGAGGGGGGGTGTCCTTGCAAGTTTCCATCGCTTGGCCCCACAAAACTGGAATCATTAAAGTAGGGGCTCTCCAAATGTGACCCCTTTAAGACTTGTGGGCTTCAACTCCCAGAATTCCCCAGCCTGCCCTGTTGATTGGGGAATTCTGGGAGTGGAAGTCCACGAGTCTTAAAGGGGCGAGATTTGGAGACCCCTGCATTAGATGATCAATCCATCAAGACAGGCATCATTATGACTAGAACTTCACAACTGGCACAACCTCATTTGCCCACCCCCCAATTTCTGCCCTCCTCTGGAACTCCTCTGCCCCCCTCCCGCCCCTTCCTCCCCCAGAGCATCCCCTCCCCTGGAACTCAGCCCTTCCTCTTCGTCCCCAGATTGCCTTGGAGAAAGGCTGCACCCAAATGAGGCTGGGGGTGCTGGACTGGAACCGCCCGGCCATCGATTTCTACTTCCGGCGAGGGGCGGTGGACTTGACGGCTGCCGAGGGCTGGCACTCCTTCCGGTTCGAAGCAGAGGCCCTGAAGCAGCTGGCCCTGGGCGAGGCGGGCACAGGAGCCGGGCCGGGGTCTTTGAGGCCGTAGGGGGCCAAGCTCTGCAGGACGTGGGTTTCCTCCAGCCCCTAAGAATCTGTGCAGGCTGACTCGGGATGTAATAAACCGGCAATAAAACTGGCATTAAAGTCTGCATTTCTAATAAATGCCTTGGAATTCAGCGTTTTCTTCTTTTAGAGTCTTGTGGGAAACTAAACTACCTGAGTAACTTTTTACTCTGTTTAATAAGAGAGAGGGAGGGAGGGAGGGAGGGAGAGGCTGCGGATGGATGGATGATAAAATGAATGGATAAATAGACAGCTAGAGGATAGATCCAGAGACAGACAGACACAGACAGGAAGGATGGACGGACAGACGGACAGACACAAATACACATAGGATGTATGGATGACGAATGGATAAATAGACAGACAAACAGATGATGGATGGATGGATGGATGGATGGATAGAATTAAAGAGAGATAGATAGATAGATAGATAGATAGATAGATAGATAGATAGAATAGATGATAGATTGATGATAGGTAGATAGATAGATAGAGGTAGAGAGGTAGAGAGAGAGATGGAATAGATAGATAGATAGATAGATAGATAGATAGATAGATAGATAGATAGATAGATAGATGATAGAGCAGGCAGGCAGGCAGACACAGATACATAGATATAGATTGATAGATGAGATAGATAAATAGATGATAGATGAGATATAGAATAGATAGACAGACAGACAGATAGATTATAGATGAATGAATGGATGCTGTCCAGAGTCGCCAAGAATAAGTGGCCGTATCTGTTTTCTTAGTAAATAAATAAAGTACGATAGGCCGCAAAACCCCCAAATGCAGAAGAAGCACGGGGTGCGAGGCCATGTGGGGGTCCCAGGCTGGACCCCACCGGCCAGTTTAGGCCCTTCCGGTGACCGATCAAAGCTGCCGGCCGTGCCACTCGTCCAGGATCCAGAGAAAAAGCGAATGTCGACCGTAGGTTTTTGTCTTAGGATCGGTTTTATTTGCTCCAGGCGTTGAGCAGGGGGGGGCTTCCTGGGGTCTCCTCTGGGCTCACTGCTGGGCCAGCTTTTCACACATCCATTTTAGTTTGGCCCTGCAGTGGGCCTGGCTCCACAAACCGTCTCGGTACATCATGCTGCAGTATACGCTCACGTGCATCGGTTCGTCAGGCCGCCAGTCGCTGGAAGGGCAAAGCAGGAGATGGTGGGGCAGCCCATGGAGGGGAAGGGAGACCCCCTTCTGTCGCTGGGGAAGGGGCAGCTGAGCCGAGCATCTCGGGAGGCAAAATTGGGAAGGATCCCCGAGATCATCTAGTCCATCCCCGACCGGCAGCAGTTTCCTAGCCTGGGGAATTGTGCAAATTGGTTTGTTTGTGCTGCCCAGTGGATGCCAACCTGGGTCAGTTGGGGGAACCTGGTTAATGAACTCTGGGTTGTAACAGCTCAGGAAGGCCCGTTGAGCAGTGAATGTATGGTGAGAATTCAGTTAATGACTGGTCTCGATACACTCTCTGGCCAATAAGCCCACCTCAGCTGGGGAAAGGGCACCACTCGGAGATCAAGATTCGACTGATGGAAAGAAGGACCACCAGGAGTGTGGTGCAAGAGGACAGGGCCCGTGTCCAGAGAAAAAGGGGCACCGTCCATGCTCTTAACGCCATGCTGGCTGAGGAATTCTGGGGCTTGAAGTCCAGACCTCTTAAATAAGGGAATTGTGGGAGCTGAAGTCTGCACACCTTAAAGTGGCTGAGGATGAGAAACATTGCCGCAAGAGAATACCCAGATCCCATGGGGCACAGCCATCTTCCCCAGGGCAGCGTGGGCTCCAGGATCCACGGGGCCTAACCATGGGCTTCCTGCGTGTGCAACAAGATCCCACCGAGATCGTGGGATCTGCCACTGGATCCCCACCTCTGTGCCTCTTGGAGGGCTTCCCCCGTGACTCCTGTGCGCTCGGGGTCCCAGGGGGCTGGTGCTGAGGAACGAAGCCCACCGACTCTCTCTTCCCAGGAGTCAATCAGGGCAGGGGGCTTTCAGCGCGTGTGGACCAAATAGGGACCTTCCCCCAGGAGGACGGGCGTGCAAGTGTGCAAACACAGAGGGGAGCCGCTAGCTGCGAATGGCGCCTGAAAAAAGCTGGCTGCGGAAGCCCGATCCGAGGGGGGCCAGAGAGGGGACCAACGGAGGAGACTCACATCCTGCGCACCGTGTAGGGGGTCCCGTCCACCCACTTCCACGCCTGCTGGTTGAACTCCAGACCGATCCAAGCGCGCTCAGATTTGGCGAGTCGTGCCACAAATTGCTACGCCAGGAGGAGAAAACAACAGAGCAGGCGTGAGCAGGACACCAAGGGTAGGTAGATTAACCGAGTCGGAAGGGTCCTTGGAGGTCATCCAGTCCAACCCCACCCCCTTCCCAAGCAGGAGAGCCTCCACCGTTCCTGATTCGGATGGCAGTCCCGTCTCTTCTTGAAAGCCTCCAGGGATGAAGCTCCCACAACCTCTGAAGGCAACTTCTCTTCCACGGGTTGGTTGCTCTCACTGCCAGAAAATGTCTCCTTATTTCCAGGTGGAATCTCCCCTTGGTCAGTTCCCATCCATTATTCCTTCTCTGGCCTTTGGAAAACAGCTTGACCCCCTTCCTCCTCTCTGGGGCAGCCCCTCAGATATCGGAAGATGCTCTCCTGTCTCCCCTGGTCCTTCTCTTCCCTGGACCAGCCAGCCCAGTTCATCGTCTGTTTGAGCCTCCAGTCCCCTCATCCTCCTGCTTGCTCTTCTCTGCCCTCTTTCCAGAGTCTCCACGTCTTGTTTCATAGTGTGGGGACCCTAGGACTCTAGGTGTGGCCTTACTAAGGCTTTACAAAGTGGTCTTAGGACCTCCCTTGATCCTGATTGAGTACCTCTGTCCCGGCCTTCCACTGGTCTGGTGGCCTTTGCCCATCCCCCCCTCCCTCTCTGACGAATGGGGAAACCGAGGCACCGACCTGCTCTAAGTAGCCGGTGATGATCACCAGGTGGGCACTCTTCTCTTCGCAGTCCTCTTTGGCTTTGCTCCAGCCGTTTTCGGCAGAGGAGAGCCAGTAGCAGCCCTGCTGAAACAGGTGCCAGCCTCTGGGGCAGCAGCCGCTCGCCGGCCCTTGGAGAAGAGATGGGGGACGAGAGGGGCACCCCGTTACGGCTGGGACAGGGAGACACGGATGCCGCGGGCAGCCGATCCCAGCAGCGGGCGGCCAATCCGCAATAGAGACAGTCCTCGGCTTACAACACTGATTTAGTGACCGTTCGAAGCTATGGCGGCACTGAAACGAGGGGCTTAAGGACCGTGTTCCCCACTTACGACCGTTTCAACATCTCCGTGGTCAGAATTCAGACGCTTGGCAAGGGGCTCGTGTTTACGACGGTCACAGTGTCCCGGGGCCATGTGATTGTCTCTTCCGACCTTCTGTCAAAGTCAATGGGGAAGCCGGATTCACTTAACGACCACGTTACCAATTTAACAACGGCAGCGATCCACTTAACAATGGTGGCAAGGAAGTTGATGCAATGGAGCAAATCTCACTGAATGACTGTTTCGCTTAACGACAGAAATGTTGGGCTCAATTGTGGTCACGAGTTAAGGACTACCTCTATTTACGACGGTCGCAGTGACCCGGGGTCCTGTGATCACCCTTTCCGTTTTTGTGACAAACGAAGTCTACCGGGAAGCCAGATTCGCTTAACAACTGTATTAGTCACTTAACAACTGCAGTGATTCATTTAACAACTGTGGCCAGAATGGTCGTAAACTGGAGCAAAACTCACTTAGCAAACGTTTCGCTTAGCAGCGGGGATTTTGAGCTCACCTGTGGTTGTAAGCCGAGGATTACCTGTGCAATCAAGAGATCGGGAGGCCACTCCACTCCATCCTCCTCATACCCAGCGCTCCCCTCCCTCCAAAGGCCCAGCTCACCTTTCCCCTTGCGTTTTATCTCCTCCAAATCACAATTTATTTTCTGGAGAGTTTCTTGAAGTTTCTGGATCTGATCCAAGTACTGAGTCTTCACTGGAGGTGGAGAAGGGGAAGGTCCCTGGTTGGTCTTGACTCCGGGCGAGGGAGGGTCTCTCCCAAACCCCGGGATGGACTGTTAAACACCTCCCTTTCTCCCAAACTTACTTTCTGTGCCTTCTTTGGCGAGGAATTCCACCAACTCGTCGGCGTTTTGGAGAAATTCCGAATCGCTGGTCTCTGGGAAAGACGTCAAAAAAATCAGACCAAGATTTCTCAACCTTATCGGCTGGAAGATGGGTGGACTTCAACTCCCAGAATCCCCCAGCCAACATGGCTGCCTGGGGAATTCTGGGAGTTGAAGTCCACTCGTCTTAAAGAGACCCCTGGGTTAGAGCGTGAAACATCTTTGGAAGAATAGTACTCAGGAAAGTGATTCTCCTAATTGTCCCTGCCAGCCCACAGCAATGCATCCCTCCAACCATTTTCTTTCTTTCTTTCTTTTTTTTAAATACAAGGAAATTTTTATGTTTAACTTTATCAAGATTTGTCTTTCTCCCAGCTGTTTCAGAGGACAAGTCCAGTCAGTTTTTGCATTAAAAGGATCTTGATGGAGGTAGCTGTGCCTGTCCCGGTGTTTGCTTGCACTCGTCTTGGTAAACAAACTGGGAATAAAATTAAAATCAAGGAAGAGTGGGCCTCCCACCATTTTCATCCCCAAATCTGGGATTTTGTGACTTACCCTTTTGTTCCAGATCAGCTAATTCCACGGCCAAGGTGCGATTGCTGGTTTTCAAATCTTCCTTCGTCTTCCTCAAAGTTGTGCAGTAGTTGTGCCCTGCGGAGAGGAAGCGGGTCTCTGGCTGACTTCCTTGAACCCGTATCCGTGCCTCTGTTTCCCTGCGCTTCCTATCCTTCCCGCATCTTGGGGTCACTTTGCAAGTTGTGCACCTCGCCCAATTGTGGCCCCTTTCAATCAGTCTTTTGTGGATGCTTTTGGGTAATTGTGTGCTGTATACAGTGTGTTTTGCGGCAATTGGCTGTAAGGACACAGCCCTCTGTTTGCTGCTAGAATAAATGATCAACAATGGCATTTATAAGAAGATCTGTCTTCTACAAAGTTTACTTACAAACCACAGACATTCTCTCTGGGTCTCCTGTAATGTTAATTAGCAGCTTCTCCCTGGCAATTTACAGATCAGCAAAGCTCAGGTGTTAATTATAGCTGGAATGCATTTTGTTGGGATGTGTTTTTATGCAACAACTACACTCGGATTCAGACAGTAGCATTCAGCGGAGTTTACAAGTTTGGGACCATGGTATATACTCTTACGTTCTTTTCTACTAAGTAGAGTTTCCTGTTTCTTTTTGTTGTGGGTTCTTCATCACTGGAGGTTTCTAAGAAGAGATTGGACAATGGTATAGGCCAGGGCCTCCTGCTTGAGTAGGGGGTTGGACTAGAAGACCTCCAAGGTCCTTTCCAGCTCCATTCTGATTGATTGAACTGTTACAGTTGAGCAGTTAAGAAGTAAAGCACATGGTGACTGTACTCTTTGTTTGATCCGTGGTGCTATATACAGTAATAAATAGAATTTCTAACAATTATTTCTCTCCCCTCATCTAGTGGGAGAGAAACTAATGAATCATGTCCATTTGTTTCTTTCTTAAGCCTTCATGATGAAAGAAAGAAATATTTAAAGGAAGAACAACAGAGGAAGAGCTACAAGAATCAGAAGCTGCGAGCAGGAAGAAGGCCTTCCAGATCTGCTCAACCATCTCAAGCCCACCTCCCATCCGGATCTTCTCTAACCAACCAGACCCTGCAGAAATCATGGTCTCCTTTTGCAGAAACTTCTTCCCATGTCTCCTGCAGCTAGTGGCTAAACCCCAAGAACCCTGGAAAGAAATTTATTCGGACTTTATAGGGGAGCTTCTGGAAATCTCAGGAAACACGTGATCTGGGTTGCCACCGACTTCTTTTCTAAAGAACTGCACTTCATAGCATAGCCCAAAATCCCTTTGGGACGTACACTAACTAAACTCTTTGTGCAACACATATACAGGCTCCATGGTGCTTCCGAGTGGGTCATCTCCAGACTGCAGAATTCAATTCACCTCTCAATTTTTGCAAGTGTTCCTTAGGATGCTGCAAGGACGTATCTCCTCCCATCACCCCCAGATGAATGGAGGCTGTGAATGAGTGAATGGCGTTCTGGAGTAATAACTCTGATGTTAGGTTAACTACCAGGAAGACAATTACCCACTCACATTTCTTACTCACCTACGAAGCCTAAGACGACGAGGGAGAGGGTAACCACAGCCAGAAGTCCCATCGGGATGAGGATCACCCGACGGCCGGAGCAAACACCTTGTCGCCAGGAGTCCTGGTGGGCAAAGCCACCCATGGCTGCAGAGGAGTAGAGAACCAAAATCTCTGTTGAATCTTGGCCAACAGCTTCAAATTACATGATACTCCGGTCTTTTGCATATGAGAGAGAACTGAGTAAGAACACCCTTTAGAAGAGAACACACAATGCTCAACGTACCCCATGGCCAGATAGCTCCCCATAAACAGCCTCCAATGGGGATTAGGCAGACAAACAACAATCAACCAGTGGAACGCAAGTTGCCTTCAGAAGTTGTGGGTGCTCCCTCACTGGAGGTCTTCAAGAAGGGATTGGATTTGTCTGAAATGGTATCAGGTGTCCTGCTTAAGCAGGGGGTTGGACTAGAAGACCTCTAAGGCCCCTTCCAATTCTGTTATTCTGTTATTATTCTGTTAAAGTAAGGAAGGAGTCAGGATACAATCGGAGTGGGGTAGAATCTTCTCTCGGGCCCTTTTGGGGTTTACCGGGGAGGGGAAGAGCGCATGCAAAATAAATGAAAAATATGGCTTTTAATTGCCTTTTTTTACCTTCTTCTTTAGGATTTCCAGAGCCGGAGCTGTGGGTCCACCGTCTCTCTGGCTGCCACGCCAGTGATCTTTGGACTGTCAATACTGTCCCTCTGCCAGGCTCAGAAACCTCAGGGCTTCCGACAGCTGTAGCAGAGGTCTGGCTTGGAAGCAAACTGCCCCAGAGGGATGGGGGTTTCCGACGAGGTGGAGGACTGTAAGCCAGGACGTCACTCTGCAGTTTTCTTCTTTCCTTATTTATTTACATCCGGTCTTTATGACTCTTTAATAAGCAGCTGAAGGCGGCAAATATAGCGAATACTCCCTTTTTCCCATCATACAATAACTCTGTGAGGTGGGCTGGGCTGAGAGAGAGGGACCGGCTTTCGTGCCTAAATTGGCACTAGAACTCCCAGTCTCCTGGTAATTAGCCTGCAGCCACCCAGCTGTCTTTCCTGACTAAGGCGGGCCTAGAACTCCCAGTCTCCTGGTGATTGGCCCAAACTCACCCAGGATGAAATGTGGGTTCCTCAGAGCTCTCTGATCTGGCTGTTTCGTTAGTGACGTTTTGTGACCCAACAAGGTAACATCTTCAGTGCTAGAAGGGAGTGGGGTATACGGAGGAGGAAGAAGAGAACTGTAGGATCCTTGGTGCTTTCTATTTCATGACACAACTAGGGAGCATCAGGAGTGTTGGCAGGGAGTGGGGATTGTAGAGAGGAGGAGGAGGAGAAGAAGAAGAAGAAAAGAAGAAGAAGAAAGAAAAAGAAAGAAAAAGAAGAAGAAGAAAAGAAGGTAAAGAAAGAAAGAAGAAGAAGAAGAAAAGAAAGAAAGGAGAAGAATAAGAAGAAAAGAAGGAGAAGGAGAAAGAAGAGAGGAGGAGGAGGAGAAGAAAAGAAGAAGAAGAAAAGAGGAGGAGGAGGAGAAGAAGAAGAAGTCTTTGGTGCTCTCTGACCTTGGTGGTTTTCCTGCAGACGTTTCTTGACCCAACTAGGTAACCTCATCAGTGCAGATGCTCAGAAATCACCAGAAAATCCAGGGCGTTTTCAGGAGCAGCTCCCATTTCTGGGGTTCCCCCTCAGGGAGAATCTAGGGTAACACTCCCCAACTGCTCTTCTGGATGCTTTTGGGGGGTTTGGGGGGAATGAAGGCTCAGCGGTGGGCCAGTTGTCTTGTGGAAGAAGATGGCTGACTTTTTTTTTTTAAAAGTCACCTTTAAAGATGGAAACTGCTAAGAATCTATTTGGAAAAGCAGAAAAATAAATAGAGAGGAAAGAGTCTTTTATTAAAATTTGCCAGCTGGAAATAAATAAATAGAAACAAAATAAGCAGCGAACAATGAATTTGCTTAATGGCCATTGCAAAAAAGTCATAAAATCAAGTCGTTGGTGTGATGACCTGCTTTATGACCATCAGGCCTTACCACTGCAATTGCCAGGATCAGTGACGGTCGTAAGTCGAGAACTACAGGTTGCAAACATGGCGGGAGGAGAGTCATATTAGTCTATGCGGAGCCCCGAAATCAGAAAGACCCCGGTAGCCCCTTGTCCAGCTGGCAAATTGTAACAGATTGACAGACTAACAGAGTTGGAAGGGACCTTGGAGGTCATCTAGTCCAACCCCTCGTATTTCGTAAAACAGTACTTTTAATAAAAGTCTCTTTCCACTCTACCTATTTTTCTACTTCTCTTTTTCCCAAAAGATTCCTAGCGGTTTCCATCGTAAAAGGTGATTTTTAAACACCTTATTTATGTATTAGATTTATGGGTCTAGATGTGACGTTGGGCTACGGGGAAGATTTTCCTGCGAACCAGAAATAAACACCAATTTCTCCACCACCACCCCCCAGCCCAAATGTCATAAAGTGTGATCGCAGGGCTGCCGTGTGGGTGGCCTGGCCGCCGGGACTTCAGAACTGGGTCGCAAGTGCTGTTTGGAGAGAGTCCGTTGGAGCAGCGAGTTCAAATCTCCCTTGAGTTGAGCTGGTAACTTTCCCAGTCATTCATGGGCATCCTTCACAGTCTCAAGAGACGATGGCATCGTGCTCCGGAAAGAGGTCCTGAAACAGCATCTGCTGTGACTAAGAAGGCCAACGGGAGAGTGGCCATCGATCCCGTCCCCACGGAGGGCAGATCCGTTCCGTCCCCTGCCCACCCCCCAGATTTCGCCGGTTCCGGGTCTGCCTCTTTGCCTCAAGGGTCTCTTGGAATGGGAGGAGGCCCTGCTGCCTCTTCAGCCTCCCCAAGCTGAACGATCGGAGGTCAAAGGGTTTTTTTCCCCAGCAACAAAATATTTGCATGGCCATCTTTCTGGGGATCGTTCTGGGGGTGGGAGGGGTCTGCAGCTGAACCGGCAGGATTGTGATCACCCGGTGGCCTCCCGTCCATGTATAAATCAGGGCTCATCCTCCTGAGGTTTTTGTCTGAAATAGTATAGGGTCTTCTGCTGGAGCGGGGGGCTGGACTAGATGACCTCCAAGGTCCCTTCCAGCTCTATTCCGTTCTAAATCCCTGCTTGCTTGAGCGGGGGAGGGGGGGCTGGATGCCCCCTCTGACCCACAGGCCCCTAGAGACCCCAACCGTCGCAAAGAGACCGACCCCTGAGTGGAAGACGGAGAGGCGGCTGCTTTAAAAGGAGCTTTATTGTTTTAAAAAAGACAGGGGGGGACCTTGAACCCCCACCCCACCCCCACCCCCACCCGGGTGTTTTTACAGCTTTTAAGCCCTCTCTGGGTCCCGGGTGCGAGAGACGGATCTTTGCAGGAGGCCTTTGTGATGGGCTGCCAGAAGCCTCCCAGGACATTCGCACGTGGACCGAGAGCCTCCGGCCAAGGGAGGAGGGGCTGGCTGTGGGGTGGTTCAGATGCCCAGCTCCATCTCACACACCCAGGGGAACATGCGCAAACAGACGTTGTCATTCCAAAGGCCGTTGTATATCATGTGGGCGCAGTCCTCCCCACCCCCACTGCCGTGGCCGTACCAGTGGTCTGGCTGGCCTACATCCCAGTCTCTAAAATGGGGGAAAGAGAAAGAGAGAATAGAAAGAAAGAAAGAGAGAGAGAGAAAGAGAGAGAGAGAGAAAGAAAGAAAAAGAAAGAAAGAAAAAGAAAAAGAAAAAGAAAGAAAGAAAGAAAGAAAGAAAGAAAGAAAGAAGAAAGAAGGAAGGAAGGAAAGAAAGAAAGAAAGAAAGAAAGAAAGAAAGAAAGAAAGAAAGAAAGAAAATGAAAGAAAGAAAGAAAGAAAGAGGAAAAAAAGAAAGGGAGGGAGGGAAGAAAGGAAGGAAGGAAGGAGAAGTGAGGGAGGTGGAGGGAAAATAAAAGGACGGAAGGAAGGAAGGGAGAGAGAAAGAAAAGAGGGAGGGAGGGAGGGAGGGAGGATGGATGGATGGGAGGAAGGAACAAAGGAAGGAAGGAAAAGAAAAATGAATCACATTGAATATCTCCTGGCACCTCAAAGCAACCATCTCCAACCTCACCCCCCCTCCACGTTTTGGACTACAACTCCCATCGCCCCCAGCCTGTCACCCTGTTCTGCTCCTCCTTTCCCTGTTTCGACCTCTCCTCCGAGCCAAGCCAGGCGGGAGCAGCAAGGAGAAGCCCACCAGGGATAAACCCCATGAAAGGGGGATTCCAAATATCTCAGGCCAGACAGGGGCTTCCCGGAGGCATTTTGTGCCCCCATGAAAATAGATGCCGTTGTTTTATCCGTGGCATAAAATAGAACGGGTAGAGTGGTGCCGTGGCCTCACAAACAGCTTTAAGAGATTAACAGAGTTCATATTCGTTAATCTTTCTCTCCCTCTGGGCACACTGAGAATGTATCTGCGGAACAAAACTCCTCACTGGCGACAAGAAGGGCATCCGGCCAGTAAAACCCTCGGCTCCATTCAGTAGGGGTCATTAAATGATGATGATGATAAAATATAATGAGTCTCCTGGTAAAAATGGGGGGGGGCTACTTTAATTCCCTGTGGGGAGGGGGAGAGAGCCAACGGTCGACTGGACTCACTTTGGGTCCACGCTGTAGGCCGATCCGTCCACCCACTTCCAGTCCCCGCTGGAGTCGGTCAAGCCAATCCAGGTGTCACTTCCCTGTCTTGCCCGGGTCTTCACGAAGTCCTGGCGGGAGAAAACACGAGTGACTTACCGCCACAACTGAGCCCCAAATCTCCATTGCTAAGCGAGACAACCGTTCAGTTAATTTTGCCCCATTTTACGACCTTTCTTCCCACGGTTGCTAAGTGAATTATGAACGTGGTTGTTAAGTGAACCTTGTCAAAAGGTCACAAAAGGGGATCAGGCGACCCCTGGGGACGCTGCGACCGTCATAAGTCGGAGCCAATGGCCGAGCGTCCAAATTGGGATTGTGTGCCCGCAAGGATGCTGCAACGGTCGTAAGGGTGAGAAACGGTCGTAAGTCGCTCTTTCCGGTGCCGAAGTCGCTTTGAACAGTCACTAAGCAAACCGTTGTAAGTCAAGGACTGGCTGTAAGGGCAGAAGTGGCGAAGCCAGTGCTGGACGAAGAGCTGCCCTCTCTCCTGCCCCCTGCTGGAGTCCCAGGAAATAGCCCGGCCCACTTACTGTCTCATCGGCGGAGTTGAGGATAACCAGGTGGGCTTTCTTATCTTCGCAGTCTTTTTTGGCCCCCTGCCAGGTGTTCATGGACTGGGTGGTCCAGTAGCAGCTGGAGCGAAAGTTCACCCAGCCTCGGGGGCAGCAGCCATTTTTGCTGCCTGGGGGGGGGTTTGGGGGAGGGGAGAGAAAAGATCAGGGCATCAGAGCCAAAAAAGAGGTTGAGACTAGAATAAAGTATAATATAGAGAATAGAGGAGAGGAGAGGAGAGGAGAGGAGAGGAGAGGAGAGAGAGAAGAGAGGAGAGGAGAGAGGAGAAGAGAAGAGAAGAGAAGAGAAGAGAAGAGAAGAGAAGAGAAGAGAAGAGAAGAGAAGAGAAGAATAAAAGACTAGACGATGGGAGGAGAGGGGAGGAGAGGAGAGGAGAGGAGAGGAGAGAAGAGGAGAGGAGAGAAGAGAAGAGAAGAAGAGAAGAGAAGAGAAGAGAAGAGAAGAGAAGAGAAGAGAAGAGAAGAGAAGAATAAAAGACTAGACGATGGGAGGAGAGGAGAGGAGAAGAATAGAGAAGAGAAGAATAGAATAGAATAGAATAGAATAGAAGAATAAAAGACTAGACAACAGAAGAGAGGAGAGGAGAGGAGAGGAGAAGAGAGAAGAGAAGAGAAGAGAAGAGAAGAGAAGAGGAGGGGAGGGGAGGGGAGGGGAGGGGAGGGGAGGGGAGGAGAGGAGAGGAGAGGAGAGAAAGAAAAGAAAGAAAATCTGGCTCTCTTTTTTTACCGTTGCTCTTCATTTCGATAATTTCACAGCGCAGAGCTCTGGTGTTCTTTTCGAGGGTGTCCAGCTGAGTCTGGTACAGTTCCAATACTGGAAATTAGAAGAAGAGCAAGAAAAGTAGCAAGAAGCTTCAGCCAAACACACACACGGCAGGATCCCAAGAGAAAACCCGAAGCCCAATCCCTATCCATGAAAAAACCCCATCCTTGCCCTGATGCTCCCCCGTCTCAGTCCACAAAAAAGCACTTTTATGGTGGCAGACCTTGTGCGTGGTCCAGTGTTGTTCAAACTTGACAAGTGGAAAGTGGGTGGACTTCAAATCCCAGAATTCCACCCATCTCCCAGTGGCCAAGTTTGGAAAACACCGTGTTAATCGGGGTGCCAAAAAACCCCACTGAGGCATCTGATTCAGAGGCGGCTGCTTTCATAAGCGTGAGCAGCTCCCTTCACGGGGGCATGCTGGCTGGGGAATTCTGGGAGAGTTCTTGAGAATTCTGGGGGTTGAAGTCCACCCATCTTCCGGTGGCCACGTTTGAAAAACACCGTGTTAATCCACGGTTCCAAAAAACCCACTAAAGCATTTGATTCGGAAGCGGGTGCTTTAATGAGAAGCTGCGACAGCAACAGCTCCCTTCGTTGGTGCTTGGAGAGGCTGGGCTGATGGAGGGGATTCAATTGGGGAGGGGGAAAGAAAGGGAGGGGGAGACAGGTTGCCTGGGTGGCTGCAGCTGCCAGTTGAGCTGGCTCATGAAAGCAGCTGCCTTTTAATAAAGAATTTATTTAATAAAGAATTGCTAGAATCCTCTCCTGACGTTGACAGCAGCGGTTGTGTCCTCTTTCCCTTGCCAGGGATTTTGAGACTGGAGAAAGGCATCCCTTATTCCTCCGTAGGGACCCCAAGTCCCCCCCCCTACAACAACTGCACCTCAGCTGGAAGAAGTTTTTTTCCGGGGTGAAAAATGCTGACCTTTCAACACCTTATCGTGCTCCTGTTGCATAGTTTTCTCCAGCTCAGCCAGTTTCAACCAGGTGCTGTTCCCTTAAAGAGGACAAGAAGGAGGGCCCGGTTGGAGTGGGGCCCATTCCCACGGTCCCCCAAGAGTTTGGCAGAAGGAGGACCCCTTCTTTGGCGGGAATCGCACCAGCAGCCTCCCTTTCTTACGACCCTCCCAAGAGAAAGCTTGCCCCCCATTCTCCAACAAGTGCCCCCCAGTGGATGCCTATCCCACCTGGGAAAATGGAGCCCCAGGGATGGGGCTGGGTGGGGGAAGAAGGGGTGGGGTGCTGGCATGCTGCTTCTCGCCCGCTCTGGCTCCTTACTTTTGGCCTGGAGGTTGGTGACCTCCTGCTGGACCGTCTGGGTAAGATTCTGCACCCCCTTCTGGGTCCCCTGGAGGCTTTGGGTGAACCGGACACCTGGAACAGAGAGGGGGAGGGAGGAAGCAGAGCCGAGGGAGGGGGGGGCAACCAGTAACCTTACCTCCCTCTGTTATTCTCTCTATTCCTACAACACCCGAAACCCAGGTCAAAACAAAAAAAAAACCCTATAGCAATTGCCTGAATTTATTGCTCTCCCGTAGGAGGTGTCTGTGGGGGCTTCACACATGGACCAATCCACGTTTCTCTTCTTCTTTCCCATTTTCAGTTATGACTGAAACTGCAGGCTCAATTACGGTTGTAAATCGAGGTCTACCTGTGATTGGGGTTGAACTAGATGATGTGGAAAAGCCCTCTAGCTTTGGCCTATTCTGACAAAACCTTCTTTCCTTCCCGTCTTCAGTTACGACTGAAACTGCGGGCTCAATTACGGTTGTAAATCAGGGACTACCTGTAGTTGGGGGTGGGACTACTGGATGATGTGGGGCAGCCCTCTAGCTTTGGCCTATTCCGACAACACCCAAAACTCAGGTTAAAACAAACAACACAGTGGTTGCCTGCCTTTATAGCCATCCCAGCAGCTTTGTGTTTCACATGGATCAATCCACGTTTCTCTTCTTCATTTCCCATTTTCAGTTATGACTGAAACTACAGGCTCAATTACAGTTGTAAATCGAGGACTACCTGTAGGTGGGGTGGGACTAGATGACATGCAACAGCCCCTCCAGCTTTGGCCAGATCCTACAACACCCGAAACCCAGGTAGGCCAGATCCTACAACACCCGGAAACTAAACACATTGTCTCCCTGCATTTCCATCCCTTAAGACTCCAGCAGCTTTGGATTTCACACGGACCAATCCACGTTTCTCTCCTTCTTTTACTTCCCCTCTTGCACGCTCGTTCTCCATCTCCGGGTCTGCCTGGCGTTTCCTCCTCCCTAGGGCCTCGCACAACCCACAAGTCCCAGATTGTTCGTGTGACACACTCACCTTGAATGCCCAGGATGCTGACCGAGAGGATCAGAACGCCACAGAACACCATCAGTACCAGAAGGAGCCGGCTGGTGGGACAGACGCGCTGGGGGAAGGACTTTGACAACGGGAAGTCTGTGCAAAGAGAAGGATGGCCTGAAGACCCCCTACCCATCCTTCGAGGACCAGAAATGGACATCTGCAGGGTGGGGGGTCTCTCCCTTGGGGAAACGAGGTACAAGAATCTCTGAGAAGCCCTTTCCAGGTGGGCACCTTCTGGGCTTGAAGCCACAGCCCCCTGACCCCTCCTCGGGACCATGACATGGCTCCCCCAAGGGAGGAGGTCTTCAGGTTCCCACCCCACCAACTCATGTCTCCAGTGGTGGGATTCAGCCAGTTTGCACCACTTCGGGAGAACCGGTTGTTAACTTTCTGAGCAGTTTGGCAAACTGGTTGTTGGAAGAAATCATTAGGGCAGAGAACCGGTTGTTAAATTACTTGAATCCCACCACTGCATGTCTCCCCTCCACTCAAAATCAGCCGGTGCATGATTCGAATCCGCTTCCAGGTACCTTTTTCAAAGTCGGCTTCGTATTCCTTCTCCAGATTTGCAGACTGGAAGTTCTCGTACGTCTTGGGCATCGTGAAGGCCTCGGAGGCTTCCATGCTGGGGAAAATGGGCAGAGATGGGTGGGAGAAATTGTAGGGGGGGGGCAATGGGGAAGGGCCAAATGGGGGATCTGAAGATAGGTTTCAGGAGGCAACTCTGAACAACCGAATTTCTCAAGCTTGGCCACGAAGGAAGGAAGGAAGGAAGGAAGGAAGGAAGGAAGGAAGGAAGGAAGGAAGGAAGGAAGGAAGAAGAAAAGAAAGGAGGAAGCAAGGAGAGGGAAAGGAAAGAAGGAAGGAAGATAGGAAGGAAGGAGGGAAAGGAAAGAAGGAAGGAAAAAAGAAAGAAAAGAGGAAGGAAGGAAGGAAGGAAGAAGAAAAGAAAAGAGGAAGCAAGGAGAGGGAAAGGAAAGAAGGAAGGAAGATAGGAAGGAAGGAGTGGGAAAGGAAAGAAGGAAGGAAGGAAGGAAGAGAGAGGAAGGAAGGAAGGAAAGGAGGAGGAAGAAAGGAGGAAGGAAGGAGAGGGAAAGGAAGGAAGGAAAGAAGGAAGGAGGGAAGGAAAGAAGGAAGGAAGGAAGGAAGGAAGGAAGGAAGGAAGGAAGGAAGGAAGGTAGGTCAAAGATTTCCAACAATTGGCAGACCACCAGTATAGAATTTGAAGTAAACAGCTAAGACAGCTTCTGCCAATGGGTTGGGCATCTTCTCCCATAATCCTTAGCTCCCGGCACCCATGTTCACCAGGTGTGGCCAAAACCAGTCCCAGATGCCGGCTGAAAATATGCCATTGAAGCTCGGCCATCTTGACTCTTTTGACCGCACCTGGTGGACACCCATGGCTGAGGACAATGGGAGCTGGAGTCCTGCAGGCCCATGGGAAACGAAGCACAGTTACGCACCAAGCCAGGGGGCGTTTTTAAGATTTGTAGACTTCAACTCCCAGAATTCCCCAGCCAGCATGGACTTCTGAGGAATTCTGGGAGTTGAAGTCCACAAGTCTTAAAGTGGCCCAGTTTGGAGACCCCTAACCTCCCTCTGGTTGAGACTGAGGCAGCCCTGCAAACCCACTCTCTACCCTCCAGTGCTCCAGTACATTGTGCACACAAGGGCAGTGAAGTTGGTTTAGCAAACCATGATTTGGTCACCACACCATAAAAGAGATGTTGAGACTCTAGAACAGTGTTTCTCAACCTTGGAAGCTTGAAGATGAGTTGAAGTCCACCCATCTTCAAGCTTCCAAGGTTGAGAAACACTGCTCTAGAAAAAGTGCAGAGAAGAGTAACCAGGAGGATGAGGGGACTGGAGGCTCAAACAGACGATGAACGGTTGCAGGAACTGAGCATGGCTGGTCTAGTGAAGAGAAGGACCAGGGGAGACAGGAGAGCATCTTCCGATATCTGAGGGGCTGCCCCAGAGGGGAGGAAGGGGGTCAAACTGTTTTCCAAAGGCCAGAGAAGAAATAATGGATGGAAACTGACCAAGGAGAGATTCAACCTGGAAATAAGAAGACATTTTCTGGCAGTGAGAACCATCAACCCATGGAACAGAAGTTGCCTTCAGAGGTTGTGGGAGCTTCATCCCTGGAGGCTTTCAAGAAGAGACTGGATTGTCATCAGAAACAGTGTAGGGTCTCCTGCTTGGGAAGGGGGGGGTTGGACTAGATGACCTCCAAGGTCCCTTCCAACTCTGTGTATCTCTATCTGGTTTGATTAAACCAGAGTCCCACCACCCATGAAGACCTTAATCCATGTTAGGCTCTTCCCCTTCCTTTTCTCATCCTCTGTTGCAGCTTCCCCTGTTGACTAACTGCCTGCTGCATTTTTTGTGAGTGGGTGGGGCCAGGGTTAATTGCTCAAGCCGGGGGAACCACAGGTGAGTGGCTGCCTCCAAACCGCCTCACCTGCCGAAGCTGGGCTGACTCTGCTGGCCAGCGATGGACGCCTGGTTCTTTCTCCCCTGGCTGGCTCTCTTCCTGCAGGGATGCCCTGCCAGGATGCCCACTTACGCCCACCCTCCGGTGGAAGTGCGGTGTGGGCCGCACAGCATGGTGGTGACCGTCCAGAGGGACCTCTTTGGGGTGGGGAAGCTGGTGGACCCCACGGAGCTGGCCTTGGGGCCTGCTGCCTGCCCCCCTTTCAGTCTGGAGGCCGGTGCGGTGGTCTTTGAGACGGGTCTCCATGAGTGCGGAAGCAGGGTGCAGGTATGCCTGTTAAAGGAGGGCTCTGGGAGGAAGGAAAGGGGAGGGCAGCTGGGGGTCTTTACTCTTCTGCTACCAAACCCCCGTCTTTCACAGCCTTGCAACTTTGAAGATGGCTGGACTTCAATTCCCAGAATTCCCCAGCCAGCCTTGCAAGGCTGGCTGGGGAATTCTGGGAATTGAAGTCCAGCCATCTTCAAAGTTGTCAAGATTTGATTAAAAAAAAAAAAAAATAACCCACAATTTTGTTGAAATTGGTTTGGGGTTTTGCTGTTAAGGTAGGTTGGTCGTCATAGAAGCGGCTAGTATGGATTGTGATATAAAAGTCGCCAAAAAAATAAAGTTGAGGTTTGATGTTATTACCTTATTCTACTGCCCTCAAAGGAGTCAATTCTTTTCATTTTATTTTCCCTTTTATCCTGGTTTCTCTTCTCCCTTATTTTTATTTTTATTTATTTGATTTGATTTATATGCTGCCCTTCTCCGAAGACTCAGGGCGGCTTACAATGCGTTAAGCAAAAGCCTTCATCCTTTTGTATATTTATACAAAATCAGCTTATTGCCCCCACAATCCGGGTCCTCAATTTACGTACCTTCGAAAGGATGGAAGGCTGAGTCGACCTTGAGCCTGGTGAGATTCGAACCTGCAGTAATTGCTGGTCTTAATAACAGGGTGCTTTAGACCACTGTACTACAAAGCTCTTTCTTATTGTCCCCTTATTTTCATTTTACATTTTGATAAAATAGAATTGATCTGGTTTTATATTTTGATAAACTAGTAAGATATTGGAAACCCCCGAGAGACCCTGTCCCAAACCAATTGCCCACGGAGCTTTTCCTGGTCGCCCCCTTTCCAGAGAGTTGGCACCCGCTCCTTGTGGGTCGGTGGGGGCACCGTGCATTTGCAAAACCCACCTGGCCCCCCTCTTTTCAGATGACCCCCGATTTCCTGATCTACCAGACCCAACTCTTCTACAAGCCTTCGCTGGCCAACCACCCGGTCATTGCCCGAAGTCGGGGTGCCACCATCGGGCTGGAATGCCGCTATCCCAGGTGAGGATCGGACTGGGCTTGGGCAGGTGGGGGCAGGAAGGGCAGGTGGGGCAGGGGGCTTGGTCCATTGGGGTCTTCCTCCTCCTGGCTGTTGAGGAAGGCTGTAGCTGCTCTAGATTGGGCAACCTAGGGAGGGAAGAAGGAAGGACATTGAAGGAGGAAGGAAGGAAGGAATGGAGGAAGAGAAGGAAAGAAAAGCAAAAAAGGGATGAAGGAAGGGAAAGGAGCAAAGGGGGGAGGGAGAGAAGAAGGAAGGACGTGGTAGTAAGAAGGAGGAAGGAAAAGAGAGAAAAGAAGAAGGAACAAGAAGAGAAGGAAAGAAAAGCAAAAGGAATGAAGGGAGGGAAAGGGACAGAGAAAGGAGGGTTGGAGGAAGAAAGAAGGAAGGAAGGAAAAGAAAGGAAAAGAAAGGAAAGGAAAGGAAAGGAAAGGAAAGGAAAGGAAAGGAAAGGAAAGGAAGGAACAAGAAGAGAAGGCAAGAAAAGCAAAAGAGTGAAGGGAGCGAAAAGGACAGAAGGGAGGGCTGGAGGAAGGAAGAAGGAAGGAAAATAGAGAAAAGAAGAAGGAACAAGAAGAGAATGAAAGATAAGCAAAAGGAATGAAGGGAGGGAAAGGGACAGAACGGAGGGTTGGAGAAGAAGAAAGAAGGAAGGAAGGAAAGGAAAGGAAAGGAAAGGAAAGGAAAGGAAAGGAAAGGAAAGGAAAGGAAAGGAAAGGAAAGGAAAGGAAAGGAAAGGAAAGGAAAGGAAAGGAAAGGAAAATACTGCCTTAACTGGCAAATGTTTCTGGAGCTTTGTGCTCTCACAAGTGGGAGAAAAGGGGGGCAGGAATAGGCCCAGAAGCGGGGAAGGGGGTGCCATCTGCATACGGGCTGGCACCCCCGGATCACACGGTGCCATGACTGTGGCTCGATGCCCGCATGAATTCATCCCCGTGATTTGCAAACCGTGGTCCATGACGGAGTGCCAATTCTTCAGCAAGGGTCATAGGAAGCCCAGGGTTGGCTGGGACCTGGGAGAGCAGCGTCAATCAAGAAAGCTGGGTGGGGGAGGGGGGAAGAGAAACCAGAACCCCCCCTCCCCGTTTTCTGTTCCTTCTTGCAGGAGAAACAACGTGAGCAGGAAAGCCCTGCAGCCCACCTGGCTCCCCTTGGAGTCCACGGCCTTGAGGGAAGCCAAGTTGGGGTTCTCCTTGAGGCTGATGAACGGTAAGCCCAGAGAGGACCGAAGGGCTGAAGGGGAGGGGGATTGGGAGGGGTTGGCTGGGGAATTCTGGGAGTTGAAGTCCAGACCCCCTGAAAGTCACCAAGAGGGAGAAGAACCCCCCTTATTAGGAAGCATCTCCGTTGGCCAACCAGCCAACCCAACGTTGGTTGACCATCTAGGGTGGACCTCAGACCTCCTGGGGCTGCTCTCGGTTGGGGTAGACTTTGGTGCCAACTGACATCTGCCCCCCACCCCCCATCATTTTTGGCATCCTGGGCCATTGTAACTGACGGCAGGAGGTGTGGGGTGGCCCACTCCACCGTAGCTTTGTGTCTTTCTTGGCTCAGATGACTGGACGGCCGAAAGAGCCTCTGACCACTTCCTGCTGGGGGAGCCCTTGCGCCTTCAGGCCGACGTCCAAGCGGAGAACCACCCTGCCCTGAGGCTCTGGGTGGAGAGCTGCAGAGCCGGCATGAGCCCCATGCCCACCTCCGGGCCCCAGTATGAGATTATGGGCGCCAAGGGGTAAGAACCGCACATGAAGCCGTGGAAGGGCTGCCCGGTGCTCCATCGCGGGAGGGTCTCAGGAAAAGATTGGACAGCCGTTTTTCGGGGAGGTCTCCTCCTCTGGGCAGGGGGTTGGACTAGAAGACCTCCAAGGTCCCTCCCAGCCCTAGGAATCTATGGTCTCTCTCTCTCTCTTTTCTGTCAATCAGTCAATCAATCAATCAATCACTCTGTCTGTCCATCCATCCATCCATCTTGTCTGTCTAGTCCAGGGGTGCCAAACTGAAGGCCCGGGGGCCCCGATCCGGCCTGTGGGGGAGCCCAGGATATAGCAAAGAACTGGCCCCCGTGATGCCAGTGAAAACGTGGCCCTCCTGAGCTCCGTTTTCATTGGCAGAGGGCTGCAGGAGGCCGTCCCAGCTGAAAACGGAGGTTGGGAGCCCGTCTTTTCTGGCAGAGCCCTCGGGGGCCCCACAGGCACCCCCAACACAAGGGATGTCTAACTGGCCATGCCCACCCTGGCCACGCCCACAAGTTTGACATCCCTGGTCTAATCTGTCTATCAATTATGTCTCTCTCTTGTCTGTCTGTCTGTCTCTATCTATCTATCTATCTATCTATCTATCTATCTATCTATCTATCTATCTATCTTATCCCTCCCTCCCTCCATCTATGTATCTATCGCCACGGTGGTCCAGTGGTTAGAGTGCAGTGTTGCAGGCTACTTCTGCTGACTGCCGGCTGCCTACAATTTGGCAGTTCGAATCTCACCAGGCTCAAGGTTGATTCAGCCTTCCGATGTTATTACCGGTTCTCCGATCTACTACAAATTGTTACTACCGGTTCTTGCGAACCGGTGTGAACCGGGAGCAACCCACCACTGCTCCAAGGTCATTTCCAGCCCTGTGATTCTATGATATCTCTCTCTCCCTCTCTCTCATTTTCTTTCTCCCCCGCTCCCCATCCCTCCATCCATCCCTCCATCTATCCGTTTTCCATGAAAGACCAGAGAAACGTTGTCCTAGATGGCAATATAAGGCCTCCTGCTTGGGCCCCTGGGTGTTGGGTTAGAAGCTCCCAACCCAGTGGGTCTGGGACTGGGTAGTCCTCGACTTACGACCGCAATGGAGCCAAACATTTCAAAATTGCTAAGTAAGACAGCTGTTAAGTGAGTTTTGCCTCCTTTTACGACCGTTCTTGCCACAGTTGTTAAGTGAATCCCTGCATTTGTTGAGTCAGTCACCCGGTTATTAAGTGAATCTGGCTTCCTCCATTGACTTTGATGCCGCAACTGTCATAAATACGAGTCAGTTGCCAAGCAGCCAAATTTTATGCCACAACGGTCGTAAGTGTGAAAAACAGACATAAGTCGCTTTTTTCCAACTTTGAACAGTCACTAAACGAACGGTTGTAAGTCGAGAACTGCCTGGGAGAGCAATGAGTTGGGGGAACCGGGGGGTCAGGGGTCGGCTGAGACCAGCAGCTGAGAGCCCCTCTCCCACAGATGCCTGTTTGATGGGCGGGAAGAAGGGGTCTCGTCCGCCTTCCTTGCCCCACGGCTGCGCCAGGAGACTCTGAGATTCACCGTGGATGCCTTCCGATTCGCTGGAGAGGCCCAGAAACTGGTTGGTCCTGCTGTGGAGGATGGGTTGGGGTGTGGCAGGCAAGGGTCTCCTTAGCCGGGATGGATTCTCCTCCTTCACCATCACCCTTCCCGGAATTGCAACATTGGGGGGAGGGGGGGGCAATGGCTTTTTAGGAAGTTCCCAGCCCCTCCCAACCACCCCATTTCTGACCCAAAGCCCACAATAACAGCTCCCTTAGTACGTAGGACGTATTAAGCCACGATTCACATGCTAAGCCAGTGTTTCACAAGTGTGGCAATGTTAAGACGTACGGACTACAACTCCCAGAAGTCCCCAGCCAGCCATGTCCGCACTTCTTAATGTTGCCGAGCTTGTGAAACACTTTGTGAACTAAGTTACACTTTTGTGTAAAGAACGAATCCTGAATAAATCTGAGTGGCTGCATTCACATGCACACTTTCCTTATCCTGGTTTAGCCATCTTTGGCACAGGAGCTGATCTAGCCAACTCCCCTAACAAACCAGGTTTCGCGCACAGCATTTTTGCAGAGCCAAGAATCCCAGATGGATGCCAGGCCTATCACGATCTCATCGTTGTGCCCAGTGGGCGCCTCGTTTGCCTGGCACACACGAACCCCTTTATCAAAATTGAGCCCTTCGTTGGACTTCCTCGTTCCGGAAGTTTAGCTGGCTGGGGAATTCTGGGAGTTGAAGTCCACCCGTCTTCAAATCACATAGGTTGAGAAATATACCTTTATAGCAAAAGAGGAAGAACGACCCCACTGGGAATCTGGGATTAAAAATTCCTTCCCCCCCACCTCCAGATTTACATAACCTGCCGCCTGAAAGTCACCCCAGGAGACCAGCCGCCAGATGTTTTGAACAAAGCTTGTTCCTTCGATGCAGCCAACCATTCGTGAGTTTGCCAGTCCTCCACTTAGGACCCCAATGGACGTTTCTGTCGCTAAGCGAGACGCTATGGGTGAATTTCGCCTTATTTTACGACCTTTTTGCCGCGGTTGTTAAGCGAATCGCTGCAGCTGTTCGGTTAGCAACACGGTTGTTAAGCGAATCTGCCTTCCCCCGTTGCTGAAGTCGCAAAAGGGGATCTCGTGACCCCAGGGACGTGGCGATGGTCATAAATACGAGTCAATGTCGAATGGCCAAGTGTCGAATTTTGCCAATTGCCAAGTGTCGAATTTTGATTGGGTGACCACGGGCATGCGGTCGTAAGTATGACAAAAAGGTCATAAGTCTCTTTTTTGCTCTGAATGGTCACTAAATGAACTCCAGGACTACCTGTATTAGCCCAGTTCAAAGGCTAATTTCTAGCACATTTACAAGTGCATTTTGGGAGCTGTAGCATGGCACCTGTGAAAAGGAGTGGATTGGGGGGGGCTGGGAGACCCCCTAGGACCATGATGGCGAACCTATGGCACGGGTGCCCCAGGTGGCACGTGGAGCCATATTGGTGGGCATGCAAGTGTGCCCTAGCTCAGCTCCAGTGTGCACCAGCCAACTGATTTTCAGGCCTTCCGGTTCCACCAGAGGTCGGGAAACTGGCTGTTTCCGGCCTCCAGAAGGCCTCCGGGGAGATGGGGAAGGCTGTTTTTGCCCTCCCCAGGCTCCTAGAAAGCCTCTGGAGCCTGGGGAGGAGGAAAAACGGGCTTACTCGGCCCACCGTGCCATCGCGTGCCAAAAGCGGGGGGAAGTGTGTGTGGGGGTCATGTGGGCATGTGCAGGAGGGCGGGTCGCATTGAATTATGGATGTGGGCACCCACACCCGCGACCCCCCCACACTCCCCCCACTTTTGGCACACGACGGCAAAAGGGTTAGCCATCACTGCCCTAGGAAATTTAGCCACCGGTCTTGCAAGGTCTGTAGCTTCCCGCTCTCCAAAATACCCAGCGGTTCGGTCTCCTCCTACAGCCAGCTCTTTTTCCCTGGCAGGTGGGTCCCTGTGGAAGGACCGGGCGCCATCTGCGGCTGTTGCGAGACCCGGAGCTGCGGTGGGGCAATGGAGGGGCAGGACCCCCAAGGCTCTGACGATGAAGAGATGAGTTGGCAACGGAGCTTGACGGGTAAACTGAATGGGGGTCAGCGTCGGGAAACGTGATTTACGGGGTCTGCACTTGGGTTCGCACAAATCCAGGCAAACCGTTTTCCAACTTGCTTGGGCAGGGGGTTGGACTAGATGACCTCCAAGGTCCCTTCCGACTCTTGTTAATCTGTGAAACCTTGGCCACTTGAAGATGGGTGGACTTCAACTCCCAGAATTCCCCAGCCCACTCTTGAAAACGCTGCAAACAGAGGGCAGAAAAATTGGACAAGCCATCTTCTTTTGCTGCTGCCCTCTGGTGACCATTCGTGGTTCTGCAGCCCTTTTCTAAGCTCAGAAAAAAGCCAATATTTGCTGGGTCTCCCTCATCCGTCCTTGTACGAAGACCCCTCCTCTAAAGAAGCCAGAAGGAAGGGGCTGGGTTTCCCAGGGTCTGCTAAGGGCTTCCCATGCTGGCTAAGCCAGATCTAGGATGGCTAAAGGAAGAACGGTTGCAGGAATTGGGTGTGTCTAGTTGAATGAAAAGAAGAATTGGGGGGGGGAGGGACATGAGAGCGGTCTTGCAATATTTGAGGGGCTGCCCCCCAAAAAGAGGAGGGGGGTCAACCTATTCTCCAAAACACCTGAAGGCAGGACAAGAAGCAACGGATGGAAACTAATCAAGGAGAGAAGCAACCTGGAATTAAGGAGAAATTTCCTGACAGTGAGAATAATTAACCCGGGGAACAGCTTGCCACCAAAAGTTGTGGGTGCTCCATCAGGCAGGTTTTCAAGAAGAGATCGGACAACCACTTGTCTGGAATGGTGTAGAGTCTCCTGCTAGAGCAGGGGGTTGGACTAGAAGACCTCTGAGGTCCCCCCCAAACTCTGTTATCTTGTTAATTAACCAATGCCTCCAGAAGTTATGGGTGCTCCATCACTGGAGATTTTCAAAAAAAGAGACTAGCATTTGTCTGAAATGGCATAGGGTTTCCTGTGTGAGCAGGGGGTTGGACTAGAAGACCTCCAAGGTCCCTTCTTTGATTCGTGGCCCCCTCTCCACGAGACGGCTTCAGCTGCAGATGGGCTTCTTCCAGCCTGCTAGGCTGAAATTCCAATGGGGAAGCTTGGGGGGGGTAGCTCTCTTTCCAGGGGTCAATCCGGAAGGAAAGCAAGGAGGGTCCAGCTAAAACTCACCTCCTTACGTCCGCAGTGGAGACGGCCACTCCTGAGGTCGCTCTGGCCCTGGGACCCCTGTTCGTCTTGGACCCTCAGCAAGGGAGCACCGGTCAGTTTCCAGGAGAAGCTGTCAAAGAGGAGATAGTGATGGAAGGTACTGGATTTTTTTTCTCATTAGGAGGCTCCCATGTGACGTTAAGAGAGGCGTCTCTTGCCCGGGGAGAAATTCCTGGGCACTTTCACTTCCCATTTCATTCTTAGAAATCCTTGTCAATCACTTTCTGTGGAACTCTTGATTATTTCCAATTCAGCACTGGTTCATGGAAAACACTTTCTCCTGCCTGTTCGGGGGAGTCCTCGACTTGCGGACGCTCGCTTAGAAACCAAAGTTGCAGAAGAGCCTGGAATTCAGGTAGCCCCCTCGGCCACAAGGGAGACCCAAATTCAGGTGGCTAAGGGAGACATTTGTTAAGCGTCTAAATCAGTGTTTCTCAACCTTGGAAGCTTGAAGATGGGTGGACTTCAACTCCCAGAATCCCCCAGCCAGCTGTGCTGGCTGGGGGATTCTGGGAGTTGAAGTCCACCCATCTTCAAGCTTCCAAGGTTGAGAAACACTGATCTAAATTGACTAAGGGGATGCTACAACAGTCACAACTCCCTCTTTTCAGTGCCGTTGTAACTTTGAACGTCCTTGTAAGTCAAGGACGCCCTGTAGCTAACTTACAACCTAGATTTCAAGTTCCGATGGCCGGCCTTTCCCGCCCTGCCCCTGGATTTATGTAATTGCATTTTGGGCCTTTTGGCCACCAGACCAATTTGTATTTGTAGACATTTGCAGCTTTCCTCGGTCGTGTGACTTGAGATTTATGATCTTACGTCCACTAACAAGCATGCCCTTAATAACTCCTTTGCTAATGGTAATATCGTCACGTTCTCTTTTCTAGCATCCAGGTGTAGTTTAGCCGCTGCATTCCCACCCTCTACTGAAGATGGTGCGTCTTTTAAAAAAAGACACAGCAGTGTTAATCTTGATGAAACTTTGCAGATTCCAATCATAAATGGATTAGTGTGTTTTTTTCCCCCTAAAATCAGTAGCTTTTTTTTTTTTTTTTTGCCCAGAATTTGCCAGGTAATCGGACTGCCATGTTTTTTTTTATTATTATTTTTATTAAATTTATATACTGCCCTACTCCCGAAGGACTCAGGGCGGTGAACAGGCACAAAATAAAATAGAGAGATACATTTTCATTTCATTTCTTCTGAAGACCAGAAATTTTGCCATCGTGCAGGAATTTATCACTTTACCTGTTCCCAAGAACTCTAACCTTAGAGTTTCTCAATTTCATTGTACGCATGTGGTGCATTGACAATAAAGGTTTGATTTGATTTGAATGCAGAATGAGATCTTTATAAAGTTTTATTGCCACTTTATAATGTCCTGGTAAGACCTCACTTGGAATACTGCATACAGTTTTGGTCACCATGATAGAAAACAAGATGCTGAGATTCTGGAAAGAGTGCAGAGAAGAGCTGGAGGTTAAAAAAAGATATGAAGAACGGTTGCAGGAATTGGGTATGTTAAATGACAAGAAGGAGCAGGGGTGACATTTATTTATTTATTTATTTATTTATTTATTTATTTATTTATTTATTTATTTATTTATTTATTTATTTATTTATTTATTTATTTATTTATTTTGAATTTGTATACCGCCCTTCTCCCTGAGGACTCAGGACGGTGAACAGCCAAGTAAAAACATCAAGTACAAATATTAAAATACAGTTAAAATATATATATATAAATTTGGCCCCATTAATTAAAAACAATAAACAAAACACTTAAAAACACTTAAAAAATTAGGCCAGATAGCATCTTCCAATATTTGAGGGGCTGCCCCAAAGAAGGGGGAGAGGGTCAGCCTATTCTCCAAAGCATCTGAAGGAAGGAGAAGCAACGGATGGAAACTCATCAAGGAGAGAAGCAACCTGGAATTAAGGAGAAACTTCTTAACAGTGCCAACCATTAATCAGTGGAACAGCTTGCCACCAGAAGTTGTGAGTGCTCCAACACTGGAAGGTTTTTAAGAAGAGATCGAACCACCATCTGTCTAGAAATGATGGAAGCTCTCCTGCTCCAGCAGGGGGTTGGACTAGAAGACCTCTAAGGTGCCGTCCAGCTCTGTTATTCTTCATAAAGGGTACTGATATCGCCAGATGCAATGGCTCCACATTGTAAATAGCCTGCAAGTAATTTAGCATCCCCCTCTCCATCAGCCCCAGATTTTGTCTCTTCTCTTTATAGTTGTCCACTCAAACAGGAGGGCTTTGATGGCGATCAAAGTGGATTTGAATCAATCTGCCTTTTCTTTGCGACTTCAGAATATTTTTCTGTTTTCACCAAGCAGCTGTTTGATTATTTTTTTTTCTTTTATTTCCAACATATAGAAGCCTTTAATGTTTTCACTCGCATCCTTTGCCAAATTCAGCTCATGAGCTGCCCTTCCGCTCCTTGCTCTTCGTTCACTCGAGTTTTAATCCTGCAAAAGATTTAAAAGTCTTTTAGATTTAAAGATGCTGAAAAAGATTTCAAGTCTTTTAGATTTAAATATCCTGCAAAAGATTTCAAGTATTTTAGATTTAAAGATGCTGAAAAAGATTTCAAGTCTTTTAGTTTAAAGATTCTGTAAAAGATTTCAAATCTTTTAGATTTAAAGTTTCTGCAAAAGATTTAAAGTCAGCTTTAACAGCTGGGGAGGAAGTCCGCACCCAGAAACATCTGGACGAAGGAAGCATTGACTCAATAAAATGCTGAGGCAGCATTTTAACTTCTGGGGTTGCCGAGTGCAGATGGACTATTCTTGATAGCGGAAAAATGTCACACCTCGGTGAAAGGTTGCCGAAGCTTTTGTTCCGATTCACGAAAAAGCTGAAACCAAACAACCACTGTTGTCCCCCAACAACCAACGCAATAAACGTGCTGAACAAGCGTAAAATTTTGCTGCGCTTTTGAAGTTCCCAACTTCCTCTAAAAAGAGAATAAGTAGCTTTTGCATAAGTAGCTTTGTGAGAAAGGGAAGTGCGGAAGGGATACAGAATGGTGTGTAGTCCTGGACTCACAACACATCGCTTAGCGAACATCTGAAGTTAACCGCGGCACTGAAAAAAAGTGACCTATGAACGTTTTTCACACTTACGACCATTGAAACGTGCCCAAGGTCGCAAGATGAAATTCAGACGCTTGGCCATGGGTTCATATTTATGACGGTCACGGTGTCCCCGGGGTGTGTGTGTGTGTGTCACGGAATCCCCTTTTGCGACCTTCGGACCAGCAAAGCCAGTGGGGGAAGCCAGATTCACTTAACAACCATGTGTCTCGCTTAACAACCGCAGTGATTCACTAAACGACTGTAACATGAAAGGTGGGAAAACGGGGGGAAAACTCACTGAAGTTGCTTTTTAGCCATGGAAATTTTGGGCTCGAGGACAATTTCACAGCGTCTGAAGTTTTGAGTATGTGACCGCGGGGATGCTGCAACGGTCGTAAGTGTGAAAAACAGTCGTAATTCCTTTTTCAGTGCTGCTGTAAGTTTGAATCATCGCTAAACGAACTGTTGTAACTTGAGGACTGCCTGCATTATATCCTGAGCTGTGTAGGTCTAACAGCGGCTGTTTCTGCTCCTGACAGAATTGATACCAGCTGTGCCAAAGGTAACCCACCCGCCCTTCAGAGAGCCGGTGCGGTCTTCCAGCGTCTTGGTGGATCGGAAGGATCATTTGGGACTCTCCCTGGAAGGTAAGTGCCAGATAAGGCAGGGGTCTCCAACCTTGGTCACTTTACGACTTGTGGACTCCCAGAATCCCCCAGCCAGCCATGCTTTAGGATATCTGGACTTTAACTCCCAGAAATCCTCAGCCAGTTATGCTTTAAGGTATCTGGACTACAACTCCCAGAAATCCTCAGCCAGTTACGCTTTAAGGTATCTGGACTACAACTCCCAGAATTCCCCAGCCAGTTATGCTTTAAGATATCTGGACTTCAACTCCCAGAATTCCCCAGCCAGTTATGCTTTAGGATACCTGGACTTCAACTCCCAGAAATCCTCAGCCAGTTATGCTTTAAGATATCTGGACTTCAACTCCCAGAATTCCCCAGCCAGCCATGCTTGAAGATATCTGGACTACAACTCCCAGAAATCCTCAGCCAGTTATGCTTTAGGATATCTGGACTTCAACTCCCAGAAATCCTCAGCCAGTTATGCTTTAAGATATCTGGACTTCAACTCCCAGAATTCCCCAGCCAGCCATGCTTTAAGATATCTGGACTACAACTCCCAGAATTCCCCAGCCAGTTATGCTTTAAGATGATTGGACTATGCTGCTGTGCTGGCTGAGGAATTCTGGGAGTTGAAGTCCACAAGTCGCAAAGTAACCATGGTTGGATAAAGAAGCCATCCGCATATTGGCCATCTGCTTTGTTCCAATGGGCGCCTTCCAATTGTTGGATCACAAAGCCCATAGTTCCCAGGGAGGGTTGAAGCAGCGCCCTCGTTTGACTTCTGGAAGGGCGTGTAGAAAACATCATTTTTCAAGGCTTCCATTCTCCCGGCTTGCTCTGCCAACGGGGCATTCGATCCGAAGGGACCACTTCCTTGGGTTGGTCTAGAGTGGTGGTGTGGTGGCACAATCAGGAGGCCGTGAGTTCGATCGCAGGTAGAGGCCGATATTTCTCTCTCTGGGCACAATGAGAATATATCTGCTGAACAAAACTCCACACTGGCAACAGGAAGGGCATCCGGCCAGTAAAACACTCAGCTCCATTCAGTTGCCCAGCAAGGGATTACGGGCTCATTAAAAGAAGATGATGATGACTTCCTTGGGTTGACTTAATGCTTCTTCCCCCTTGTCAGCTTTTGTCCAGCAAGGCCCCCTCTTCTTCACTGGGGCAGAAGAAGGCTCAGGTTTCGGAGACCCGACGGACACAGTCGCAGGCAGCGTGCCTCGTGAGCAGCAGCTGGCCTCCCTGCCCCAGCGAGCGAGTGCTCGGGCATCGACGTTGGCACCAGCTCGCCCATCAAAGCCCCGATTTGCTGCCACAGAGAGATCAGCGCTGGCCATCAAGGTAGAGGGTCTGCCCAGCCCCCTGGAAGATGCGGCTGCCTTCACCGCTGCAAAGCTCCCCAAAGGAGCGGTAAACATGGCAGCAAAAGGTGAGATGGGAACAGCCAAAGCAGGGCGGCAGAAAGCTTTGGCCTGCCAAGGGAGGGTTTTTAACAGAATAACAAGAGTAGCAGGAGACTCGGTTTAGACAACTGACTTTCTAATCTCTTTTTAAAAGAGATTTTAAAAAGCACCCACAACTTCTGGTGGCAAGCAGTTCCACTGATTAATTGTCCTAACTGTCAGGAAATTTCTCCTTAGTTCTAGGTTGCTTCTCTCCTTGATTAGTTTCCACCCATCGCTTCTTGTCCTGCCTTCCAGTTAGGGTTAGGAGAATAGGGTGATCCCCCCACACTTTGTGGCAACCCACAGCTTACTCTAAGAGTAAACTTACACCCCATGCTTTAGAAGTCATGCAAGTCCACTTGTCCTGGTCAGGTTAACAGACTGTGGTTAGAACCAAAGAGGCCTCTGTGTAATGTGAGAAACCTGTCACTAGTTTAGGGAAAGTCCTTGCGCTAAATTTGCACTGTTTTTCAAACTCGGCAACTTTAAGACATGTGGACTACAACTCCCACAATCCGCAGCCAACAACACATTCTGGGAGTTGCAGTCCACCAGTCTTAAAGCTGCTGGCTGGGGCCTTCTGGGAGTTGCAGTCCGCTAGTTTTAAAGCTGCTGGCTGGGGCCTTCTGGGAGTTGCAGTCCGCTAGTCTTAAAGGTGCTGGCTGGGGCCTTCTGGGAGTTGCAGTCCGCTAGTCTTAAAGCTGCTGGCTGGGGCCTTCTGGGAGTTGTAGTCCACAGGTCTTAAAGTTGTCGGACACCCCCATAAGCTGCCTCTCTCTGCTTCTCCTTCAGACGGGAAGCAACCCTTGGGACAAGTGCCCGGCTGGCTTCTGCTGCTGCTGCCGATGGGTGCCGCGGTGGTGGCCCTTCTCTCCCTCGCGGTCTGGCTCCTGGTCCGAAGACGCCGACGACTCCCCCGGGCCTCCCCCGTCAGCCTGGAACTGCAATGCAAATAAAACGGAGATTTGGTCTTCTTGCCTGCCTTGCCCTGTGTCTCTTGGGGGTGGGGTGGGGGGGCTGTTTGTGGGGGTACTAAGAGGGCACCTGCCCAAGACGCCCAGGGCCAGGCAAGGGGGTCCCCTGTGCTGCTGAGGAGAGACGTGGACCCCCCCCCACTCAACCAGGCCTGGCCTGTGGGGGGGGGGGGGCTTGGTCTGCTTGGCAGGGGGAGGGTGGCCATGCCCATGCCAGGCAGGGGGCCAGCTGGGCACCGATGTGGGACGTCCCTCGGGGGGAAACGGGGTTGCTGGACAGCGAAGGGCCGAAAAGAGACCCTCCTTGCCAGGCTGGCTGGGCAGCGAAACCCCCCACCCACCATATTACCGCTCGGGACTACAATTCCCGGCATTCCCCCCATAGGCGGCGCCCAATCCCGTCGTGCCTCGCGCGAGGAGGGGGGGTGGGAGAGAGGGCGTGGCGGGAAAGGCGTCGGCGCGTGACGTCACGCGCCACACAGAGTCCTTGAGCGCGCGCGCTCGCTCTCTCTCTCCCTCCCCTCCCTCCGTCGGCGGGCGGCCCCGCCCTTTCCTCCCGACGCCGCTTGATGACGCCATTGGGCGGCGCCGGCAGCCGCGGCAGTTTGTGAGGAAAGGAGGCGGCGGCGGCGGCGGTGGCGGCGGTGGTGGGAGGGGAGAGCGAGCGCGGAGCCTCCCTCGCTGCGCGGCCTCTCTTTCCGCGGGGGCCGCGGCCTTGGGCCCGCTGCGCAGACGGTGAGGCGCGCCCGCGAGGGCCCGGACCCCTCCTCAGGCCTCCCCCCCCGGCCTCCCTTGCCTCCCCTCCCCCAGGCGCCCCTCCCGTCGTGCCCCGCGCGCCATGCGGCCCCCTCGGGAGGCCCCCGTCCCTCTCGGCCACGCCCCCTCTCGCGCCCGGCCCCGCCCCTCAGGCCTCGCGGGGGTCTCCTCGGCCGCCCCCACCAGGAACCCCCCCCGCGAGTGGCCCCTGCGCTGCCTCCCCCCCTCATGGGACCCTTCCCACTGGCCCCTCCCTCCCCCCCCAATCGGGGTTGGGGGGCTTGTGTGTGGCTGAGCCTCGCCCTGCCCCCATTTCCTTGGGGGATTCAGAAGGTTTTAAAGCAGGGAAGGTCCAGTCTTGGCCCCTGAACTACAACTCCCAGAATTCCCCACCCGGCCATGCATGTGGGATACCTGAACTACAACTCCCAGAATTCCCCACCCGGCCATGCTTTAGGATACCTGAACTACAACTCCCAGAATTCCCCACCCGGCCATGCATGTGGGATACCTGAACTACAACTCCCAGAATTCCCCACCCGGCCATGCATGTGGGATACCTGAACTACAACTCCCAGAATTCCCCACCCGGCCATGCTTTAGGATACCTGAACTACAACTCCCAGAATTCCCCACCTGGCCATGCATGTGGGATACCTGAACTACAACTCCCAGAATTCCCCATTCGGCCATGCTTTAAGATGACTACAACTCCCAGAATTCCCCACCCAGCATGTTTTAAGAGGGGTGGATTACAAGTCCCAGGATTCCCAAATTGAAGTCCAACCATGCTTCACTTTTTTTTCCCAAGTTCAGCATGGCCAATATTCCTGATATTTGCCCTAATTTTTCCAACCTGCGGCTGTGTGGGAAGACCCATTTCCCAGACACCCCGCTGGCCCACTGGAATTCTGGGAGTTCCACCCTCCGCCTGATCCTCTGTGAAGAGTTGCTGGGTTCCTGAGCATGTTTTGAGTGCCTGGGCCTAAGAAGAGGCTTTAAGGAGGGTCAAGGCTTTGGGTTGTTTAGGAGGTGGAGAAAAAGCCAGGCCGGCTGGGGAACCCTGGGAGTTGAAGTCCGCAGGCCCTAAAAGCGGCCAAGGTTGGACAGCCCTAGTTGAAAGCCTCCGGTCCTTCTCCAGAGAGTTCTGACCCACTCAAGAGTGTTATAACCCTTTTTCTGTTGTGCACCTTAACGCTGCACTTACGCAGGTAGTCCTCGACTTAGCCACAGTTGAGCCCAATGCTTCTGCTGCTGAGGGACAGAGTTGTTAAGTGAGTTTTGCTCCATTTTACGACCTTCCTTGCTGCATTTGTTCATCATTGCAGTTGTCGTTCTGTTACTATTGTTGTAGCTACACTGAGACCTTATGCACCAGAGACAAATTCCTTGTGTGGTCCATAAAGATTTCTATTAAGTTCGTAACTGAATCTGGCTTCCCCATTGCCTTGTTTGTCAGAAGGTCACAAAAAGGGATCACGTGACCCCAGGACACCACAACCGTCATAAATCTGAGTCAGTAGACAAGAAGCTGAGTTTCGATCACGTGACCCTGGGGATGCTGCAACGGTCGTAAGTGGGAAAAACGGTCATCAGTCACTCTTCGTAACTTTGAACGGTCACTAAATGAACTGTTGTAAGTCAAGGACTACCTGTATGGGCAGCTCGGGCCAGTGGGCAGGCAAATGTCATAGCCCCCACCCCCCCCAAATAAATGCAGGTGAAGCATCTTCTCTGAACAATTGTGTGCCATTTAAAAACACAGCAGCAAAAGTGCTAGGCCTCCAAACAGCCCTTGAGAACTGGGGCCGTCTGTTTCTGTCCAGAGAGTTGTCACAGGCGGGGAAAGTGTTGCCTCTTTGGAAGCTGTCGTGAAAGAGGAACATGGGTCGTTCTGAAAAATGCTCTGGGCTTTGGGGTTGCTCTGTTTTTAAAGTGGTTGCCGCCATCCACTGGGAGAGGGTGGAGGAAATGGCGGCAATGGGGCTGAAGTCTGGGTTAGGGAGCCAGTTTGGCCTACTGGTTATGGTGCTGACTTGGGAACTAGGAGACAGTGAGTTCTAGTCCTGCCTTAGGCATGAAAGCTGGGTGGGTGACTTCACACCAATCACCAGGAGAGAGAGAGAGAGTTGTAGTCCCTCTTTAACATGAAAGGCAGCTGGGTGGCTTTGGGCCAATCACCAGGAGATGGTGAGTTCTAGTCCTGCCTTGGGCACGTACACTGGGTGGGTGACTTTGGGCCAATTACCAGGAGAAGTGAGTTCTAGTCCTGCCTTAGGCATGAAAGCTGGGTGGGTGACTTCACACCAATCACCAGGAGAGAGAGAGAGTTGTAGTCCCTCTTTAACATGAAAGGCAGCTGGGTGGCATTGGGCCAATCACCAGGAGATGGTGAGTTGTAGTCCTGCCTTGGGCACGTACACTGGGTGGGTGACTTTGGGCAATTACCAGGAGAAGTGAGTTCTAGTCCTGCCTTAGGCATGAAAGCTAGCTGGGTGACTTCAGGCCAATCACCAGGAGAGAGAATTGTAGTCCCTCTTTAACGTGAAAGCTGGTTGGGTGACTGGTTCAATCACCAGGAGACGGTGAGTTCTATCCCACCTTAAGCCGGAAAACCCCACTGGATGACTTTGAGCCAATCTATCCCTCTCTCAGACACACGCACCTCACAGGGTGTTGGTTGTGGGGGGAAATAAAAGAGAAGGGCGTGTTATGCATGCTTGCCACCTCAAGTTACGTATAAGGTAGTAAAGATGGGCTAAATATCAAATAATAAATGTGGTTGCACTAAGCAGGGAATGAGCTGACGTCCCCTAACTGTGGCGGTTCTGGGTTCCTCTGATCTTCAAAGCACCGTTTTTGGGTCCCCCAGGGAGTTAAATACGTGAGAGGTCAGTTTCGGATCCTTCTGCTCGGAAGCCCATGGGCCATGTCTCCCTGATTAGAGCTGTGTCTCTCTCTCTCTTCCCCCTTCAGCACATCGGAGCGATGAAGGAAAGCATCCAAGACAAGAAGTACTGGGGGGGCCCCCCCAGCCTCCACGACCCCATGGGGCACCCCGACCAGTTTTGCAGAGCTTCCCGAGAATGGCGCGACCCGGAGCACCAACGAGGCGGCTGCTTCGAAGGGAGCCGGCGCCTGGCCTGCGCCAAGAAGCCGCTTCCCAGTTTCAACCCCTTGTCCTCCAGCAGCGACGAGGAACATCGCGAAGGCCAGTGGGATCTCTCCCGCGTATCCAGCTGGGGGGTGGCGGGGGGCCCTTCGGAGCTCTCCCGGCACAAAGCCCCCCGGGGGAAGTTGGCCAGGAGCGGAGGGCGCGCCTGGCCTTTCGAAGTCGGCACCGGCGCTCAGGCCAGAAGGCGTCCGCAGCTGCTGGGGACCTCCAGACATTGTTTCCGCCGCAAGCGACAACGGGCTCTGCGCGCTTTCCGGATGTTTCTGTATTCCAAGAGCTCTCTGGCTTTCCACTGGAAGCTGTTGGGCAAGATGGCCACCAAGGGACGCCGGCGAGGAGGGGCAAAGCGGGCCCGGTCGTCTATGTCCCTCTCCCCTGGCTCCCAGCCCGACGACGACCACCTCCCAGTCTTTAAGAAAAGCTGCCCTTTGGGAGCAGAGGCGGAGGACTGCCAAAGCGCGGCCAAGGGCCGGCCCCACTCTTCTGAGCCACGGCTGGACTACGAATTGGGGGGAGCCTTCCCCCCGTCTCCATCCACGCCTCAGCACTCCCGCCTCAGCTTGCTGGGGGCCCTGATAGAAGAGGCGTCCCCCTACCCTCAGTACATGGAGCTCCAGCGGGTGAGCTTCGACAAGGACCCCGGAGCCATGGAACCCGGGGAGGAAGAACCGGCCACCCTGCTCAAATACCCTGCCCGGGGTGCCCAGGTGTCCCCCAGGACTAGGAAGATGGGAGAGCCGCAGCACGGCCTGGACGGAGATGGAGGTAAAAGCCAAACCAGGGTGGGGGGGATTTCTGCTCTAGAACCCAGATCCAACCTAGAACGAAGGAAAAAAACTTCCTGACCGGAGAACCCTTAATCAGTGGGACGGCTTGCCTTCTAGAACTTATGGGTGCTCCTCCAACACTGGAGGTTTTTAAGAAGTGACTGGACCGCCATTTGTCCAGAATGGTATAGGGCGGGGGTCAGCAACCTGCGGCTCCAGAGCCGCATGTGGCTCTTTGGGCCCTCTGCTGTGGCTTCCTGTCAGGTGATTCCATCACTGGCTGGCCCCACCCCTCGCCCTCCCGTCCCAGTCACTCCTCGCCTGGCCTGAGAAGGTAAGGGCGACGGCGGGGGATAGAGAAGCAGCCAGGGCAGAGACAGAGAGATACAGAGAGAGGGGGGGAGAGAGAGGGAGACAGAGATACAGAGAGAGGGGGGAGAGGGAAACATAGAGGGGGGGGGGGGAGAGGAAGAGACAGAGAGAGGGAGGGAGGGGAGAGAGAGAGATGTCAAAAGGATTTTGTGGTTCCCGGTGTTTTTTAACAACTGGTTCTCTGCCCTAATGATTGGCTTATGTCAAATTGCAACATTTATTTTCATTTTTTAAAAATATATATATACCTCAACATCAATACATGAACAGTGTGGCATCTGGGTATCATTCATTTTGGGACAAGTTGCAATAATGATAATAATATTTGTTACATTAATCAAACTTATGAAATCCTAGTATTAATATACATGTATGTTTTAAAGTAGTTATTCAATATTTCAATGTTCCATTTTAATGCCAATCACAATATTATTTCAGCTGGCATAGTAATGCCATCTTTCAACCTCTGATCTTTCCCATTAGTTATTTCTTTTATTCTATTGTATATATAAAAAAAATGTGTGCTAATATTCACCCTATTTCTTATTTCTAATTCTATTCTGGCTTCTAGTCAGGCCGTCATTGCTGATCCTAGTCTTGATACACAGGTTTATATTAAGATATAGTCCGTTATTATTTAATTACTCAATGTTTCAGTGCACCATTTTAGTGCCAATCACCATATTATTTAAACATACTTAATAATATCATCTTTCGACCTCTAATCTTTCCATCTAGCTATTACTTTACTTTATATAAAGTAATGTGTATTCTTATTTCTACCTCTATTCTAGTTTTTAATCAGGCCATCATTATACTAAAAAAAAAATGGAAAAAAAATTCCTTTCTATCCATCATCTCTTGCTCATTTTAATACTTCAATTCTTATTTGCTTTTGACTTGCCTCCCATACGCCTCTCTCGGATCCTTGTCTCTGTCTACATCTGTGTCTTCACTATTCAGTCTCTCATCTCTATCCTCCTCTGCTGCCCGGCCTCCAGAGTATCCACTTTCAAAAGTATCTTCCTGCTTATCCAATTCTCTTTTTAAATCTGTCAAAGTACTTTCCCCTTAGTTTATTATCTTTATTATCTTCTCCTCCTCTTCTGTGCTGGTTTTTTTCTGTTCTGTCTTTTCCTCCATTTTTTCTGTTGACTCCTCTCTTTCCTGGAATCTTTGGTCTTCATTCATTATTAGTTGCAGGATATTTTCTATTTTCCCATTTATGCCCTGCTATAGGTTCTTTATCTCCCTGTAATTCTTTGTCATAGTGTCCTTAATACGTTGGAAGATCAACCCCATTTCTTTTGAGAGCTCACTTATTTCCTCCTGATGGAGCTTCTTATCTTATTTTAGAAAGTCCCGTTTTTACTCAGTGGTCCAAATACAATATATTCAGGTCCAATGTTGCTTCTCAGGAAGTGGCAATACTCACAGTTCTTTATATTCCAAGCTTATCCAGTCAGTTTCATTTAACTAGTCCAGTAGTAATGATGTTTATTTCCAAACATCAAAAGTCACTTTACTTAAGAGTCTTCCTTATTCCCACAGTTGAGTCTCCAGTAACCATAGAGTAGGTAATTATAGAACAGTAAGTATCACCACAGTCCTTCAAATGGGTCTTATTTATTTCTCCTATCACAAACTTTCCCAGCCTTGCAGAGGTATGGTATATCTTTCATGTTCCAAATCGCAACATTTATTAATGGTTCTCTGGCCCAGACATTTATTGATGGGAGCAAGATAAGATAGAAGATAAATCCATAACACGCCACAAAAGCATACAGCTGTGTTTCTCAAACTCGGCCACTTTAAGAGGGGTGGACTTCAACTCCCAGAATTCCCCAGCCAGCATATCAGAGTCCCATTTAATTGTCATGCCACCTAGCCCATATTTATTCTGTTTATTAATTTAGCTTGTCACGGGTTATTTTTTCACTTTGCTGAACTCAAGGTATATTACTTCAACCGCATTCCCGCCATCGATTAAGAAAGTTTATCCCATCAAAAAACACGACAAAGGCATTCCAGCCACATCTGTCCTTGTTCTTTCCACGCTCAATTCTGGTGAATCCATTCTGAATCCATGCTGGCTGGGGAATTCTGGGAGTTGAAATCTGCACCTCGTAAAATCAATGAGGTTGAGACGCAGGGATGTGGAGGGTAAGAGGAGAGGTTATACAGAGAAGGCAAGGCGATTTGGGTATATTTACTCTGGTTGCTGTGGAGTGAGATTATGGAGATTACAGATTGACAGTTGGAAGGGATCTTGTAGGTCATCTAGGCCAGGGGCTGTTGGGGCTTGATGTGTGGTGGTTATAGGGGTCTTTCGGGGCCAATTCGTTGTTTGGAAAACGCCAGGCAAAACGGCTGATGACCACCTGCTCAGAAAGGAGGCCTCCATCTATGGCACCGCTTGGTGTTAGGATGAGGAAAATCTCCTTTTTTATTTAATTGTTACATTTTTCACGCATGAAGGCGAATAGACGTGTCCCAGGATAATGTCTGGGTCAATCACTGGGACCAGAAGTTTTCTGAGCTTCTAGACTCGTGCTGCAGCCGGGGAAGTTCTCTCTAGCAGTGGGTGTGCTTTGGGCTACACATAGGACGTGCATTCAGTTTTGCACCAACCAAGATTGTTGGACGAGCAGGTACAAAAACAGCCAGGGAAGTGAGCGAAGCCTGGGAAACGCCAGTCAACTGGAATGCTGATTTAACATCAGTGCTTGTCAGCTGAAGGAAACGGCAGCCAACGACTTAAGAGCCAGCCATCAACACCACAATCAAAATCTAAAAAGCCACACACAACAAGGGCCACATACACACACCACACAGAATAGCCCAAAGCCCACACTCTGGTAGAGAGAAGTTCCCCGAGGATGGGCTCCAGCACGAGTCCGAACGCTGGGAAGACTGGTTGCGGTGACCGACCCAGATTGGATCCCATTATATTTTTGCACTGCTGGACAGTCAGAGACTCCGGGCAGCTCATATTTAAACGCCTTTCTGTTGTTGTTCAGTTGCTAAGTCACGTCCGACTCTGCGACCCCACAGAGCACACAGCACGCCAGGCCCTCCTGCCCTCCGCTGCCTCCCCCGGTTTGCCCAAATTCACGTTCGTTGAGTCAATGAACCTCCCTAATCTTCTCATCCTTTGCCATCCGTCCCCTTCTCTCCCCCATTGCCTTCAATCGATTCTTAACAGCACGCAAAACAATAACACAGCGATCGAAACAACAAACGGAAGGCGGCACCAGTCGGACAACCAAAGCAAAGCCACCTTACCCAGAAGGAGGCTTCAGGGACCCTCACCCAAGACCATCCAGAATGAGTTGGAAAGGACCCTAGAAGTCTTCTAGTCCAACCCCCTGCTTGAGCTGCAGACCCTAAATGAAGTTCTCCCTCAGATCTGGATCTTTTCCGGGGTCCCCAATATTGTTTAATCCAAGAGGAACCCAGAATTCAGATTTGGGGTAGTCCTACATGGAGCGTATTGCAGTGGTCAAGCCACAAGCTGACCAGAGCAGGAGCGACTGAAGGATCTCTCAGTCTGGGAGAAGACCAGAGAGAGCTGTGCCCGAGGCTTCCCTGCTTATCGAACAGGAGCCCCACCAAGCCATACTACTGAAGTGGTTTTGGCTTGTTGGGGGGGCGGGGGATGAGTTCTAGGCCAAGAAAGAAGTCCTACCTTGCCTACCTTATTCTTCTCCCAAAATAAGGAAATGAGTCTCGTTAACTGTGAGGTGTAATGTTTTCCAGCCTTGACAGTTTTCAGGTCTATCTATGGACTTCAACTCCCAGAATTCTCAACGACAGCCGTTCTGGCTGGGGAATTGTGGGAACTTAAGGAAGTTGCCAGAGTTGAGGAATATTGATCTAAAGCCATGTTTCTCAACCTTGGCAACTTGAAGATGGGTGGACTTAAGCTCCCAGAATTCCCCAGATGGCCATGCCTGGTTTTTTTTTACCCCTTCTATCTCCTATGGTGGAGAGATTGCAGAGGAAGGGATTATAAGAGAGTAAGCAGGCCACAGTGGGCATAAACCTCAAAAGGAATGCATCCGTGCCAGGGAATTCTGGGAGTTGAAATCCACCCAAGGTTGAGAAACAGTGTTGTAAAGGAAGGGTTCCCTTTCAATCTCTTTCCTCAAAAATCTGCTGGCAGAAAGAGGGATCCACTCACATGTCAGATTCAGCTACGTGTTCCCGAAATCCGGCAAGATTTGCAGAATTTTCCACTCGATGGGGCAGTGATCTGTTTGCCCATCTAGCACTTTCCTCGCTTCCTACGACCGCAGTGATCAGATTCGTTGAAACCCTCCCCCCAAACTTCTCCCCCCTGTCCTGCAGACGCCCTGGATGCCCTTCCCAACGGTTTCGCGTCTCTTCCTCCGGACGGTGACCTCTGCTCCCTGCCCGGCTTGCCGGACGCCACAATCCTCATCAGCAACGTCTGTAGCATCGGAAGCCACGTGGCCGAGGAACTTTTCCAAGGGACCCGAGACAACGGCCGGCCGCTGGATCCTTCAGCCGGCCGGGTGGAAGGCGGGAGCCAGCCGGCCGATGCGGCTGCCGAAGAGGCCGAAGAGAGGCCCGGTGAGAACGCGGCTCAGCCCAGTCTGCTGCGGGAGGAGCACATCACGTGCGTGCACAGTAAGAGCAGCGTGTGTGTGTCTGTGTGTTTTGTTTGTGGAGGCTGGGTGCCTCTCACAGGCAGTCCTCGACTTTACGGCCAAAATCCTGTCGCTAAATGAGACATTTGTTAAAGTGAGTTTTGCCCCATTTGGCGACTTTGCTTGCCACGGTTCTTAAGCGAATCACTGCTGTTGATAATTTAGCGACCCGGTTGTTAAGTGAATTTGGCTTTTCCCCCGTTGACTTTGTTCATCCGGAGGGGATCACAGGACCCTGCCGGGACGCTGCGACCGTCATAATTACGAGTCCGTTGCCAAGCGTCGGAAATTTGACTACGGGGATGCTGCAACAGTCGTTAAGTGTGAAAAACCGTCCTAAGTCCCTTTTCTTTCAATGATAATGTAAACCGCTTGCTGGCTGGGGGATTCTGGGAGTTGAAGTCCACCCATCTTCAAGCTACCAAGGTTGAGAAACACTGATGTAAACGGTCATGCAATGGACTGTTTTAAGTCGAGGACCACCTGTGCAAAATTTACAATTAAAGAAAAAAAAAGGATGGGTTAAAAATGAACATTAAATGTGGATTAAAAAGCTTTTTCCCAGCAACCTTAAAGGCAGCCCCCACCCCCCTTTTCTCTCGCCCCCACATTGAGACACCCCCCCCCAAAGATGGACTGAATTTGGTTGCTTCCGTTTTCTTCCTTCCGTCCTTCCTGCCAGACATCTTGGACGAGTTCCTGCAGACGTATGGCAGCCTCATCCCCATCAGCGTGGACGAGGTGGTGGGGAAGCTGGAGGACATCTTTCAGCAGGAATTCTCCACCCTCCAGAGGTACGATTTCCCCCCCCCAACAACACACACACACTGCTAACCCCCCCTCTCCCCGTTCTTACTCCTCCATGCCTGCCCCCCCCCCTCCAGCCGCTAATGGGCAAATAGCTCAGTTTGCTTCCCCCCAGCTGGAAGATCAAGGCTCCAGGAAGGCTGCCCCACAGCACCCTTGCCAGCCCCCCCACCCCAAATCTAAGCTCCCCTGCAAGGGAAATGGTTGTCTCACACACACACACACACACACAGGTCTAATGTACCCCTGGGAAGGAAAGCCTCGCAGGTCTCTGGAAAGAGCCAAGCCGCAATTCCAGGCAAAGGAAAAGACGCAACTCCCAGAATTCCCATCTAGAAATAATGGGATGCTGGGGATTGAGGTCCCTTACACAGCTCATGGCGAGCGGGAGGGCCATGCAGGGTGAAGGAAGGGACCATGGAGGTCTTCTAGTCCAACCCCCCCAGGAGTTCAAAGCAGGAATCCTTGTGGTCAAATGGGCGTCTGAACTTTTCTTGAAAACGGCTGGGTGGGTGGAGATGGGTGGATGGAGAGGCGGAGAGAGAGAGAGAAATCATAAGGTTGGAAGGAACTTTGGAGGTCTTCTAGTCCAACCTTGGTAGAGCCCGGGTAGCGCAGCAGACTAAAGCACTGTTATTAACATCAGCTGCCTGCAATTATTGTAAGTTTGAATCTCGCCAAGGCTCAAGGTTGACTCAGCCTTCCATCCTTTCTAAGGTAGGTAAAATGAGGACCCAGTTTGTGGGGGAAATAAGCTGACTTTGTATAAATATACAAAAGGATGAAGGCTATTGCTGAGCAGGTTGTAAGCCACCCTGAGTCTCCGGAGAAGGGCAGCATATAAATCAAATTAAAAAAACCCCAAAAAAAACCCGGGAGCCCATGGCCTTATATCATCCAGGAAGAATGCTTACCTGATCTTTTCTTGGGATAGAGATGATAGGTAGATGATAGATAGGTAGGTATATAGACAGACAGACAGACAGAGAGACAGTATTTAGATAGATATGAATAGATACCACAGATAGGAATCTTTTCTTGAGATAGACAGGCAGACAGACGAGAGAGAGGAGTTGACAGCGTTCCAAGCAACAAACCCAACGCAATGCAAACTCTGAGGTTTCCTCAAAGTGTGAATCTATTAGGAAAGTCATATTGGCACAGCTGGTGAAAACCCGACTCTGAAGGCCCCGAGGTTTTCCCCACCCAAACCAGACCCCAAAGTCCTTGCTTCCCGCCCCCCAGGCCACGCCTCCATCACACGGTCCAATCAGGTCACAGCCCCAACTCCAGTTGGCTTCAGCACCTGGTGAGAACGACCTTGGTTCTTCGGGGGAAGAATTTTATTTTGGCTACGGGTCCCCAGTTGTCTCTTGTCTCCCCCCTTCCCGTTCCCACAGCTCCAACCGGCCTGGCTGTGGCAGCCCTGAAGAGGCTCCAAAATGGCTTCAGGGTTGACAGAATGAGAAAGAGGGAGAGGGAGATTGTAGAATCATAAAAGTTGGAAGGAACCTTGGAGGTCTTCTAGTCCAACCCCCGGGGGCCCAAGGCCTTATATCCAGGAAGTCCAGGAAGAATGGTTGTCTGAGCTTTTCTTTAAATAGACAAGACTGACTGACAGACAGATAGTAGATGGATATTCATCAATAGATGCCATCGATAAATATCTTTTCTTAGAGAGAGAGATGAGAGAGAGAGATCTTTTCTTGAAATAGGCAGACAGACGAAAGGGCCTGGTGGCTCAGCAGACTAAAAGCATTGTGATTAACACCAGCTGTCTGCAATTAGTAAGTTCGAATCTCTCCAAGGCTCAAGGTTGACTCAGCCTTCCATCCTTTCTAAGGTAGGTAAATTGAGGACCCAGTTTGTGGGGGGGCAATAAGCTGACTTTGTATAAATATACAAAAGGATGAAGGCTTAACGCCTTGTAAGCCGCCCTGAGTCTCCGGAAAAGGGCGGCATATAAATTAAATTAAAAAAAAAAAAAGAGTGGAGGATTCTAGGGCCAGAAGAGACCTCCCTAATATTCTGGAGATCATCCATACAGAAGTAATAAAAAAAAAAAAAAAATCACAAGCGCTAACTCTACTTTTATTGTAAGGTTACACTAAGAGAATCTGTCCCTCCTCCTTTCCTTTCAATCCCCAAGCTACGCGGGATGCTCCTTCCCTTCTGACATGCTTCCCAGGCCCCTTTTCCTGCTGAGGGCTCAGAGGGGCCTTTGCCCTGTCTGAGCTGCCCCTCTTCCCTCCCCTAGAAGCCTGGCACTCTTGACAGATCAGCAGGCACAGAGACATTAACAGGCACATCTACAGGTGACGCGAAAGAGACTAAGCAGAGCGCGGCATTCCCACCCCGCCGGCAATCGGCACCCAGACACCAACTGCCAAGATTAACATCACACCCCCACAATCAAGTAACCGAGAGCCCCATCCAGGCACTGCCAGAGAAGCCAACAGCAAATGGCCCAAGCAAAGCATGATGAATGCTATAAATCCATACAGGCATCGTGCTCTGGAAAGAGGTCCTGAAACAGCATCTGCTGTGACTAAGAAGGCCAATGGGAGAGTGGCCATCGATCCCGTCCCCACTGAGGGGCAGATCCGTTCCGTCCCCTGCCCACCCCCCAGATTTTGCCGGTTCCGGGACTGCCTCTTTGCCTCAAGTGTCTCTTCGAATTGGAGAAGGCCATGCTGCCTCTTCAGCCTCTCCAAGCTGAACGATCGGAGATCAAGGTTTCCCAGTCATTAATGTCCATTCCCAGGGCCTTTAGGTCCCTCTTGCAGACATCCTTATATATATGGCAGCTGTGGTCTCCCTCTGAGGCGCTTTCCCTGCACTAATTCTTAGTGTATAGGGTGTAGGTGAATACATACATATGTATATATAGCATACCTCTATGTATGTGATGCATGTGTACACTTTTGAGAGAAGCAAGGGAATTTCATTTTTAATGTGTGCCAGTGTGCCCACAAGTGTGTGGGGTGGGGGTGGGGAATGACAATACAGGTGAGCTTAAATATCTAAGGCCAGGGGTTCCCAACCCCCAGTCTGTGGACCAGCACCGGGCCGCAACATGTTGAAAACCGGGCTGCCCAAACAAGGGAAGCTCCCATCCGTGGGATGCAAGTGCATCCCCTTCAGTCCGTGGAAAAACCTCTCTCCGTGGAACTGGTCCCTGGTCCCCCAAAGGTTGGGGGCCACCATCTAAGGCCCCCCTCAACAACACAGACACAGCAAGCCACTAGAATAGAATATGACATCAAACCACACTCCTTACGAGCACTGATGATGTTACGTAGTTGGGTCATGAAACGTCTGCAAGAAAACCAGCGAGCTCGGAGAACACCAAGGAGCCCTCACGTCAACCCTGAGCTACAAAGAGTCCTCCTCCTCCTCCTCTCCCATTCCCACCTTCCCTTAAACTCCAGCAGCCACTGGCCAATTTCCCTGTAACTTTGAATGGTCACTAAATGAGCGGTCGTAAGCCGATCTTGTGAGGGTCTGGCGGAGCTCCAGGGCATGGAACGCCAGATGCCCCTTAGGAGGAGTCAACTGACAGGGGGGGTTGAAGGGCCCCAGACCCCCACCCCGTCTTTCAGTGTCACTTCCCACGGAGGGGTCCCCCAAGGCCTGTCGTTCTCTCGGCCCCTTCCAGGAAGAGCTTGGTGAACCAGCTGATCCAGTCCTACCAGCGCATGCCGGGCAACGCCGTGGTTCGGACCTTCCGGGTGACTTACAAACGCCACGTGGTGACCATGGATGACCTGCAGACCCTTTTTGGGTCCAACTGGCTCAATGACCAGGTAGGCTCATTGCACCCCAGGCGGAGAAGAGGTGGGACTTGTAGAGGCCCTTGGGAGCACAGGGCCAGAGGTTGCCCCAGATGCGCCCCAGGCTCCGTGAGCACCAAAGGTCCTGGTCCCTTCGCAGGGGGTTTTCTAACCTGCAGGGGCTCTTCTGAGCCCCTCTCCCTGGGCTTCATTTTAAACGTTGGCTGGAACAATTATGCCTTTCTATACCTTGGGGTCATCCCAGGTGGAATGACGTGGAAGGTCTGCAAGAAAACAGCCAAGCTCAGAGACACCAAGGACCCCACAGTCCTCTTCCTCCCTCCTCCTCCTCTTCCTCCTCCTCTTCCTCCCTCCTCCTCCTCCAAGTAATAAATCCATAGCAATCAAGCCAGGTAGATTTCTCAAAGGATGCTTTTATTGGAATTATCATATTGGCACATACCCTGTGGAATGAACTGCCCCCGGAAATACGTAAGATCTCTGACCTCCGGGTGTTTCGCTGCGCACTGAAGTCCCTGTTGTTCCGCCAGGCCGGGCTATCAACATAATAATTTTAAATTGGGGTATTTTAAATTTCTGGGGTTTTAAATTGAGCCAAATCTATTTAATCATTTTAAATTTTTAACCGTTGTTTTGTCTTGTGTTTTTAAATAGGCTGTACACCGCCCTGAGTCCTTCGGGAGAAGGGCGGTATAGAAATAAAATTATTATTGTTATTGTTGTTGTTGTTGTTGTTGTTATTATTATTATTATTATTATTATTATTATTATTATTATGAAGTCTCCTGTGGTTTTCACCTAATTAATAAGAAAAAAAAACTACTTTCTCCAAACAATCAGTCCCATGGCCCCTTCACGGTGTGGACTGGCAACTGGGTGGCATCACTCCGCCTTCCATCAACCAGGCGTGAGAATGCCCATGGTTCCCAAGAGAAAATATGTTGTTTTGGCTACAGATTCCCTTCTATCTCAATTCCCTATCCCTCAGCTCCAGTGTGGCAACACTGAAGCGACCAAAATGGCTTCCGTCAGGTCAGCTTCAGGGTTGACACCTCCCCTTCTTTCCTCCTCCTTCCTTCTCTCCTCCTCTTCCTCTTCCTCTTCCCCCTCTTCCTCCTCTTCCTCCCCTTCTCTCCTCTTCCCACTCTTCCTCCCCTTCTCTTCTTCTCTTCCTCTTCCTCCTCCTTGCCTTCTCTCCTCCTCTTCCTCTTCCCCCTCTTCCTCCCCTTCTCTCCTCCTCTTCTTCTTCCCCCTCTTCCTCCCCTTCTCTTCTTCTCTTCCTCTTCCTCCTCCTTGCCTTCTCTCCTCCCTCTTCCTCCCCTTCTCTCCTTCTCTTCCTCCTCCTTCCCTTCTCCTCTTCCTCCCTCTTCCTCCTCTTCCTCTTCCCCCTCTTCCTCCCCTTCTCTCCTCTTCCTCCTCCTTCCCTTCTCTCCTCCTCTTCCTCCTCCTTCCCTTCTCTCCTCCTCTTCCTCCTCCTTCCCTTCTTTCCTTCCTCTTTCTCTCCTTCTCTTCCTCCTCCTTCCCTTCTCCCCTTCCTCTTCCCCTCTTCCTCCCTCTTCTTCCCCTTCCCTCCTCCTCCTCCTTCCCTTCTCTTCTCTTCTCCCCTTCTCCTTCTCTTCCTCCCCACAACCCCCTCTTCCTTTTAGCACTGGTGACGTCCCCTAGTTGGGTCACGAAACATCTGCAAGAAAACCACCAAGCTCAGAGTCTTTAAAGATTCTCGGCCACCCAGGTCATGGTTGTCCCAAAGATGCTTTTTCCAGAAGGCAACTGGACTTTCTTGTTTTTTCTTTTGAAGATGTTTCGCTTCTCATCCATTCCCCAGTATCCTGTCAGAGCGGAAGAAGCTTCTTGGGTGAGAAGTGAAACATCTTCAAAAGAAAAAAACCAGAAAGTCCAGTTGCCTCCTGAAAAAAAATGTGCTTTTGGGACACCAAGTTCAAAGAGCACCAAAGTCCTTCTCCTCCTCCTCCTCCTCCTCCTCCTCCTCCTCCTCCTCCTCCTCCTCCTCCTCCTCCTCCTCCTCCTCCTCCTCCTCCTCCTCCTCCTCCTCCTCCTCTTCACAATCCCCACCCTTCTAGCACTGATGATATTCCCTAGTTGGGTCACGAAATGTCTGCCAGGAAACCAGACCCAGAGAGCGCCAAGGACCCCACACTTCAACCCTGAGCTACAAATATTCTGTTAATTTCCTTTCTCTCCTGAGCACCATTTCATACTGGGCTGTGGTTACTAATTGTTAGGAGGGGGGGAATACAGTCCAGTAGGAATGATTTGGTCTTCCCCACCTAAGGCTGACTCCCCTCCAGAGGTGCGTATCCTGTGTTCTTGTTGTAACCCATCCCATCATTTCCCTCTTTCGAGCAGGTGATGAACATGTATGGGGACCTCGTTATGGACACGGTGCCAGAAAAGGTGAGGCACATTTTTCCAGCCTTTTTGCTTGCGAAATAAGTTCAGAATATGACTTTGCAAAAACGCTGTGAGTTCAAAAGCATTTCGCCCCACACTGAGCCTGGGACAGATGCTTTGATGGTTGCCCTGAAGGTCCTTTGAGATTCTGAATAAGGAGAGGTTTTGTCCATTCACTGGAGGGGCGGGGGGAAACCCACAACTGATACAAAATGTAAAAATCATAAAAATTCGATAAAAAATTATATTTTATTATGTTTTACTAACCTAGGTTAAATGTTAATATAGCAGTGGCCAAAATTGTGGAAACCTAGCTCATAACACCACTTTTTTCGGGGAGTAGTTAGTACCACAAAATTATATATCAATGGATACCATAAAATTATATATCAATGGATACCATAAAATTATATATCAATGGATACCATAAAATTATATATCAATGGATACCATAAAATTATATATCAATGGATACCATAAAATTATATATCAATGGAAAGGTAATTTAATCAAGAATGTAATGCAATAACCTTTATGAATGATTTGCTATTAGAATAGCAGCTACAGTATAAAGAAGAAAAGTGAAACATGTAGAAAAAATGAGAAATATAAAAATTATCACCATAGAAAAAAGGAGATATACAAAAATGATCCCCATGTCAGTTAATCCTTAGTTGGGTAACCTTTAAGCATGAATGACGGCCTTACAACGTCTTCCCATGGAGTGAACCAAGCCTTTTAGTTCTGTAGCTGTTCTAATGTGAAACCAAGATTGAATGATGGCCTCTATTAACTGGGTTTCATTGCTGGGTCGCTTCTGACTAACCAGTATTTTTAGTCGGCTGCATAGATTTTCAATTGGGTGAAGGTCTGGGCTATTCCCAGGTCCTTCCTGCAGCGGAAAAGGATTATTTTGAAACTCAAAAAAAAAAAAAAGTGATGTTATTAGCCATCAAACCTCAAAAATACAACTTTTCCCAAAAGGTTTCCACAATTTTGGCCATTACTGTATATATTGCTAAGGCCTGTATGATATGCCATAGGTTAAATAAATAAATGCATCCCAGGTAAAAGGGCACCCTCCTAGAGGTGGGGAACTGTGCCCCCTTTATGACTTGTGGACTTCAGCTCCCAGAATTCTTCAGCCAAGTCCACAAGTCATAAAAGGGCCATTGTTCCCCTCCATTGTCTTAGATCAGGGGGGTCTCCAAGCTTGGCAACTTTAAGCCTGGCGGACTTCAACTCCCAGAATTCCCCAGCCAGCTTTGCTGGCTGGGGAATTCTGGGAGTTGAAGTCCGCCAGGCTTAAAGTTGCCAGCTTGGAGACCCCTGTCTTAGATCATAGCAGGATTTGGTGAATTGGGCAAATAGTGACGGCCTCTGACTTTTCTGCACCTCCATCTTCTCCATTCCTCTTTTTTTTTCCCCCCTCTCTCAGGTTCACTTTTTCAACAGTTTTTTCTACGATAAGCTACGAACCAAGGGGTACGAAGGCGTGAAGCGTTGGACCAAAAATGTAAGTGTTCTTGTTCTTTTTTTTTTTTCCGCCAGCCTTCCTTGGCAGCCCCTTGGCCTGGTGGACAGGTAGTCCTCGACGTAACGACCACAACGGTCGCTCAGTGAGATGTTGGCTAAGGGGGATATTGCCCCCATTTTGCAAATTTTTCTCGCCGCTGTTAATTAAGCGAATTACTGCAGGGGTTAAATGAGTGGTGCAGTCATTAAGCGAATCCGCTCTCTTCCCCCATCGACTTGGTTTGTCAGAAGGTCGCAAAAAAGGGGGTCACATGACCCTGGGACACCGACCGTCATAAATACGAGTCAGTTGCCAAGCTCCCGAATTTCGATCACGTGACGCTTCAGCGGTCGTAAGTGCGAAAAGCGATCAGAAGTCCGTTTTCTCAGTGCCGTTGTAACTTCAAACGGTCACTAAAGGAAGTCGAGGACTACCTGTACCAGGCTCTGCTGTTGGGGAAATGCATGGGATTTGTAGTCCAGCCTACCCAAAGGGTTCTTGTTGGACGTGGCCACCCGGAAACCTGTCGCCCATCCCAAAAGCCCCAGGGGCAGCTTGTAGGTCCAGGGCTCCCCCAGGGGCTGAACCCCGAGCACCCCTTCCCCACCTGTACAGCCAGGTAGGGAGAAGGTGAGGCCACGCCCTGCTGGGAGACCCCGCTGAGCTCCTCTGGTGTCCCATCTCTCCCCCCACCCCAGGTGGACATTTTTAACAAAGAGATCCTGTTGATCCCCATCCATCTGGAGGTTCACTGGTCGCTGATCTGCGTGGAGGTGAAGCAGAAGAAGATCACCTACCTGGATTCCCAGCGCACCCTCAACCGGCGGTGTCCCAAGGTAAGGCAGTTCCCAGGTGTGGCAGGAAGAGACGATCTGGATCCATGCTCCCGTCCTCCACGGTTGTCCCAAAGGTGCTTTTCCAAAAAGGCAACTATTTTTTTTTTCCCCCTTTTGAAACGTTTCGCTTCTCGGAATTGGAATAGAGCCGGAAGGGACCTTGGAGGTCTTCTAGTCCAGCCCCCTCAAGCCGCCCAGAGTCCCTTGGGAGTGGGGCGGCATAGAAATGCGACAAAATAAATAAATAAATAAATAAATTTTATTTATTTATTTTATTTAATCTGATTTTTATACCGCCCTTCTCCCGAAGGACTCAGGGCGGTGCACGGCCCAAAAATAAAACAAACACATATATAAAATTTAAAAGCAATTTAAAATAAGCAGGAGACCCTAAAATGTCTCAAGACAAGTGACTGTCCAGTCTCTTTTTAACAACCTCCAGGGATGGAGCATCCACAACTTCCGGTGGCGAGTAGTTCCACTGGTTAATTGTTCTCACGGATAGAAGAGAGGGGAAGGGAAAGGAGGGGAGAAAATAAGAATAGATGAGAAAAGAGAAGGAGAGGAGAGGAGAGGAGAGGAGGAAGGGACCTTGGAGGTCTTCTAGTCCAACCCCCTGCTTAGGCCAGAAACCTTATACCATATAAGACAAATAGTTATCCAATCTCTTCTTTAAAACCTCCAGTGATGCAGCACCCTCAACTTCTGGTGGCGAGTTGTTCCACCGGTTAATTGTTCTCACTGTTAGGAAGTTTTCTCCTTAATTCCAGGTTGTTTCTCTCCTTGATGAATTTCCATCGTTTCTTCTCCTGCCTTCTGGTGCTTTGGAGAATAGGTGGACCCCCGTCTTACGTGGGGCAGCCCCTCAAATACTGGAAAGCTGCTACCGTGTCCCCCCCCTTAGTCCTTCTTTTCTCTAGACTGGCCAAACCCAAGAATCATCCAAGAACAGGTCTAACTGGCTAGAAGAGCTGAACCAACTCCTTCCATTCTCCACCAGTCACTTAGAACCGAAGAAGCTTCTTGGATGAGAAGGGAAATGTTTTCAAGGGAAAAAAACCAAGAAAGTCCAGTTTTTCTTTTGGAAAAAAAGCACCTTTTGGGAAGAGGATTTGGAGAGTGCAAAGTCCCAGGGAGGCCGTGGACCCAAGAGGAACCCCCCCTTCCCCCCAGAGCACCCCTCTCGGTCTCTCCACCCACTGCTGCTTCGGAGACTCCACCAAGATTGGCAGGAGAGAGGTGGGGGGGGGAGGGGGCTGGAAAGAAGGGGCAGCAAGGTTGTCTTGTTTTCAGAAAAAGACCTTGGCTGTTGGGTGGGGGGCATTTGGGGAGCAGGCTGGAGTTGGGGGGGGGGGCAGCTCTTTTCACGCACTTTTCCTACGGTGGAGACTGAATTTATTATATTGATGAATTAAGACAGCACTTGATAAGCGAGGGCATTAAGAGATCGAATTGTAAATAGAAATCAAGATAATTTAAAGAAAGATGTAAGTTTAAGACAAGAGATATTTAGAAGTAGAATTTGTGTAAAGAGGTTAAATAGGCTAGAGCAGTGTTTCTCAACCTTGGTAGCTTGAAGGTGGGTGGACTTCAACTCCCAGAATCCCCAGCCAGCAGCGCTGGCTGGGGGATTCTGGGAGTTGAAGTCCACCCACCTTCAAGCTTCCAAGGTTGAAAAACTGGGCTAGAGATAGCGATGCAGAAAAGTTGTTATGAGTATTGAAATTTTGATAAGTTTGTTTTTGGTTGTTTATATTTTTTTGTTTTTTGTCTGTGCGTGCGTTTTTTTCTTGCTTTTTTTGGTGTATTATGTTTCTTTTTGTACTGTGTATCTGAGACCCTTCGGGGAGAAGGGCGGGATATAAATTTAATAAATAAATAAATAAATATATCTTAAATCTTTGGAAATTTAATAAAATTATTTTAAAAAGAAAGAAAGAAACAACCATGGATATTTGATCCAGGACAGACTTTTGAACTTTGGGGGGGGGGTGATTTGGGGATCGATAGGAAGCTGTGGAAAACTTTCCACCAGTGGATTACAATCCCAGTTTGCTGAGAGAGAATTTGGAAATCTTCATTTGGTCTTTTATATTCTTAATTTTTATTTTTTTAAATTTCATTTATATGCCGCCCTTCTCCGGAGACTCAGGGCGGCTTACAGTGCGTTAAGCAATAGCCTTCATACTTTTTTGTATATTTATACAAAGTCAGCTTATTGCCCCACAATCTGGGTCCTCAATTTACCTACCTTAGAAAGGATGGAAGGCTGAGTCAACCTTGAGCCTGGGGAGATTTGAACTTACAGTAATTGCAGACAGCTGGTGTTAATCACAATGCTATCAGTCTGCTGAGCCACCAGGCCCCTATTAATTCTTCCTGTTAACTATTTTGCCGTGGATAAAAGTACGTAAAAGACAGGCCAATTTAATTTGTAAATAGATTTTACTAGTGTTTTTTTTTTAAAAAAAAAAACCTCTTTCGCAAGGAGCCAACACTGTATTAATTTATTGATCAGTTTTCAACTAGGAGGGGATCATATGTATATGCAGGCAGTCCTCAACTTATAACAGCTCATTTAGTGACCGTTCAAAGTTACAACAGCACTGATAAAAGGGACGTACGATTGTCTTTCACACTTAATGACCGTTGCAACATCCTTGTAGTCAAACGTGATCAAAATTCGGACACTTGGCAACCAATTCATGTTTATGATGTTTTTTTTAATTTTTATTTATTTTTATATGCCGCCCTTCTCCGGAGACTCAGGGTGGCTTACAATGCGTTAAGCAATAGCCTTCATACTTTTGTATATTTATACAAAGTCAGCTTATTTCCCCCACAATCTGGGTCCTCATTTTATCCACCTTAGAAAGGATGGAAGGCTGAGTCGACCTTGAGCCTGGTGAGAATTGAACTCGCAGTAATTGCAGGCAGCTGGATGTTAAATGCTGCCTTAGTAGGAGGCATTAGCCTCCTACGCCACTCAGGCTCCTACACTAGTTAACACTAGTTAACACTAGTTAGTGTTAACTAACATATCAACTACACAGATTGGCTTAACAACTGTGGCACAAAAAGTCGTAAAATGGGACAAAATTCACTTCATAAATGTCTCACTTAAGATTTTGGGCTCCGTTGTGGTCGTAAGTCGAGGACTAGCTGTTCTTGTTTTTTGTTTTGTTTTTTTTTTTTTAAAGGCACCTTTTTAAATATCTCACTTATTTTGTGGGTTTTTTGGATTTTGGGGGGAGGGATTTTTAACTTGAATAAAATAAAAAAAATAATATTACAAAAGATAAGTTGTGGGATGGCAATGGGGCAGCTGCTGCTGCTGTTTGACGTGCCTTCCCCTCCTCTTCCCCCCCAATAGCACATCTGCAGGTACCTGCAAGCCGAAGCGGATAAGAAGAACCGTCCTGACTTCCGAGAGGGCTGGAGAGGGGTTTTCCAGATGGTGGGTGTCTCTTCCCAGGCATTGGGGGATGGCAGTGGGGGGTCTCCAGTGACCCAGCTCTTTCGGGTTCCTCTCCCTGACCTTCTCGGGGCCTCCCAAATTTAACCCAGGAGGATCACCCCTCTGGCAGCCAGGAGAGAGCCAGGAGGCTCTTCAGCTGCAGCTTGTTGGGTCTCTCCTGCACTCCCCTCCTTCCGCCTCTTTGAGGGGCAGAACCCAGAAGACAGCAGCGGGCACTGCCCCACGGCCTCCTGATGGCATGTCAGGCACCCTAGGACTAGAACTCCTAGTCTCCTGGTGACGGGCACAAAGTCACCCAGCTGGCTTTCATGCCTAAGGCAGGACTAGAACTCACCGTCTCTTGGTGATGGGCCCAAACTCACCTAGCTGACATTCATGCCTAAGGCGGGACTAGGACTCCCTGTCTCCTGGTGATGGGCCCAAAGTCACCTACCTGGCTTTCATGCCTAAGGCGGGACTCAAGCTCCCCCTCTCCTGGCTTTTAGGCTAGCGCCTTAACCACTAGATCAAACTGAGTCTCATTTTAGTTTAGGTGGATGCGTAAATTCAGTCCTTTTCAGGCTCTGGCCCCAAAATCTATCTTGATCCTTTGAGTTATAAAACGATAGAAGGTGCCAGATGCCCTTCTGTCCCTGGGCGGAAGTGACTACTCAGGGGGACGGAGGCGAGAATTGTGCCCCCGCAGTGGCTCAGGGATGTCGGGCAGGAAGGCAGAGATGGCGATTTGGCAGGTGGGAGCCCAGGTGAGGAAGGGGGCCGATGCCCGGCCTGCCTTCTCAAAGCGTGGGATGGTCAGGTCAGGAGAGTGGGTGGGTGGGAACCTTGGGGGCTGCGGACCCCCTGCTCTCTCTCTCTTCCCGCCTCGTCTGACCGGTTTCATTTTCTCCCACCCAGAACATCGCCCGACAAAACAACGACAGTGATTGTGGAGCCTTCGTCCTGCAGGTGAGAGGCCTGGCTCAGAAGGGGCCCTGGCGCTTGGGGGGGGGTGTTGATGGGGGGAGGGAATCCAGAGACTGGAGGGCACCTTTTCCACCTGTTGAAAGGCAGAAGCTCTGCTTTGAATGAAATTTGCTCCTGGAAAAGGTGCTTCCGGCCTTCTGGAGGAGGAGGAGGAGGAGGAAGGGAGAAAAGGATTGTGGAGTCTTTGGCTGCTTTCTTCCAGACGTTTCATGACCCAACTAGGGAACTATCATCAGTGAGAGAAGGGAGTGGGGTGTTGCATTTTTAGCACTGATTATGTTACACAGCTGGGTCACGAAACGTCTGCCAAAAAAAAAAACCCCAGAGACCACCAAGGAGCCCTCATTTCAACCCTGAGCTACAAATATTCTCATGCATTGGTCTCGATCGGAAAGTCCGACCGAAAGTCGATCCTCTAATCAATCAAATCTTTTCTTTTTCTTTTTTTTTTTTCCCTTCCCTAGTATTCCAAATTCCTGGCCCTGGGCCTGCCCTTCGCCTTCACGCAGCAGGACATGCCGAAACTCCGCCGACAGATGTACAAGGAGCTGTGCCACTGCAAACTCCTCGCGTGACAGCCCGGCTGCACAACTCCCCCCTCCCCACACACACACACACGTCCCCCTCCTCTCTTTCTCACCCCCTCCCCCACACACACACCCCAACCTCCCCACCAGGGATGCCGCAGGACCACCGTCCCATCCTTGGACAGGAACGCCTCTTCGTCCGGCCTCCCTGGGTTTCAGCCAGAGACAAGGGGACTGCCTGAGGTTTGATCAACCGGACTTACGGGGGGGGGGGGGGCGGTTTTTTTAAAGCCAAGTTACGCCCTGATCCTTCCTTTCTTCCTTCCTTCCTTCTTTTTCTTTCTGGTCATTCTGTTTGGTTTTTTGTTCCTATTTAAACCTGGGACAGGGTGGCCTTTCTCTCGGTTGTTTTGTTGGGGAATTGAGGGGGAAGAGGGTTTTGGGGGTCTGTTGGCATTGTGGGGGGTGACCGAGACGGGGCCCCGCTCTCTGCGGAGGCTCCCTGCAGATCCGAGAAAAGCGTGGGGAAATCCTGAACTCAGGACCGGAAAGGGAGGGGGGGCACGGGAGACCCCTGCACAGAAACACACCACACCCCCTCTCGTGTTATGTCACCCCCGTGGCTTCATTGTGTTAGTTCATAATGTATTTCTCCCTCCGCCCCCCCCTCCCCCAAAAAAGGGGAAGGCGTTGGAAAAGAGGGAAGGGGGCTGCACTGGGGTGGGCCGGGGGTGGGGTGGGGGCGAGGTTTCTACACTGGGGCCGAGATTAACTGAAAACAAGCGTTTTTTTATACAATGGCTGCCATTGTGGGTAATAAAAATTGTTCTTTGGAGAAGCATTTAAGCGAACTCGACTTGTGGTGGCCCTGCAGGGTCCCCGGAGGGTCCCTGCAGGCCGTTTCTTCCGAGGTTCAAGGCTCTGGGATGGCAAGCGGAAAGAGAGCTTGGGGGGGGCACCTCAGAGGTCTTCTAGCCCAACCCCCTGCTCGAGCAGGAGACGCTGTTACCACTTCGCACAATTGGCTGTCCGGTTGTGTTAAAAGCGATGGAGCAACCCACAACTTCTGGTGGCAGGTTGTTCCACTGGCAAATTGTCCTCGCCGTCAGGAAGTTTCTCCTTAATTCCAGGTTGCTTCTCTCCTTGGTTCGTTTCCATCCGTTGTTCCTTGTCCTGCTTTCGGGGGCTTTGGAGAATAGTTTGACCCTACCCCCATCCCCCTTTCTTCTTTGGGGCAGCCCCTCAGATACAGGAAGTCCTCGACTTACAGCCACAACTGAGCCCAAATTTTTCTCTTGGCAAGCGAGACGTTTCTGAAGTGAGCCTGGCCCCGTTTTACAAGCTCTCTCTGCCACCGTTGATAAGTTAAGCCGCCTGGTCGTTAAGCAAATCTGGCTTCCCTGTGGACTTCGCTCGGGACGCAAAAGGGGATCGCGTGACCCCGGGATGCTGCGACCCGTCATAAATGTGACCCACTTGCCAAGAGTCCGAATTTTGATCCCGGAAATGCTTCGAAGGTTGTTAAGAGTGGAAAAGGCTCCCAAGTGGTTTTTTTCAGTGCCATTGTAACTTTGAACAGTCACTAAATGAAGAGTTGTAAGTCGAGGTAGATGGCAATGGTCGGTTTCCCCTCTTTTGCCAAAGAAAGGGTCAGAGGCTCTTTCCTTGGCTGCCTAAAGCAGTGTTTCTCAACCTTGGAAGCTTGAAGATGGGTGGACTTCAACTCCCAGAATCCCCCAGCCAGCAGCGCTGGCTGGGGGATTCTGGGAGTTGAAGTCCACCCATCTTCAAGCTTCCAAGGTTGAGAAACACTGACTTAAAGGATGGGACTTGTAGTCCAACCACACCATTTTGAGAAAAGCTGCTTTGAGCCCCCGTCAGTCTTTTCTAGGTAGTCCTTGACTTACGACGTTTCATTTAGTGGCCACGGCCGCTTTTCACTCTTTTAAGACCGTTGCAGCATCCCCAGTGGTCACAGCTTGGCCATTGGACTCATCTTAAATGAAGGTCGCCGTGATCCAGTGGTCTTGGGGTCCTTTTGCGACCTTCTGACGCGCAGAGTCATCAGATCCGCTTAACGACCGGGTTACGAACCGCTGCAGCCGTTCACTTAACCACCGTGGCAAGACAGGTGGTGAAACGGGATAGAACTCAAGACGACGTTCGCTTAGCGACAAGAAGTGTTGTAGTCGTAGGTCGAGGACTTCCTCAAGCACGTTGAAAAGAAGGAAGGGGCCAAAGAGTCCCACCCAGTTAGGCAGCTTCTCGGGCAAGCCCGTCCGGAGATTTATTTAATAAGCCATGGTTTAACGCAAGGACAGAGCCTAGGATAGCTGGCTTCCTCCTGGGGTTCCCTCCCTCGAGTGTTTCACTTTGAGAGATTCATTTCCAGAATTTCTGGGCACAAAGATGGCAGCGGAGAAAGGGAGCTGGCCTGCAGCTTCCAGGGGTCAGTCCTGAGGACCTCTTGGAGCCCCCTGGGACAGGCCAACCGATGAGCCTACCCCCTCGGGGGCTCCTTCCCAAGGCCTGAGGAAGCAGCTCTGCAGACGAGGCCTTGGGGGTGCAAAAGGGGTCACCTGAGCTGCATCCCAGGACCCTCCCCTGCACTCCCCCTTGAGTGGTGGTCCCACCGCATCAGCAGCAATGGGGAGGGGGCATTCCTGGAAGGAGGAGGATGCTGGGTTTCCCCGAAAATAAGACATACGTGTGTGTATATATATGTATGTGTATGTTGGACGAGATGACCTTCAGCTGTTCATATGTACGTATGTACACACACACACACCTACATACATATACATAACGATTAGAAACTATTCTAAAAAGACGAGTTCCAGGTATATTTGTAAACAAAGCAGCAGACATTCTGCCAGCTCCAGAACTAAAAGAATTACAATTTTATTCTACTAAGAGCTTTCGTCAGCCATCTGCTGACATCGTCAGAGTATGAAAACTACCATTGCAGAGATCTCCGCCTTTATAGGCCATTAATCAATGTGCCCATTGCGTGCCAATGTTACGCCCTCTAACCCAGGAAGCCCCGGAGCCTCCCCCTCCAGCTGCAGTCTACCAGGTTTCCCGAAAATTAAGCCGTAATGAGTCTTTTGGGTATATATGTATACATACATATAGACACACACATGCATATACACATATATGTATACGTGTGTGTGTGTGTGTTGCAAGAGACACATTAGGGCTTAATTTTTGGGGAAACCTGGTAGACTGCACCTGGAGGGGGAGGCTCCAGGGCTTCCTGGGGGGGGGCAGATGGGTCAGCCCAGAAGTTAAAAGTCAGGAGGGGGGGAGGGGGGGCCGCCTTCTGCCCATGCTCAGAGGTGGTGGGGGGAGGTTTCCGTGGCCCTTCGGGGAGCAGAGCTCGGGGCCTAGCTTGCTGCCCCACCGTCCGATCCCCCTTTTTCTCGGGCCTCCGGGCCTGGCCGAGCCCTGGGCGCGGAGGGGACTCGGGCCGGAGTCTTCCCCAGGCCCCGCCCGGCCTTTGGCGGGGCGCTTTCCTTCCATGCGACGTCGCCATCCGGGGATTCCGGGGTTGGGAACCCACGAATTTGGGGAGCGGGGGGTGCAGGACAGGCGGGAAAGGCCCTTGCAGGCCTCCGGGTCGTGGGAATGCAACTTGCGTGCACGGAAAATAGGGCGCGCCCCTGCCTGCCGTGTTTTGGGCAGGGCGGCTCCCCCGCCCCGGGGTCCTCCCGTGCCCCCTCCCCTCCCCCCCGCCCGGTGCACAAAGCCCGGCCCGGAAGCCTCCGCCGCCACCGGCCCCGCCACGTGCGCCCCTGCCCGGGCCCCGAAGGCCCGCCTCCGGCCCCTCCGACGACCGTCATTGGCCGGCCGAGCCTTGCGCAAGCGGGCCAACGGACGCGGTTTCCGGCCAATGCGGGCCCGGCGTTCTGCCTCTCCGTGACGTCACCGCGGCCGTCTCCCCCAATCAGCGGCCGCTGGCGTCACGCGTGACGGGCGGGCCGCTCAGCCGAGGAGAAAAAAGGCGGCCGAGCCAATGAGAGAGAAGCCGGTCAGGGAGATAGCTGGGCGTTCGGGCCAATGAGAGGAGCGGAGAGGCAGGGCGGGCCGGAACGCGACGGCCAATGGTCGCCGGGCCAGTGGGCGGAGCCCCGGCGGCGGTTATAAGGAGGCGCGAGGCGGGCGGGGCCAGGACCTTTTCCACAGAATGTCTGCGAGTCAAGAGAGCCGGTGAGTGAGCCCCGAGGCCTCCGCTAGGCCGCGCCGCCCGCCTCCCCCGGCCTTCCCTCGCCCGATCCCCGCGACCGGCCTTCGCCATCCCCCCTCCTCCGCCTTCTCGGCGCCTCCGCACGTGGCCGCTCCCGCAGGCCGTCTCCCCCCCGCGGAGCGTTGGTCTCTCCCTCGCGGCCCATGCTGCGCGCGGCCCATGGGCGAAACCATTTTTCTCTCGGGGGGTGTATTTATTTTTTTTAAAAAAATAGGCCTTCCCTTCCGAGGCCTTGACTGCGCCATTCGCGGGCGCGGCGCCATCCTTTCCTTGCGGGCCTTTTCCCACCCCGACCGCGCTGCCTTCTCGGCCTCCCCTTCCCCTTCAGCCGCTTCTCCCTTCCCTTTCCCTCTCTCTCTCCCCCCCTTCCTCCGGGAGGGGCCATTTTGTCTCTCTCTATTCCCCCCTCCCCTTTCTCGGACCTTGCCCCCACCCCCAAAAGGGTCGGCGGGGCCCCCGGGCGAGGCGGGCGGCGCGCTCCCCGCGGCGGGCGCGTCCGCGTTCCCGGCCGCCCATTGTCCTGGCGCGGCGCATCCGGGAAACTCGGGGCGCGTGACGTCAGCGGGGCGGGGGCGGGGCCGGCGGCCTTAAAAGGGAAGGCGGAAGCGCACGTGGGCGGGGGAGGCGCCTGGCCGGCGGGGCGTCGCGCGGACGTTTCTCCCCCCCCACCCCCCATCTTGACCGCCTCCCTCCGCTCTTGCAGCTCCCGAGACAATGGCCCCGACGGCATGGACCCCGACGGCGTCATCGAGGTGAGGATATGGGGGGGGGGATCCCCTTTGCCCAGGCCTGGGAATCTGCTCCCTCCCCAAAGAAGCCCCCCCCTGTTGAGGATTGGAAGGCCGCCATGCTTTCTCCCCACTTGGGGGGGTCAGGAAGCCTCTCCCCCCCCCCCCCACTCACGGCCTTCCTATGGAGGATTGTCTTTCACAAACACAGAATTGGGCTAATGGGAGGGGGGGTTCCATAGTTCCATCCAACTTGGGGGGGGTGGCCCAGGCCCAGAGATTCCAGTTCCTCTGAAGGATTGGGCCCCCTCTCCCAAAGAAGGGTGCCTGCGCCCACCCCCCCAGTTATTTGTGATAGGGGAAGGGGATCCATGGTTTCAACCCACTTGGGGGTGTCAGGAAGCCTGGCCCATTCATGGGGTTCCTATGAAGGATTGTGTCTCACTCACTCACTCACTGTTCCCTACTTAGAATTGGATTAATATGAGGGGTTCATAGTTGCATCCAATTTGGGAATCTCAGGCCGGAGATTCCAATTCCACTAAAGGATTCCCACCCCAAGAAAGGTGGGAATTTAGGAATGTAGTAGGGAAGGGAGGGGCATGGGTTCACCCCATTTGGAGATGGGAGGATGCCTGGCCCACTCCTGGGGTTCTAGTTCCTGTGAAGGATTGTTTCCCCCCCCCTCCAAACAAGGGCGCCCCCCCCCCTACTTGGGAAATGATGTAAATTGGGGAAGGGATTCATGGTTTCACCCCACTTGGGGGTGACCGGGAGCCTGGGCTGGGCCTGATCCTAGAGTCCCCATGAAATTATATTCCTGGTTTTCTGCTTAGGACTTGGTGTGGGGGGTTCACGGTTCCACTTTGTGGAGAGGGGTTCCTGGGGTGCTGAGCCTGATCCCGTGTCCCCTTCTTCCCGCAGAGCAACTGGAATGAGATTGTCGACAGCTTTGACGATATGAACCTGTCGGAGTCCCTTCTGCGAGGAATCTACGCTTACGGTTTTGAGAAACCCTCTGCTATCCAACAGCGAGCCATTCTCCCTTGTATCAAGGGTGAGCCTAGATAAGATCACCAAAAATAAGTCCCTGCTAGTGGACGTTTCTAGGCGACTTGAGCGCCGTTTAGCACTTGGGAACAATAGATGTTGCCTAACAATCTACATTCTGGTCCAAAAAGAGAACGCAAACTTCAGTAAAGGAAAATATTTGTAGCTCAGGGTTGACACGAGTCCTTGAGGCTTCTCCGAACTGGGTTGATTTTCTGGCAGACCTTTCATAACCGACTAGAGAACATCAATGCTACCGAGTGTGGAATTTGCAGACTCCCCAAGCAAACTGCACTAGTTCAGGTAATAAAAAGTCTGCATGGAAATAATCCAGCTCGGAGAGCACCAGGGACTCCTGTCAATCCTTGATCGGGAAAGAAAATGTGTCAAAAATTCACAAGTTCCTGGGGACGTTCTGCTCTGGGATTTGAATCTCCTAAGGATGGAAGAGAAAAGTTACACTAGAAGAGAACATTTGCTGCTCAGGCCTGAACTGAGATAGTTCAGCTGTGCTTCTCAGTTTGTCAGTTGGCAAACTAGCTGTGGAAGTCCCCAAACAGACTCACATCTGGGGGCTCCTCTGTTTCTGGGCCTTCATCTCTCTTCCCCCCTCCACCCCCCCACCCCACCCCCCGCTAATGGGCAAAGAGGGGCCTCTCCCCGTGGCTGCCATCTTACATCTATCGGGGGACAGGAGCAAGCCCCATTCATCCCAGGCAGCGTCCTTCCCAGTGGCTGCTCACTGGTTCATGCTGGGGAGACACACCGAAGTGTATCTTTTGGGCGATGTGGCTTCTGTCTGGAAAGCCGTGGTTAACTCTGATTAACTGCCCTCCTTTTTCCTTCTCAGGATATGATGTGATCGCCCAAGCCCAGTCTGGCACTGGGAAGACAGCCACTTTTGCCATCTCCATCTTGCAGCAGATTGAGCTGGATCTGAAAGCGACCCAGGCCTTGGTGCTGGCCCCGACTAGGGAGCTGGCTCAGCAGGTGGGGCTCTTTCTTTTCTCTCCATCCCTTTCTCCTTCCCCTTCCTCTGTTTGTCTTTCCCATTTCTTTTTTCCCCTCTTTTCTTTCCCACCCTCTTTCTCTCCCTCCATTTCTGTTTCTTTTTCTTCCTCTCCCTGGGTCTCCTTGTTTGTCTTTTCTTTCTCTCTTTCGGTTTTTCTCTTTTTCTTTCTTCCTCTCTCTCTCTTTGCCCATCTCTTTCCCTCTCTCCATTCTTCCCTGAATGCACGAACGTGACTCCCGTGGTGTCAAAAGCGCACTTGTGAGACCGAGGGGGACTCGGCAACGCTCCTCGGTCTAAGCTTCACACCCGCTGGTGGTAGAGCCCCTCCGGTTCCCTGCTAACTGGGCAAAGAAGAGCCTCTGACTGTGGCGGCTTCTTACATCTAGCAGGGACAGAGCGACCGCTTTCCTCATTCATCCCAGCACAGCGTCTCTCCCAGTGGCTGATGGCTGGTTCATGCTGGGGAAACAGGGGAGGCCGTGCGAATGGCAGGGAAACCCTCCAGGACATGGGCCCCTTCGCCCAGCCGGGCCTCCTCCCCACCTGTCCCTGACAGCATCGTTCTCCTCCTCTTCCTCCTCCTGACAGATCCAGAAGGTGGTCATGGCCCTCGGGGACTACATGGGGGCCTCCTGCCACGCTTGCATAGGGGGGACAAACGTCCGAGCCGAAGTTCAGAAGCTGCAGATGGAAGCGCCCCATATCATTGTGGGGACCCCGGGGCGTGTATTCGACATGCTGAACAGGAGATACTTGTGTGAGTACAGACTGCTGGACACACACAGAGCCTGGGAGTCTTGCGCACCCCCACCCCACACACAGCCCCGGCCAGAGAGGCCTTGGGGGCAGTTGCCTTGGGCTGCACGTTTCCCAAGAGTCTTTGTTTGTGGGAGGGTCTTGCCCTCTGCAAGCATTCAGCCTCAGCTGTCATGAACTGGGGGGTGGGAGTGGGGAGGGGGAGGCTTCAAGGGAAAGAAAATTTGAAGTGCCCCTTCTAGAAATGTCTTGTTTGAATTTGATTGGACATCATGGGGGGGGGGGAAGTTAAACATGGGGATTTTGGCAAGTGATTTTCAGTTCTGGCTGTGCGCTACTGTGCAGGTAGTCCTCGAGTTACGACCACAATGGGGCTGAGCCCACAAATTTTTTTGGGCTATAACTGAGGCATTTGTTAAGTGACTTTTCCCCCATTTTATGACCTTTCTTGCCTTGGTTGTTAAGTGAATCACTGCGGTTGATAAGTTAGTAACCAAGTTAAGTGAATCCGGCTTCCCCATGGACTTCCCCGCAAAAGAGGATCACGTGACCCACAGGACTCTGCGACCGTCATAAATACGGGTCAGTTGCCAAGCGTCTGAAATTCTGCTCACGTGACCCTGGGGATGCGGCAAGGGCCGTGTGAAAAACCATACGTCACCTTTTTCAGGGCCGTCGTAACTTCACACGGTCACTAACCAAACTGTTGTAAGTTAAGTCAAGGACTACCTGGAATTTGCTTGACTTCCAGTAAACTCTAAAATCTGGGGGTTAAGGATGGTTCTTACTTAGAGGTTCACACTGCGGAGGGTCTTCCCGGCTGCTGTTCCATGATGATTCCCCCATGCGTGTCATCTGACCCCGTGCCCCGATTTTTCCCCTCCGGCCCGCGTTCTGCTGGGCAGGGGGAGGAATCCCCGGGGCCAGGGGGAAAGTGATCATACCTGGATAACGTCCCTGAGACCAGCAGCTTTCGGCATCCTCCTCCTCGGCCGGCCCTTCCTGCAATCGGCCTGCCTGAGTTTCTTTCTTTCCTTCCTTCCGCAGCACCCAAGTTCATCAAGATGTTTGTGCTGGACGAAGCCGATGAAATGTTGAGCCGAGGCTTCAAGGACCAGATTTATGATATATTCCAGAAGCTGAGTGGCAACACGCAGGTGAGGCACCCCCTGAGGGGCAAATCCAGCCATTCCTTGGAGGGGTTAACTTCTTCAGAGCCACAGTGGTTAGGGTGCAGTCATGCAGGCTCCTTCTGCTAACTGCCGGCTGCCTGCAATTTGGCAGTTCGAATCTCACCAGGCTCAAGCTTGACTCAGCCTTCTGTCCTTCCGAGGTCGGTAAAATGAGGATCCAGATTGTTTGGGAAGGATAAGAGGCTGACTCTAAACTGCTTAGATAGGGCTGTAAAGTGGTACATAAGCCTAAGGGTCAGTGCTGTTTGTTGAATTTACTTGCCCCCTCTCTCATTACGGGGGGAGGGCTACTGTAGAGCAGCCATCTTCTGGGATGGGGGTCTCCAACCTCAGCAACTTTAAGGCTCTATTAAACTCCCAGAATTCCCCATGCCCGTGCTGATGAGACACATTCTGAGCAAAACTCCTGAGGTTTATTAAGGGGTGATGGTCTTCTCTTCTTCCCAGGTGATAAACCTCCAAGGGCCCCTTTTAAAGGGGTCTTTCACCAGCCCCAGTTCACACTGCCCAATTCAGAATCCTTTTTTGGGAGCTCGGAAGGCTGGGCCGGCCCTAAGAAGGGTTGGAAGGGGCCTTGGAGGTCTGCTAGTCCAGCCCCAGTTCAAGCAGGAGACTGTAGAGCAGGGCTTAGGGTGGGTGGGTAGGAAAGGGGGCTTTGGGTAAAGCAGGGAAGAAGCTGAGCTCTCCTCTCTCCCCCCCCCCCCCCCAAACGCTTAGGTGGTCCTCTTGTCTGCCACCATGCCGATGGATGTGCTGGAGGTGACGAAGAAGTTCATGAGGGACCCCATCCGGATCCTAGTGAAGAAGGAAGAGCTGACTTTGGAGGGGATTCGGCAATTCTATATTAATGTGGAGAGGGAGGTGAGTGCGCAGGAGGGTTTTCTGGGTGGGGGGGCTTCACATTGTGGTGATTTCAGGAGCTTCTGACTGGGCTGCGCAAAAGCCCCTGGAACCGGCCTTCCTTCCCCTTTGGAGTCCCGGTGGCTGCAGAGCTCTAGTACGCAGCTAGGTTTGTTCAAAGGCCAACCCAAAAAAGTAAAGCCCCCTCCCCTAAAAACACACAGCCTCCGCTTTGGCTCCGTCCTACAGTGTTTGCATGGGACGCCTGTTTCGTTATCCACTGCACTGATGATGTTCCCTAGTTGGGTCATGAGATTCCTGCAAGAAGACCAAAGCCCCAAGCCCAGCCATCGGACCCCACAAAATGTTCTGTTTCATTCCCTTAATTCTCACGCCGCTTCCTCCTCCTCCTCCTCTGTAAGGAATGGAAGCTGGACACCCTTTGCGACCTCTACGAGACCTTGACCATCACCCAGGCGGTCATCTTCATCAACACCCGGAGGAAGGTGGACTGGCTGACGGAGAAGATGCACGCCCGGGACTTCACCGTTTCGGCCATGGTGGGTGTGGGCCCTGCCTTGTGTGTGAGGGGTGGTTTGGATTCTGCCCACCTCAGAAAAGGGGTGGCAGGGGCTCCTTTCCCTGCCAGCTTTAGAGAGACCTGGGAGGTTTTCTCCTGCATGGATTGGCGGAGGGGAGGGAGGGGGGCAGCGGAGTTAACGAACTTGGTTAGCTTGCAAATCCTGGTCTTTGGTGTGGGGAGGGAGTAACCTCCTTGGGTCTCTTTCTGCCCAGCACGGGGACATGGACCAGAAGGAGCGTGACGTCATCATGAGAGAGTTCCGCTCCGGATCCAGCCGGGTCCTCATCACTACCGACTTGCTGGTAAGTGCCAGGAAGGTCCTCCCCTCCCCTCCTTCCCCAGGGAGATTCCCTCTCTGCCTGGCCGGTGCGGTGCCAATGGCGGATTGTAGCTCCTGGGCAGAGGAACGGTCGAAAGGGGCTGCTTGACTCCACGGCTGGCACCCCCTGAGGTTCCCGGTCACTTTGTAGCAGCTCACAGTTGGATCTCCTCTCCCGCCAGCGGTTCTTTTGGGGGGGGTGGGATGGGAGAGACATTTGGGCTTCAGAAGAGCAAGAGTTGGGAGTTGCCAAGGTGGGAGGCCCTCTGCTCCAGGATGGCTGCCAGGAGGCATTTCAGAAAGGAGAGATGGGGAGGGGAAAGGGGGGCTCTCCGGGTAAAGGAGGAGCAAGACAATTTGGGCTCAGTTGTCGTAACTCGAGGATTGCCTGCGGAATGTGCCAGACGGCCCACAACTCTTTGGGCCGAGACCCACAATTGGAAAAGGGGCAAAGATTAGTACAGGTAGACCACAATGGAGCACAAAATTACTTTCTTGCCATAGTTGTTAAGTGAATCCCTGCGGTTAAGTTAGTCACACAGTAGTTAAGTTAACCTGGCTTCCCCACTGACTGCTGGTCGGAAGGTCGTAAAATGGGGATCACCTGACTCCCGGACATTGCGACTGTCATTAATATGAGCCAGTTGCCCATCATCCGAATTTTGATCACCTGACTCGGGGGGGGGGGGACACTGCAAAAGCCCAGAAGAGGAAGAAATGGTCCTGAATTGCATTTTTCGGTGCCCTTTGAACAGTCACTAAATGAATGGTTAAGTTGAGGACTACCTGACTAGATGACCTTTCTAATTCAAACCCCCCCCCCTTCTCGCGCAGGAGACCCTAGCCCAGTGATGGCTAGCCTTTATGCCCATGCCCATAATTCTATGTGCCGCATGCACGTGTGACCCCCCTGCTCCACCCACTCCTGGCACACGATGGCCTAGTAGGCCTGTTTCTCTCTCACACTTGGCTCCAGAGCCTTTCTAGGAGTCTGGGGAGGGCAAAAACAGCCTTCCCCACCCACTACCACCCCTCGGAGGCCAGAAATGGCCTGTTTGCCAACCAGAAGGGCCCATTTTTTGCTGTCCAGAGCCTCTCGGAGTGTGGGGAGGGCAAAAACGGCCTCCCCCTCTTCCCTTCCCCCCCCAGGCCCTCCAGAGGCCAGAAACGGCCTGTTTCCCTACTTCTGGTGGGCCCAGAAGGCGCGAAAATGAGCTGAGCTGAGCTCGCGTGCCCACTGATGTGGTGGCACGCGTGCCATAGCTTCACTATCACGGCCCTAGACCCTATCATGGCAACTTCCAAGTCAACAGAGTCTGATTGCTAATGGGGGGGCGGGGGCTGGCAAGGGCCGGGGCTCCTGTTGAAAGCAGCTGCCTCTTTTTCCCCGCAGGCGCGAGGCATCGACGTCCAGCAAGTCTCCCTGGTCATCAACTACGATCTCCCCACCAACCGCGAGAACTACATTCACCGGTAAGGAGAGGCTCTCAAAGGGGGGGGGGAAATGCGTCTCTCTGGTCCTTTTTACCCGCTCTCAACTCATCCTTTTCTCTCCAATCCCTTTCTCTCTCTCTCTCTCTCTCTCTCTCTCTCTCCCCCCCTTCAAAAAACCCCCAGGATCGGTCGAGGCGGACGCTTCGGCAGGAAAGGCGTGGCCATCAACATGGTGACAGAAGAGGACAAGCGCACCCTGCGCGACATCGAGACTTTCTACAACACCTCCATCGAGGAGATGCCTCTCAATGTGGCCGACCTCATCTGAGTGGCCTGGGGAGGGGGGCACTGTGCCGCGACACCCCCCGCCCCACCCACCCACCCGCTCCCTCCCCTCCTCCCGTCCCGAAAAGTTAGAGGCACAGTATTCTCCCGTTCCTGCCTTTCGTTTTTGTTTTGTTTTGTTTTGTTTTCTATTTTTGAGGGTTTTTTTTTTTTTTTAATTATTTTGGCCTTTTGAATAAATGTCACTTTTGGGGGGTTTTTTTGGAGGCAGATCGAAAATCTTTTAGTGTTTACTCCGGGCGCCTCGGCTGTGTCTTGTTCAACCTCTCCTCTTCTCCCCCTCCCTCCCTCCCTCCCCCCCCCCAGCCTTCGTGTCCTCGTTTTGTAGCCCCTCCCCCGTCTTTTCCCCGTAATTGCAAAACAGAGGTATCCTTTCTTCTTTTTTTGTTGGGGGGGGGGAACCGGACGAAGAGTTTCCCAGGAGCTAGGCCTTTCTGGCTCACTGCTGCTTTTTCCCGCCCTGCCTTTCCCAGGAAATTAAAAAAAAAAAAAACTTAATTTTGTAGTTTTTTTTTTTTTTTTTTAAATTTACGAATCTTTCGACAAGAATCATGGTGCTAAAACGGAGAAACAAAAACAAAAAAAAAAAAATACAAGCTTGAGAATCAAAAACCTACCTCACCAGGTCAGGGTTTTTTTTCTCCCGGTCTAAAATTCAAAACAAAACAAAAAATTGCCAAGACGTGTGGGTTTTTTTCTCCCTCTTTCTCTCTTTCGGAATGAGACCTTCCCCATCACATTTTTTAAAATAAAACCGAAAAAAAGAACTTTTTTCATACAGCAAAAAAAAAATAAGAAATCTGTGTTGCCACCTTTACCTTTCTTTTGTATAGCTATTATTTATTCAAAAGGAGACTTACAGTGACCAAAATAAACGTGAACTTGAGAAAAGGCTCGGCTTGGAGTGAGTTTTGTAAAATGGGAGGAGGGCCCTTACTGGTTTTTACTGGTTCCTGGGCTCTTTAAAAGATCCCAAAAATGGGATTGGGCTGCAACATTTGGGAAACTGCCTGGATGGCCCTGGGCGTTTCTCTACTGGTAGTTTATTTACTTAGTGACTAGTTAACAGTACCATAAAAGTTTTCATACTTAATGACCAATTTAGCATCCCCCATGGGCAAAATTCGGGCAACTGGCACGTGGCCACAATTGGTAACCTCCCCAAACCAGCTTCTCACAAAGTCAATGGGGGAAGCTAGATTTGTTTAACGACTGATTTATGTAGTGACAGCACTGATTTGTCTAATGACTGGCCAAAAATGGGGTGCCACTCAAGTTCGTTCTGTTCGTTGCAACAGAAATTCGAGGCTTCATTGTCGTAAATTGAGCGCTAGATGCAATGCATTTTAAGTCCCATGATTGGAAAAGAGGCAAAATTTAAAATTGAATGAATGAATGAGCTGGAAGGGACCTTGGAGGTCTTCTAGTCCAGCCCCTCCCTTGAAGCAGGAAAACCTATACCCTTATTTCAGATAAGTGACTGTCCAGTCTCTCTTTGAAAACCTCCAGTGATGGAATACCCATAACTTCTGGTGGCAAGCTGTTCCACTGGTTACTTGTCCTCACTGCTAGGAAGTTTCCCCTCAATTCCTTTTTGCATAAAGTTTTTTATTTTATAACATAAAAATTCAAATTTTTGGTTAAGCTCTGTTGTCTGGGTACAAACAATGTAGGAAATGATCATCAAAGTGTTTACAACAATGTTCATTACATTGATATTCCTAATAATACTGATACTTGCTTATCCATTTTAACAAAACTCCCTTTTTTCCATTGGTCCTTTTCTTATATTTCCATGTTTCTAACTTCTGTTTTTGTCAGCTAACCAAATAAGTCTCAAGTCAAAAAGTTCAATTTCTTCCTTTTCCTTAATTGTAAGTGTTAATCTATCCGTTTCTGCACATTCTAATATTTTTTTAAATCACATTTTCATCTGTAGGGATCTCTTCACTCTTCCATTGTCCAAATACAATTCTAGCTGCAGTTAATACATGTAAGATCAAATATGTATTCCCCTTGTCTTGCTTTTCCGGTAAAATGCCCAACCAAAAATATTTCTGGCTTTATCATTTTTTCCAACCATACATGTGTTTTTGTCCAATATTTTTTTTTTTTGGTTTTGGGCCTGCCCACCACATGATTATATGAAGCAGATATCTGATGGCTTCCAACATTTAGCGGACATGCCCTTAAACATCTTTGCCAACCTTGAGGGTGGGAAATGCCATCTGAATCATTTTTTTAAAGATTTTCTTTATATTGCAGTTGACGTTACCATTTCTATTCCACAGTTTCTGCCATTTATCTAATTCTATTGTATAACCAAATTTTTTTTAGCCAGGTTGCTTCTCTCCTTGATAAGTTTCCATCCTTCAGGTACTTTGGAGAACAGGTTGACCCCCTCCTCAAATACTGAGAAGCCCATCATGTCACCCCCAATTCCTTAGACTAACCAACCCCAAAACCTGCAGCCGTTTTCCCTACATTTTATCATATATTCTTATGAAATGTATTAGGTGCCTCTCTGGCCACGGGGCTCTTCTAGGTGGCTCAGAATCATAACAGAGAGGGAAAAAAAGCTTAAACCAAGTGAAAGTAAAATGGAGCAGTAAAATAACCAAGAAAAAAAAAAAGAAAATACATCCATATGGTTAAAAGTCTTAAGAGATTCTCAGTCATCCAGGTTGTCCCAAAGGTGCTTTTTCTGGAAGCGAGTGGACCTTCTGCTTTTTTTCTCCTTTTTGAAACACACAAAATAATGCACTGGATGGGAGACATAGCAGCCATTTTCTAGAGTGGTTGACTTGTGGGAAGTTGTACGGCTTCCTTGCTGAGAACTTACGGCCTACGGCCCCACCCTGACCTTGAGCAAGACCAGGAGGAAGTGAGACGGGGGCTTTCCTTGCGGGGGTGGGGGGGCGGCTGAGTCATCCATTGGGCTTCAACTCCCAAAACCGACAGGGCCTTTTCCAAGTTGGATCAGCCGGCAACTTTTAAGATTTGTTTGGACTTCCAAATCCCAGAATTCCCTAGCCAGCAAGGCAAGTCTTTAAAAATTGCCAAATTTGGAGACACACACACACACACACACTCGGTCTGGGGTCTCCTGCTTGAGCAAGGGTTGGACTAGACGACCTCCAAAGTCCCTTCCAATTCTTGTTACTCTCCTTGGGGCTGCCCGGCTTCCCCAGCTCCTAAAAAAAGGATTCCGAATAGGGCAACATGAACTGGGGGGGGGAGTGGCGAAAGACCCTCTCCCCTTGAAAAAGGGGTCATTGGATGTTTATCATCTGGAGGGGAGGGGCTCCAAGGGAAGAAGACCCCCCCTCTTCAATAAACCTCAGGAGTTTTGCTCAGGGGGTGTCTCAGAGATTCTCAAGCCACCCGGGACACTTTAGGAGGTCTGGACTTCAACTCCCAGAATTCCCCAGCTGGCCCATGCTGATGAGGCAACTAGACTGGGTTTTTTCTTTGAAGACATTTCGCTTCTCATCCAAGAGGCTTCTTCAGCTCTGACTGGATGGTGGACGATGGAAGGATTTCATGGAAGGACCCACAAGGAATATCGATCCTTCCCTTCCCCTTCACCATTCAGTCAGAGCTGAAGAAGCTTCTCGGATGAGAAGCGAAACGTCTTCAAAAGAAAAAAAAGCCAGAAAATCCAGTTGCCTCCAGAAAAAAAAATGCACCTTTGGGATGTGGGTCTCATCAGCATGGCCGGCTGGGGGAATTCTGGGAGCTGGAAGTCCAGACCTCTGAAAAGTTGCCGAGGTCAGACAAGGGGAAGCTTCAAACAGGCTTGTGGATTTCCAACTCCCAGAATTCTCTGCTGGCTGGGGGGATTCTGGGAGTTGAAGTCCGAGGGGCCGAGGTTGCAAAACACACAGCAACCTTTCAGCGAAAGGACTCCCAGAACTGCCCAACCGGTCGGTCTCTAGGACCCACAACGGGTGGCACCTCCGCGGCCCTTTTATCTGTACCCAATTAAATTTTGTTTATGTCTCGGGAGGGGCCAAAGTCCAGGTGATCCGACCTGCCGCAGGTGTTCCAAGCTGTGGCCTTGGGAGAAGGGGAGTAGCGGTTCTAAGGGTCATTCCCCAGGCCGGTAGCCACCCCCCACACACACCCCCATCCAAAGGGGAGGGTAGCATGCCCGCCCTTCCCCTCCCCTCCCCTCCCCGCTTTCTGTTCACCTTCCCTTTCTGAAAGAGAAAATAGAGACCGCTTTCGATGGGATCAGTCCCTCCGTTCATTTGCCAAACTCAAGCCGCCTGAGGTGAGTAATTGTGGGGAGTGGGGGCTTATAGGGGGCAATAGACCTCCTTTGGCTGGCTCAGACAGGCCAGTCCTCGACTTACAGCCACAACTGAGCCCAACATTTTTGTTGCCAAGTGAGACACACTCTACGACTTTTCTTAAATTAGTCGCTAAGTGAATCCGTAGACTCTTGCTTGTCAGAAGGTCATAAAAGAAGATCCCGGGACACGCCGACCGTCATAAATGTGAATCCGTCATCAAGCATCCGAATGTAGATCACATGACCACGGGGGAATGCCACAAAGGTCATAAGGGTGAAAAACGGCCTTTTTCAGCGCTGTTGCAACTTCGGTCACTAAGCGAAGTGTTGTAAGTCGAGGACTACCCGTAAGGCACTGATAGGGTTCCCCTAGTTTGGGGAATGAAACGACTGCAAGGAAATAAGGAAAGCCGGGGAGCACCCAGGACCTCTGCCAACCCAGAAGCGGGCATAAGAAACTCACTTGCTTACTGACGATGGCAGGCACCAGGGGGTAGCTGCTGGGCAATGGCGGTGGGGGGGTGGGGGGGAAATCCCAATTTCCCCCCCTCTGCTGATGGGGGGGGGGAGAATCAGCCTCCACTCCCAGGGGTGTTTGGGCATCTCAAGCCCCCCTCCTTTCCCCCCACTGGGCTCCCCTCAAAGACCAGAGCTGGGCAGGCATTTTGCCTTAATGGGGACATTTCGTGTGGTGGTGTGCGTGTGTGTTGTTGTGTGTTGTTGTGTGTGTGTGTGTGTAAGGCCTGGCCCTCCACCTGTTTTGTTTGCCAAGAGAAGCCACAACCCTCTTGGTCATATGAGAGTCAGGCCTCCATCTGCAAAAGAGGAAGGGGAAATGCTGATTTTGGAGTCCGAAGCCGCCATGTGAGACCGACTCCGATGACCTCTTCGCTTGACCCTCAATGGAGCCCAGGACCCCGGCCCTCCCCCTCCTCCCCCTCCTCCCCCTCCTCCTCCTCCTCCTCTTGGCTTCCTGGCACCCAGGATGTGGCAGCCTCTGCCCTTTGACCCCACCCCCACTGCGCTGGCACCCTCCACCAACCCCCCTCCCCATGGGCAGGGAGACTGAGGAGGGGGCTTTTGAGAAGACCAGGTGGGCAGCGATGGGCTTGAGCAGGGGGTTGGACTAGAAGACCTCCAAGGCCCCTTCCAACGCTCTTATTCTGTTAAAGGGGTGCTGTGGGGAGGACACAGCCCCTTCCTGATTGACCTTCCAAAGAGGGGAGGGGAACCCACCCCTCAGCTTCGAGCCCACGGCCCACGGGAGGGGACGGAGAGGGGGGGAAGGCAGGAAACGTGGCCAGGAGGGGATGCTGCCTTGTCAGCCAGGTGTCTCTGCTGCGCATGAGACGCCACGGCCACAAACCGAGCCGTGGCTTCCGCTGCTTTGCAAGAGGGAACAGGGGAACCAACCAACCCCCCCCCCCGTGCCCCAGCATTTTGCCCCCACCCCCCCGAACTGACTCACACTTTGTCAAGGCAGCAAGTCTCATTTCCTTCCCCTTCTTCGAACCTTCCAGGCCGGGCAGGGGGGCCCCTCAGAGTCCCGTGAGCGTCAGCCCTGCGAGGAAGACCTTCGGAAGGAGCGATGCGGCTGGCCAAGCTCTCCGTGGGGCCCGTCCTGTGGCTCGCCGGCTGGTGCCTGCTGGCAGCAGGTTGGTGGCGGTCTCCCTGAAAGTGGGGGAGGGAAAGGGGGGCCTGGCTGCCCTGAAAATGGGGGAGGTTGACCTGGGGCTTCCTGGAGGAAGGGGCAAATTAACGCACACACCCCGGAGCCCCCTTCCTTTGGGTCCAGGGGAGGGGGCTTTCCTCGCAGGACCCCTGCAGGGGGCACTCTGGAGGGAGGGAGGGATGGGGTCCCAGCCTATTCCCCCCCCACCCCAAAATAGCTGAAGCGATGTGCTGTAGGAGGCACAAAGCAGAAGGAATCGGGGGGGGGGCTTGAGGGTGAGCCTGGCTGGGTGGAGACGGGAGGGGGGGGCGGTTTAAGCAGCTCTGCCCACAGATGCCCCCCTCCCCCACTGACCGACCTGGTCTGCTCTCTCACAGGTGAGACCTCGGGGCAGGAGGACCCCCGGCAGCCCTGCTCCCCACAATTGGGCTCCGAGAATTGCCCCAGACCCACAAAGTCAGCCCCTCTGGTGACCTCGTTCACCAAGACCCCCACCCCTCCCTCAAAGCACACCACCACCCACCACCATCGCCGGCACACGACCGTTCCGGCCAACCACACCACCAGCCACCCCGCCACTACCACCACGCCCAAGAAGCCTACCACCACCCACCACGCCACCACAGCCCCTGCCAACCACACCTCGGCCTCCCACCACACCTCGGCCACCCACACCTCGGCCTCCCACCAAACCAGCCACCCCACCACCACAGCCTCTGCCAACCACACCTCGGCCTCCCACAACACCACCGCTGCCCACCACACCACCGCGGCCCACAACACCACGGCCGCCCACACCACCGCCGCCCCACGGCCCACCCAGCCACCGAGCGTGCTCGTGGGGAACTACACCGTCAAGCAGGGCGCCAGCATCTGCCTGCGGGCAGAAATGGGGCTGAAGATGCAGATCCAGTACGCAGACCAAGCCAAGCGGCAGGTGAGCACGGGTGGGGGTTCCGGTGGGTCAGACGGGATCGGGGGAGAGTGCCCAGGTCCCAAGATCTGCTGGCACCGAAGAGATTTCCAGAACCGCCTTCCTCCCTGGAGGCCGAGCTCCTCTCGCTCGCTCGTCGGGCAAAGGGCCTGCATTGCGAGCTTTACGGCCTTCCTCCGCTAGCTTAGCCCGGCCACGCAGCGGCATGCAACGGATTGTGTGGGTTTCCTCCTTTGTATCTGCTTCCGTGCTTAGCTCTGTCCTGGCAGAGTTAAGCAATCAAAATAAAGCTGGAAGGGACCTTGGAGGTCTTCTAGTCCAACCTCCTGCTCGAGCAGGAAACCCTACCCCATTCCAGACCAATGGTTCTCCAGTCTCTCTTCTTAAAAGCCTCCAGTGATGGAGAACCCACAGGTTCTGGTGGCAAGCTGTTCCACTGGCTAATTGTCCTCACTATTGGGAAATTTCTCCTTGGTTGGTTCCAGGTTTATTTATTTATTTATTTATTTATTAAATTTATATCCCGCCCTTCTCCCCGAAGGGACTCAGGGCGGTGAACAGCCGAGAATTAAAATAACATGCAATATAAAAGTTAAAATAATTAAGAATAAACTAAATTAAACGGCCACCCCAATTTAAAACCCCTAGCAATACAATTAAAAACCCCTAAAACCTATTCAGGCCAGGCCGGCTTGCTGAAATAAAAACGTCTTCAGGGCCTTACGGGAAGTGCGGAGATCCGGAATCAGCCGTATTCCGGGAGGTAGCTCGTTCCAGAGGGCGGCTGCCCCCACAGAGAAGGCTCTCCCCCTGGGGGCCGCCAGCCGACATTGCCTGACCGACGGCACCCTGAGGAGGCCCTCTCTGTGAGAGCGTATTGGCCGGTGGGAGGTTATCGGTAGCAGCAGGCGGTCTCGTAAGTACCCCGGCCCTAAGCCATGGAGCGCTTTAAAGGTGAGAACCAACACCTTGAAGCGCACCCGGAAGACCACCGGGAGCCAGTGCAGCTCGCGCAGGAGAGGTGTTACATGGGAGCGCCATATAACCCCTCTGTGGGGGTCAATGACTCGCCCCCAATAGCCAGTGATGGCACCAGCTGGCTATATCGGGATGCCGGCATCCACAGCCACTCGGTCTTGGAAGGGTTGAGTCGAAGCCTGTTCCTCCCATCCAGACCCGCACGGCCTCCAGGCACCGGGACATCACTTCAAGGGCATCATTGGGGTGGTCTGGGGTGGAGATGTACAGCTGAGTGTCATCAGCGTACAGATGGCATCGCACCCCAAATCCACGGATGATCTCACCCAGCGGCTTCACATAAATGTTGAACAGGAGCGGCGAGAGGACCGACCCTTGTGGCACCCCACAAACAAGGCGCCTCGAGGTCGACCTCTGCCCCCATGCCAACATGAACTGCGACCGGTTGGAGAGATAGGAGAACCACCGCAACACGGTGCCTCCCACCCCCAATCTCTCCAGCCGGTGCAGCATGATACCATGGTCGATGGTATCAAAAGCCGCTGAGAGGTCTAATAGGACCAGGACAGAGGAGCAACCCCTATCCCGAGCCATCCAGAGATCATCCACCAACGTGACCAATGCCGTTTCCGTGCTGTACCCAGGCCTGAAGCCGGACTGGCACGGGTCTAGATAGATGGTTTCATCCAGGTACTGCGGGAGTTGTTGTGCAACCACACTCTCAACAACCTTCGCAATAAAGCGAAGGTAGTTAGCCATAACAGCCGGGTCCAGAGAGGGCTTCTTAAGGAGGGGCCTCACCACCGCCTCTTTCAAGGCAGGCGGCAGAGAAGCATTTATAATCCTGTGGAGCCAGCCTCGCGTAACCTCCCAGGTAGCCAGTACCAGCCAGGAGGGACACGGGTCCAGTAAACATGTGGTTGCGTTTAACCTCCCCAGGATCCTGTCCACGTCCTCAGGAGTCACAGGATCGAACTCGTCCCAGATAACATTCTCAAGACCCGCCTCAGCCACTCCGCCGGACTCTACCCAGTCAGAGTCCAGGCCTTCCCGAATCCGAGTGATTTTATTGTGCAGATACTGTGCAAAATCCTCAGCCTGCCCTTGCAAGGGGTCCTCCTGCGCTCCCTGATGGAGGAGGGAGCGGGTCACCCTAAACAAGGCGGCTGGCCGATGCAATAAGAGCGGAAAAGTAATCACGCAGGTTGCTTCTCTCCTTGCTTAGTTTCCATCCGCCGCTTCTTGTCCTGCCTTTGGGTGCTTTGGAGAATAGAGGGACCCCCTCCGCTTTGGGGCAGCCCCTCAAATACTGGATGTCCCCCCCCACCAGTCCTTCTTTTCTCCAGACTGGCCAAACCCAATTCCTGCACCCGTTCTTCGTATGTTTAATTGAGGGCAGGCGGGCACGGAGGTGGCACTGCAGAGTGGAGCAGCCCCATTTCATTTGAGGGAAACGGAGGGCCTTCCAAGAGGTGGGCGGAGGCTCCTGTATGCCATCTCTCCTTCCCTCCTTCCTTCTCTCCTTCCCTTCTTCCTTTTCCAGGTCTGGGGAGCCTTTGCGGTGCAGCCCAACCACACCAACTTCTCCGGGACGTGTTCCGACAAGACAGCCACCTTGAAACTACATTTCCCAGAAGGCTTCATTCTCTTCACTTTCGAAAAGGTGCAGGAGGGGGGCCGTGGGAAGGACAAGTGGGGGGGGAAGTGCAGGTTGGAAGGGACCCTGGAGGTCTTCTAGTCCAACCCCCTGCTCAAGCAGGAAACCCTATAGCCAAACGTGGCAACTTTTAAGAGTTGTGGACTTCAACTCCCAGAATTCCCCAGCCAGCCAGTCTGGAGACCCCCTATTATAGCACCATTCCAGACACATGGCAGGATTAGGTCACATCTTGAGGCAGCAAGCTTCACGATTAGAGGAAGTCCTCGACTTACGGCTGTTCGGTGAGCAATCGCGCAACATTACCACAGGGCTGAATTTTTTTTTTTAATTTACAAACGGTCCTCGCATTTCACGACGGTTGTTTGTGTCCCTGCGGTCGCGTGATAGTTACATCACGGTCAGTGGGGAAGCCCGGCCGGGAAAGTCGCCATTCGCACGATCAAGGGGTGTCTCGGTTAATGACTGCACCACTTAATGACCAATTTGGTCGGGAGTCGAGGACCGCCCACAGTTGGGGGCAAAGTTTATTCAATTTGAGTTTAAGTTAATAAATAATAACTTTGCGGGAAGAGGGTTATGTTAAGAGGGTTTATTGGTGTATTGATTTCACATTTTCTAACGTTCTGCCAGTTATGCTTTCCTGGGTGACGGGTTGATCTGAAAATATAATTTGTCTGCAATATTCTCAGACTGGCTGCCCGGCCGCCCTCCCCCCCCACCCCCATGACTCATTGGGCAGTTCCCGGCTGGCTCCACCCCCCCCCACCCCACCCCCCACCCAGTCAGATTTGGGTGACTCACTGGTCCTGACTGAGAGTGGCTCTAAGACCGGTCAGCTGCTCAGAGGCATCACATGCCAAGGAAGAACTTTTTTTCTCATGCTTGGCAGCTTTCAGATGTGGGGACTACGACTCCCAAATTCCCCAGCCAGGAAGTCCTCAATAGCCATCTGAAAGCTGCAGAGTTTGAGAGAGGTTGGTCCAGTAGTTCCTGGAAGGGGGGGGCACAATGGATGAATTTGGGGAGGGGGGGAGAGAGGAGCTTTGGTCTCTGCCAGCCCCACTTTCTAGGGCAGGGGTCTCCAATCTTGGCAACTTTAAGCCTTGGCGGACTTCAACTCCCAGAATTCCCCAGCCAGCTTGAAGTCCGCCAAGGCTTAAAGTTGCCAAGCTTGGAGACCCCTGCCCTGGGGGAAAAAAACACCCAAAAAATTTCCCCTTCTTTCTACAGAATGCAACAGAAAAGGCAGTGTACCTGAGGCAGGTGGAGGCCAACCTCACCTACCAGTTCCCCCAGGCGACAGGTGAGCAGCAGGCGAGGGGTGGGGGGCTTGGGGGTGGCGGGGGGGCATCCTCAGTGCCCCATGGCAGCTTTGGCGGAGTCTGTGATGCCCCACAGCTCTTAGAGGAAGAGACGGGGGGCATTCTGTGTGTGTGGGAGGGGGGAGGGTTTCTCCTGCAACCCCAAATTACGGCCACACGAAGCCCCCACCTCAGCCTCCGTCCGACTCACATGCACCCCTCGTTGGCACCTAGACCCCAGAGTTGCGTCCTTGACTTACGACACTTCATTTAGTGACCGTTTGAAGTTACGACATCACTGAAAAAAAGGGACTTACAGGGGTTTTTCGCACTTATGAGCGTTCCCACCGTCACACGAATCAAAATTCGGACGCTCGGCAACTGACTCGTTTATGACGGTCACGGTATCCCCCTGGGGGAGGGGGAAGTCTGGTGACCCCCTTTTGTGACCTTTGGACCAGCGAAGTTCAACCGTGAAACCAGATTCGCTTAAAAACCGTGTGGCTCACTTAGTAACAGCAGTGATTCACTTAACAACCGTGACCTGTAAAAATGGGGCAAAACTCACTTCACAGCTGTCTTTTGGGCTCAATTGTGGTCACAAGTCGAGGACTGCCTGTCTAAGCTTCCAGAGAGGCAGGGAAGAGCTGGATTTTGGGTGGGGAGCTGCAGGTGGGATTCCCCTGAAGGGGGACGCTTAGCGTGCCCACCGCCCCGATGTCCAACGTGGGGCCACTTCTCCACCGCTTTGTCTCCGCAGAGAAGACCTTCAGGGCCAACAACGCCTCCCTCCGGGAGTTCGCGGCCCCCCTGGGCAAATCCTACCAGTGCCGCAACCGCAGCCTGGCCCTGAGTGAGAACTTCCGCCTGACGGCCCTGAGCGAGCGCGTCCAGGCCTTCCAGCTGCAAGACGGGAAGTTCGGGGAAGGTAAGCGCTGGCCTCTCCGATTGGATGGAGAGATGGGAGCTGGGCGGGAAAGGATCCTCCCAGCTCCCATCTCATGAAACCGGGGGGTGTCTGTGGGGGGGGGGTGTCTCCAAATTTGGCCACTTAGAAGACAGGTGGACTTCAACTCCCAGAATTCCCCAGCTGGCAAAGCTTGATCAGAAATCAGCATGAATGACACAAGAATAACTCATCAATGGTTTTTGATGGGGTAAATTTCTGAGTAGACGCTGGGAATGCAGATGTAATATAACTTCAATTCAGCAAAGGGAAGAAACAACCTGTGGGAAACCGATGTGCTGGCTGGGGAATCCTGGGAGTGTGGAGACCCCCGATATGGAACATAGCATCATAGCCTAGGAAGGGGGACCAACCCCCTGCCCTCGGCTAACAGATCCGGGCTTTTCCCCCCTTTCCTTTCACCGAGTTTTCGGGTTCACAAGTGCCTGTTTGAAGACTAGGAGGAAGCTCCTCGCCCATTCTTACCTCCCTCCGCCTTGATCTGTGTCTCCTGAGGCTTCCTCAACTAGGGGACCGACCAGCCCCCCTCCCCCTTTTCTCCCCATTACCCGAAATTCCGGGGGGGGGGGAAGGACACATTTTTCTGCCTCTGCCTCAGTTTCTTCTTCTGCCTTTCCAGCGGAGGTCTGTTCCGAGCAGAAGCGCTCCGTCGTCCTGCCCATCGTGGTGGGTGTGGTTCTCGGCGTCCTCATCCTCATCGTCCTCGTGGCCTTCGCCGTGGGACGGTGGCGAGCCCGCACGGGCTACGAGTCCCTCTAAGAGCCCCTGGCGACCCCCTTCCTTGAGTTGCAGCTGGACCAGCTGACGGAGCCCTGCGTTTGAGTCTTTTAACGAGAGCCACCGACGGACAGAAAGGCCAAGAGAGAGAAAATGCCAGACGCTAATCCACTGCCCTTCCTTGGACTGCCATTTGAGGACTTTCAGGGGGTTTTAGCTTTTTTTTTTAAAAAAAAATTGTGCTGCTTATGGCGGGTGGAGGGGGGAAAGGCGGGATGTTAAATAAGCACAGCTAGCCATACAGGTAGTCCTTGATTTACCACACTTAGTGACCGTTCGAAGTGACGACAGCCCTTTGAAAAAGTGACTTATAATTGTTTCTCACGCTTAAGACCATTGCAGCATCCCTACAGCCATCGTCACGTGATCAAAATTCAGTTGGTAACTGACTCAGAGTTATGACTGTTGCAGTATCCGGGGGGGGGGTGTCCCCTTTTGCAACCACCGACCAAAAAAGCCAACGGGGGGGGGGGAGCCAGATTCACTCAATAATAACAGCCATTCCATTAGCAACTGTGGCAAGGAATTCACTGAATGACTGTCCCACTTAGCAATGGATTTTTTTTCCCCTCCAGAGAGGAAACTGTGAGAAGGGAGGCAAATAAATTGGATAATAATAGTAATAAAATAATAATAAAGAGGAATGAGCAATTGGAACGGAAGGCGCACCAAGGCGTTCGTTGAGTGGGGCTGCCCCCAGGCCTTTTATGCAGCCGACCGGGGGGTGGGGGGGAGGGACGCTTTCAAACTCGACGTAAAGCGGGTGCAGTAAAGAGGAAGGAACCTGGTAGTTGGGAGGGAAGGAGGGAGGGAGGGTTTGCTTTGACCGTGGGAATAAAACCTGCGGTTTCCCACTTTGTGCCCAGCAAATCAGTTCATTAAAGACCTTGGCGTGTCTTTTCATTTCCTGTCTTTCTTTTAATGTGGAGTTTTCATTTCATGTCTGCAACAGCCCCCCCCTCCTCTTTGAGCTCCTGTGAATCTCTCCTTCCGCGGGCAGGAGAAAGCAGACCCCTCCCTGCCTCTGGAAGAGACCCCCCCCCACTAGAATCCTCCCACTGAAAGGTAGGCCTGCCTTCTCCTTCTTCAGAAGGAAAGGAAAATTTTAAGAAACAGGCCGCAAATCATTTCCTGGGTGACGAGTGGAGGCCTCTGCCATGGAAAAAGACCTACCTGGGCGGGTTAAAAGCAGAATGACATATAGGTACTCCTTACAACGGTTCCGTTTAGCGACCGAAATGACAATAGTAGTGAAAAAAAGTGACTTAGGACCGTTTTCCACACTTATGACCGTTGCAGCAGCATTCCCCATGATCAAAATTCAAGACGCTTGGCCACTGACTCGTATTTATGATGGTTGCGGTGGCCCGGGTTAGGATCACACGATCCCATTTTGTGATTTTCTGGCAAGCAACGTCAATGAGGAAGAGGGATTCGTGTTACTAACACCTGCAGGCATTCCTTTAAAAACGGCGGAAAGGAAGGTCGTAAAATGGGGTAAAACCCGCTGAACCAATGCCTCGCTTAGCAGTAGAAATGTTGGGTCGTAAGTCGAGGACTACCTGTGAGACCCACAGCTGAATGCCACCTGTGTTTTGGTCGAGGAGGGACGGAGGGAGGAATCCGAGCCCCCTGCAACTCCCTCCCTGGCTCCCGGCTCCCTCTTTGCCCAGGCGTGCTTGGGGTGACAGCCAAGCTCAACCTGGTGGATTTCAGGCTGCAGTGAAAAGAACAGGAAGTCCCGCCCGGTTTGGCTTCCCAAACGGGCCCACAGGTTTCACCTCATTATTATTAAGCAGGGCAGGTAATTACAAGGGTCAGAAGAGGTCACCAGCAGAAAGCACTATAGTTAGTCCTTGACTTCCAACCGTTTGTTTAGTGACCGTTCGAAGTTACAACAGCGCTGAAAAAAGGGACTTTTTCGCACTTACGGCCGTTGAAACTTGAAAATTCACATGATCGTTCGGATGCTTGGAAACTGACTCGTATTGAGTCACGTGATTCCCTTTTGCAACCTTCTGACAGGCAGAGTCAAAGGGGGAGCCAGATTCGCTTAACAACCGTATTACTGGCTTAACAATGGCAGAGATTCATTTAACAGCTACCGCAGGAATGTGGCAAAATGGGGTAAAATTGATTTAACTCTCTTAACAACAGAAAGGTTGAGTTCAGTCGTGGTCATAAGTCGAGGATTAACCCGTATCTCTTCGTATTACTGGTAATCCTCGATTTACGACCGCAATCCAGCATTCCCACTGCTAAGCCAAGAGTGAGTGTTGAGTGAGTTTTTCACTTTTTCCGGTGCCATTGTAACTTCGAGAGATCATTAAACGAGTGGCTATAAGTCGAGGACTACCTGGATGGGCTCAGGGCCTGCTCTATTTTGTTTTCTTTTAGTCACAAAGCTGTTTCCGGGACCCGAGACTGCGGTCGAGTTCCTGTTTTCTGCTCTTGGGCTGAGAGTCCCTCCCTGCCAGATGTGTCTGGACTGCTTCTGCTTTGGCAACCACACTCGGCGTGTGTGAAGAGAGATAGCAGAAAAGATGAGACACAAACTGAGCAAAACTCCTGAGGTTTATGGTGAAGGGCTCCCTTCTTCCCAGATGATAAACCTTCAAGGGCCCCTTATCAAGGGATCCTTTCAACCAGCCCCAGTCAACATGGCCCTATTCAGAATTCATTTTTAGGAGGCCAGCCCAGCCCTAAGAAGAATATCAAGAGTTGGAAGGGACCTTGGAGGTCTTCTAGTCCAACCAACTCCTCAAGCAGGAGACCCTAGAACAGGTTCATCAAACTTGGCAACTTTTAAGACTTCTGGACTTCAACTCCCACAATTCCCCAGCCAGCTATGATGACAGTTGAAGTCCAAAACTCTTAACTCTGCGTATCATTCCAGACACGTGTCTTTTTTTTGAAGACCTCCAATGATGGAGCACCCACAACTTCTGGTGGCAAGGAGTTCCATTGGTTAATAGTTCTCGCAGTCAGGAAATTCCTCCTTAGGTTGGGGAGGTTGCTTCTCTCCTTGATGAGTTTCCACCTGTTGCTTCTTCTCCTGCCTCCGGGTACTTTGGACAATACAGGTCATCATTGACTTCGCTTAGTGACCATTGGAAGTTACAACAGCACCAAAAAAAAGTAACTTATGACCATTTTTCATGCTTATGAACATTGTGGCATCCCTGTGGCCACGTGATCAAAATTCTGACGCTTGGCAACTGATTCATACTTATGATAATTGCAGTGTCCCAGGGTCATGTGATCCCATTTTGTGACCTTCTGTCAAGCAAAGTCAAAGTAATAAATGTGGCAAGACAGGTCAAAAAACGAGGCAAAATTCACTTAACAAATGTCTCACTTAGCAACAGAAACACAACTGGGCTCAATTGTAAGTCAAAGATTACTTGTAATAGGATGACCCCCCTCCCCCTTACTCTTCTGATTCTCCCTGCGACCCCTCCCTCCCCTTCAGGCCCTCCTCCCACCCAGAAGCCCCTCAGCCCCTCAGGGCCAAGGCCAGGGCATCTCGGATCTCTACCGCTTCAGCATCCTCTTCCTCCCCTTCTTCCACTGGTTGCTCCTCGCGCGGCTCGGCCTCATCCTCCATCCAGCAGGCCTGGAAGGCATCTCCGCGGGCCTCACAGATGTTGTGCAGGGTGCAGCAGGCCGCGATGAGGGTGGGCAAGAAGGAGACGTCGGTGTCATTGCGCTTGGTCAAACAACGCCAGCGTCCACGAAGGCGGCCGAAAGCCACCGCCAGTACCGTCCGGGCAGCGTCAGCGTACTCGTTGAAGCGTTGCTGTGTGGGACTCAGAGCCGTTGCCCTGTAGGGTCGCATCAGCCAAGGCAGGAACGGGTATGAGCAGCCGCCCAGCAGATAGACGGGCACCTGCACCCCACTGACATCTCGGGACCCTCCGGGGAAGAGTTCGCCCTCCTGGGCTCGCTGGTAGAGCTCGGACGCGCACAGCACTTGGGTGTCCGTCACCCGTCCTGGGCATCCAACGTTGATATCCCAGAAGCAGCCACGGGAGTCCACGGCAGCCTGCACCACCACTGAATGCCATCCGCGACAGTTGTAGTAGCCCGCGGCGTTCTCGTTGGGGGCACGGATGGGCACGTGCAGGGAGCCCAGCACTCCAGCCAATTGCGGCAGGGGGAATCCGTTGCCAGCCGCCACCTGGTCTGGGTTGGGCGGGCGCACGTAGAGCGGGGTGAGGATGCCCACCACGGCTTCACAGACGTCACGCAGGATCTTGCAGACGGTGGAGCGGGACACGCCGAACAGCTGCTCTACTGCCCGATATTCGGTGCAGGCGCCCAGGCGCCAGAGGGTCATGGCCAGGCGGACGTCGGCCGGGATGGCCCGGCGCATGTTGGTGTCCCGGCGTTGGATGGCGTTGCGCAGGTGGGCGCAGAGGTAGTCGAAGGTGCCGGGCGACACGCGGAAGTTCTCGCCCCACTCCCAGGCGCTGAAGGCCTTGACCCGCACGATCTCCCAGAAGGCCGAGCTGCGGAATTTGCTCCACAGGCGCCGTTCCCGCAGCAGCCGGGGAAGGGCGTCCCCGCCACGCCGGCCCCCAACGCCCCTGGAGCCCAAGCCGGGCGGGCCATGCTCCCGGGCCAGCAGGCGGCAGAGCCACAGCAGGGCGAAGCGTTGGCGGCAGCGGGCCTGGGCCCGGCGGTGGCGCGCTGCCCGTCGACGGCGGTCCACCTCACAGAGACGACGGCTCCGCTGCAGCCGCAGGGCGTGGAGCAGGCAGAGGGCCACAGTGCCACGGCTGAGGGCGGGCAGCAGCCGGCCCTCCTCATCCCCATGGCCGGAGGCAGCCGTGGGACAAGATGGCGCCTGAGGAATGGCGGCCATTTTGGCCCTCGGTTGACCCTGAGAGCACGAGGTGAGGCGGCGCGCATGCGCGGGCGGACCGGCGGGGGAACCAAACAGCCTCGCGCAGGCGCCTCAGTCCAGGTAGATGCTCAAACTGAAAAGGGCATGCGCGTTCAGGAACGACGGCCGCTCCTCCGCGCACGCGCAGACGGACCGGCACTCTCCTCGGGCGCCTGTCCGGCCTTATGGAAGCGGAAGTCTGGCCCGCCTGAAGCCCCTCCTCCCCAAAATGGCGGCGTCGGCGCTGAAGGTCGCCCTGGTCCCCTACATTCTCCCCGAGCGCTGCTATGACGAGCTCGTCGTCAACCTCAACCTCCTGCACGGTGAGCCGGGCCCGCCCACCGCCCCGTCCCTTGGGGGGGAGGGGTGTTACTCGGCGGCCCGTCGTCCTGGCAACGGGCCCTTGGGCGGAAGTGCCTGAGTGGCCGTCGGCGGCCATCTTGGAGAAGGGCGGAAGCGAGGTTCGCCTGCGGGGGGGTGAGAGCGGAGGCGCCATGTTGGAAGTGGGCGGAAGGGGGCTTCTGTCGTTGGAATTGCTGGAAGATCGGGGGGTCCTTCCTCCATGGGGGGGTGGGGGAGGGGCAGGAAGGTCCTCTCCCCCTCCCACCGCAGGGCCTTGACAGGCAGCCGCCCGTCAGGTGCAGCGTCCGCGATGGGAGCCTCCCAGGGACCCCCTTGGGGGCTTCCCCGGCGCCGGTGGGACCCTCTGCGCTCTCTTTCCCCCCTCGCAGTGCCCTGCCTGAAGGTCTTCCTCAGCAAAGCGCTCGGATTCGCCGTGGTGGCCGGTTCCCTCGTGGGTAAGAGACCCCCCCGCCCTTTCCCCTGGGTGCCCCGCCCCCAGAAGCCTCGCCCCTTTGACCCCGCCCCCAACACCCCCCCCACCTTCCCCCCAATCTGCCTGCCCCACAATCCCCCAGCCCCAAAGGGCAGAGGCTGGCACACAGGACAGGTGGCAGAGAAGCCTTGATGGTGGGTCCATCAAGGCAATGGGCACAATCTTTCCCAGAAAGAAGCCCCTGTGCCCCCCACCCCCAGAAGTTGGGGGTGGGCTCCATGGCCCTCGCTTTCCTTAATGGTGCCGTGGGATGGAGGGCAGAGCCATGCACAGAGAGAGGTGGATGCTTTGGGGGTTATGCAACCTTCCGGAGTCCCCTTTGGCTGAAGGTGCTGTATGCTCTCCTGCCCCCCCCCTCTCCTCTAACCCCCATTGGTGTCTCCCCTTTTCCGCAGTGAAGATGCCCCAGATCCTGAAGATCCTGGGGGCCAAGAGCGCTGAGGGCCTGAGCTTCAATTCCATCCTGCTGGAGCTTGTGGCCATCAGTGGCACCATGGCCTACAGCATTGCCCACAGCTTCCCCTTCAGGTAGAGCCGGTGGATGGGTGGGAGTGGGATGGGAGCTTCCCGTAGAGCTGGACTGCTGGGTCGCTGCTCTTCCTCAGCATTGCTGGGTGACTGGGCCAATCACTGGGAGACGGTTCGGCATGAAAGCTGGCTAGAGAACTGTATTTGCTGAGTTGAGTTACGTATAGAGTAATAAAGGCGGAATAAAAGTCTACAAAGGGAAGGAATTTTAGGCTAGGCAGATCTCACCGCCCTACCCTGAGTGGGTGGGTGGGTCTGGACATGCAGGGGATTCCCTCTGGCCCAGACTTCGCAAGGGCTGCCAGTCCGTCTGCCCTTCCCCTTGGCCAGAGTGCCTACCCCCTGCCCTCTTTTCTCCCCCTCCCTGCAGTGCCTGGGGAGAGGCCCTCTTCGTCATGTTGCAGACGGTGTCCATCGGCTTCCTGGTGCAGCATTTCGGGGGCCACACCAGGCGTGGTAAGTAGGCGAGGAAGTGAGGTGTGGAGGGTCCATGGGTAGCTGTGGCTTTTGCACAGAGGCCCACCGACACCCCTGCAGGGAGGCCGAAGCCGGAAGTGCTTTGGGAGGAGGATCTATTTGGAGAGGAAAACTCTGAGTTTCCAAACAATTTTTATTGTTTTTCTGCTCCAAATATTTAGAATAGCAACCTGGGCAGCTTTCAGAGGGCAGGACTCCAACTCCCATAATTCCCCAGCCAGCTTTGCTGGGAGTTGAAGTCCACCCCTCTTGAAGCTGCCTCAGTTGAGAAACACTAACCCTGTTGCATTTTGTAACATTCGCAAAGGCATTCAGAATATTGACTTAATTTTATGTTAATGGAGATTTCTTTCTTGTTTTTTTTTTTTTCCTTGAAGAGGTTTCGCTTCTCATCCAAAGAAGCTTCTTTAGTTCTCGTCCTTCAGTTCTTCAAAACTGAAGAAGCTCCTTAGATGAGAAGCGAAATCTCTTCAAGGGGAAAAAAAAAGGCTCCTTTGGATGCTGACTTTGCAAAATGCTCCTCTAGTGTCCCACCGTTCTTGTGCCTCTCCCGCCACTGGTGTCCAAAGAAGGGGCCTGCACTGGCGTGGTGGGAGGGAGGGGCAGGGAATGAGGTGTGGGCTCCCCAGGGCCTCAGTTGTGGGACCGGAGCATCATGTCGCAACCCCCTCTCTGTAGGCCTGGCTTTCCTCTTCACCTACTTCGCCCTCCTGTCCCTCCTGCTCTCTCCGCTCACCCCATCCGTGGTCGTGACCACTCTTCAGGTGTCCAACATGCCCACTGCAGCCACCAGCAGAGTAAGTGGGACCCCACCCCCAGATTGTGGGGTGGGGGGGGATTGCTGAGAAGCCAGCTTGCCTAACGGCGATAGCGATGTGGCTGGGAGGCAGCCTCTCCCATTGGCCAGCTGGCCCTGGCATCTCAGACGGCCGCCTCTCTCCAACAGCTCCTGCAAGCAGCCACCAACTACCAAAACGGCCACACGGGCCAGCTCTCGGCCATCACGACCTTCCTGCTCTTCGTGGGATCCTTGGCACGAATCTTCACCTCCATCCAGGTAAGGGTGAGGCACTAATCAAGGGAGGAACCAACACCACTCTGTAAAGCCTCAGTAAGGCCACACTTGGAATCCTGCATCCAGTTTTGGTCCCCACACTATAAAACAAGACGTGGAGACTCTGGAAAGAGGGCAGAGAAGAGCAACCAGGAGGATGAGGGGACTGGAGGCTCAAACAGACGATGAACGGTTGCAGGAACTGGGCATGGGAAGAGAAGGACCAGGGGAGACGTGATAGCAGTCTTCCAATATCTGAGGGGCTGCCCCAGAGAGGAGGAAGGGGGTCAAGCTAGTTTCCAAAGGCCAGGCAAGGAATAATGGATGGAAACTGACCAAGGAGAGATTCCACCTGGAAATAAGGAGTTTTCTGACAGAACAATCCACCGATGGAACAGAAGTTGTGGGAGCTTCATCCCTGGAGGCTTTCAAGAAGAGACTGGACAGCCGTCTGTCAGAAATGGTGTAGGGTCTCCTGCTTGGGCGGGGGGTTGGACTAGATGACCTCCAAGGTCCCTTCCGACTCTGTTAATCTGTAAAGGGGTGGGTGGGTCAAAAGGAAAGGGCCTGGAGAACTCTGGAGAGAGATGGGCCCCGTATACTCTGTTTCATTAATACAGGTAGTCTTCCACTAACAGCCAAGGTGGAGCCCAAGATTTTCTGCCGCTAAGCGAGACATTGGTGAAGTGAGCTTTGCCCCGTTGTTAAGTGAGCCACCGCAGTCGTTAAGTGAGGAACGTGGTTGTTAAGTGAATCTGGCTTCCCTGCTTGTCGGAAGGTCGCCAAAGAGGATTGAGTGGCCCCGGGACACTGCGACCGTCATAAAATACGAGTCAGCTGCCAAGCCCACAAAGTTTGATCACGTGACTGTGGGGATGCTGCGACGGTCGGATGTGTGAAAAACGGTCATAAGTCACTTTTTTTCAGTGTCGTAACTGTGAACGGTCACTAAGCGAATGGTTTTAAGTGGAGGACTGTCTGTAAATACATCCAAGGCTGAAAGGGAGCCTGGGAGGAAGAAGGGAGCCTTTGATATCCCTGATCCTCAGTTAATGACTGTCCAGCCAGCATCCGGGCAAGGGACCCTAGAGCAGGTAACAGTCTATTATTGTAACAGTAAGAGAGTTGGAAGGCACCTTGGAGGTCATCTAGCCCAACCCCCTGCTCACCCAAGAGGCCTGTACTAGGGATTCGAACCGCCGAACTGTCGACAAGCTTAGCCACTGAGCCACCTCCGATGGCTCAGGTGAGCGATGGGCTGCTGGGCTGCCCTTTTCAAAGTTCACCAGGAGATGCCTCCTTGGTCAAACAGGGAACTTTCAGGTGGCTGGACTTCCGCTCCCAGAATCCCCCCAGCCAGCTACGTCCAGGTGTTTTAAAAGTTGCCACAGTTAAGAAACCCGGGGCTGGGGGATTCTGGGAGCGGAAGTCCACCCGTCTTAAAAGTTGCCATCCACCGCTCTGCCCTCCAGTTGGCCAGCCGAAACGGAAGGATGGCCGGCCACCTTCTGACTGGCCCGGCGTGGAGGGCAGAAGGCCGCCCCTCCTGAAATGTGGGGGCAGAGGGAGCCCCTCCCTGGACCCTGTCAAGTATTTGCAAGCCATTGGCACATGTGTCATATAGACACCAGTGGAGGCAGTGTGTGTCTCCACCTCTATGTGGAAAGGAGGGGCTTACCCTGAGTATAAAACCCCCTCCAACCTTTTCCACCTCTCTGGCTCTCTCCATCTCTCTTTTTTCATGTTTGTTCCTCATGAGACTTGATCTCTGTTGTACATAGTTAATATGATTTATCATATGAATAAATACGTTTAAGACATTTATTCATGCATCCGCCTCTGAACTCTTCTATGCTCCTGGGTGTTTCTACGATCCCAATTCCACAGAATGGTAGCAGAGGATGTTTCGATCCATCGACCTCTTTTCATGTTTGTTCCTCATGAGACTTGATCTCTGTTGTACATAGTTAATATGATTTATCATATGAATAAATACGTTTAAGACATTTATTCATGTATCTGCCTCTGAACTCTTCTATGCTCCTGGGTGTTTCTACGATCCCAATTCCACAGACCCCAAGGAAAACCTCTTCCTTTGCTTCTCAGGAGACCGGAGACCTCCTGATGGTGCTGACTTACGTCGTGTCCCTGGCCTGCCACAGCCTCATTTTGGGACAGGTGCTTTACTACTGGAACGCTACGGACAGGCTCAAGAAAGAGTGACCGGCCTGCTGCTGCTGCCGCCCATCCCCTGCGGGGCGCGGTGCCCGCAGGCTGACCTCAAGGATGCCCACTACCTACTCTTCTGCCTGCATTCTGAGTTCAGGGAAGTGGTCCCCTTCCCCACGAATTCCACCGGACTTTTTATGGCCCACGCAGGGCAGTGGGGCTGCCACCAGACTGCTGCTTTCTTTTATTTGGGGTGTAGGGGTGTGTGGACGGGAGGGGGGAGTCTTTCCTTGCTTAACCTCCCCCCCACTTTTGAAAACAAAGAGAGAAGCTGCAACAGAATGGTTCCTTGTCTTGCAGTTCTTCCTCTCCCCACCAGGGGGGACCCTTGCAAAACACAGCACCTCCCCCCAGGAACTTTCCCCCTCCCCAGGAACTCCCCCCCCCCAATGCCCTGGGGGGTGGGACTTGGGCCTCTTGCCTGGGCAGGCTAATTGGGGCGATTAGGGAGAGGAGCTGTGCCCCCCCCTTCCAGGGAGGGAGCCCAGGTGAGTCAGCACAGCTGCCTGGGGGAGGTGGGGGGGTAGCTTGGATTCACAGCTGGCAGGAAGCAAAAGCTAGGAAGCCCATCAGAAAAAACAGCCCACCGGGCATGACTTTCCCCCTAGCAAATGGGGTGTGGGGGGGGGGAGAGCCAAGACTTGCAGCCCTCCCCCCAAGCTCTTTCCTGGCTGTGCCATCTTCCCAAGGGTTGGGCAGCCAGCAGAAATAACCCTGGCGCATTGTGCCAGATGTGCCAGGCAAGGCTACTTGGGGCAAAGGGTCTCCTCCCTTCTCCCCTGCCAGGGGGGGCTTCTCCCTGGCTCTTGGGAGGTGGGGGGGTGTAAATCAGTTGAACTCTGCAAACTCTGCTCTTTAAAACAATCTTTTATTGGTTGTTTATATATAAAAAAAACTTTTTATATATATATATATAAAAAAACCTTTGTACTCCTTATAAAACGTCCTTCGTGCTGGCAATCGCCCCACAGATACAGTTCGGGTCAGGCCAATGTCCGGAACTCCTCCCTCACTCCCCCCTTTCTTCAGGTCCCAATTGGGGGAGGGGGGGGTCTTTGCACCTCTTTCCAAACTCTGTCCACCTTTCCTGATCCTGGTTTGTTTTGTTTTGGCTGCGCCTGGCAAAATAATCCCGAAATGCGGCTGCCAGCTGGAGTCCTGTCGTCGTGTCGTCGTCCTTGCTAGAGGGGGGACAAGGGGGCAACGCTGCTGAAGCCCAGGGGCTGGTGAGGGTATTCCGGGAGGCAGCCCGGGGTGGCTGCGTCGGAGGCCTCGCACCCCTGCAGCCCGTAAACGGACACCGTGTCCGGGAAGGTCCCGAGAGGTTGCTGAAAACCACTGTCCGGCTTCCTTGGCATCGTGGCGATGGCTGGGTGGGTTGGCGTGCCATAAACCAGGCTGCTGGGCAAGAAAAGAAGGGCAAGGGGCTTAGTCCCATCCAGGGTAAGAGAGGCAGCAGGTGGGTTTGCAATATACGGAGTCAAACCCAGCCCGCACCCCATCGATCTTCTTAAATGACAGTTTGGGGGCAGGTTACAGCTTGAGGGGACTCCCTTGCCTGGTGCCCCTAAGGCAGGAGTGGCCAACTTTGACAACTTCTGGATTTCAACTCCCAGAATTCCCCAGCGAGCCATGCTGTGTTTCCCCCTCCCTCTCTCTCTCTCTAGAGCTGAGAGATTGCAGAGGAAGGGACTGCAAGAGAGTAAGCAGGCATACCACAGGTGTACACCTCAAAAGGAGTGGATTATCACCCGAGAATTGAAGTCCATAAGTCTTCACGTTGCCAAGATTGGACACCCCTGCTTCTAAGGCTAGCCCCCCCCCCAAGGAGGGTCTTTCTCGGTCCAGACAGGTCTAATGTTGGTAGAGGGCAGGCAGGACTTGCCCAGCTCCTTAGGGAGGGAGGCAAGCACTTTGGGGGGTGGGTGCCACCCCTGCCACAATCTGAATTTGGCCAGGCAGGCGCAGGGTTTCCAAGGGGGGGAGGGGCCCTGGCTGTCCTGGGGAAGGGAGGGGGCTGGGGGTTCTGATTGTCACCTGCCCAGCCCTGCACCTGTGGGAAGAAAGCTGGGGGGGGGGGGGCATGGGCGGGACGGAGCCGCATTCCTCCCGCAGCCGGCTCTTCCAGTTCTGGCCAGGAGCCCCCAAACCTGTTCAGGCCTGTCTGGCCTCAGCCCGGAGCTGCTGCGAAGGGGCCCCAGAGGCTTTGCCCCCCCCCTCCTCCCCGGGAGCCTTTGCTTAAGCCGCAGCGAGTCCGTGGCCCCCGGGGCTTCTCCTGGCAGAGTCAAATTGCTCCTGGGCTCGCTCTGGCCCGGGCTTGACCCGGAAGAGAGGGAGCTGGGGGGGGGGGGCTGCTGCATTTTGGGTGCCTGCCTGGCAGGGCGGGCCGGCGCTGCACCCAGGCGCTGGAGAGCGCCCGGGGAGAAACTGGCACCGCTGGCTGCGGGCACGCCCGACTGGTAGCACAACAGAAGCGGGGGTCTTCGCAGCCTCGACGGCCGGCCGGAGAACCGTCCCGGACCTCTGGGGAGGCCGGGGTGGGCTTGGAACTGGGGCAGGTGAGGCAGAAAGCTGGCTAATGGGGGTCACGCTTGCACGCCCCCCCCCCACCCACCCAAAGTGGCCGTCCTGCAAGAGGAATCGGGTTTCCCACCCCACGGACTCTGCCCCCTTGTTGTGGGGGGTGGGGGGAGGCAGGTCGCTGGGTGCAAGTCGCGAGTGGGCGGCTGCTTCAACCAGCCCGTCTCGGAAAAACCCCAAAACGCCCCCAAAAAGGTGTCTTGGGAACCAAGAGCGTCCGCCCCGTCGAGGGGACCCCCCCCATGGACTCTCACCTGCAGGGCGCCGCCGCGGCCCCAATCGCGTAGCCTCCGCCGGGGCTTCCTCGGAAGACGTCGGGCGAGCCGGCGTAGGCGGCCGTCCAGCCGAGGGGCGTCGAGGGTCCCGGCAGGAAAGCAGGGGAGCCCCCGCTGGCTTCCCGGCCGGCCCGGCTCTTCCGTCGCGGCCGGTACTTGTAGTCCGGGTAGTCCTGCATGTGGCGGGCCCGCAGCCGCTTGGCCTCGTCGATGAAGGGCCGCTTCTGGGCGTCGTCGAGGCGCTTCCAGGCGGCGCCCAGCCGCTTGGAGATCTCCGAGTTGTGCATCTTGGGGTGCTCCTGCGCGATCCGACGCCGCTGCCCGCAGGACCAGACCATGAAGGCGTTCATGGGCCGCTTCACCTTCTCCGCCCGGGCTTCCGACGGCGGCGCTTCGGGTTGCGGCGAGGGAGCTGGGACGGGCGGGGACGGGCCAGCCGCCCCCGCCGCCCCCGCCCAGCCCCTCGGGGTTGCCTCCGGGGTGTAAAAGCCCGCGAACATCCTCCCCACCCCCGTCGGAGGCGGCGCGACTAGAGAGCCTCGAGAGGTCCCGTCCTTGGAGCAGCCGGCAGCAAGGGAGCACGTGCGGCCGGTCGGTTCTGGGATATAGGGGACCAGGCCCCGCCCCTCCAGACCCCGCCCCTCCAGACCCCGCCCTCCCCCTTGCCTCCCCCCCCACTTCTGCCGCCGCGCTCTGCCCCCATCCCGGCCGGGAAAAGGCGCCCGGGGGCGCAGAGCTGACGGACCCCCGGCGGACGACTCCCTTCGCCTCCACGTCCCCCTCGAAGGCACCGCGGTCCTCAGCCCCCAACCCTGCCTTACCCCGAGCCTCGCCCTCCAGGCTGCTGCGTCTTTGGGGGAAAGCGCCGGGTTTCTGAGCATAAGCAGAGTGCTGGCACGGCCCCCGAGCGCGTGGGAAAGGCCGGGCGGGCTCGGCTATGAGACAGTAGACTCGACAGTCCCTTATCTGAAATGGGATAGGTAGGTTCCCCTGATTGAGCGGGGGGCTCGACTAGAAGACCTCCAAGGTCCCTTTGCAGCTCTTTCATTCTATTCTAAGTCCATCATCTCCTGGTCAGCCGCGGCCCCCGCGATGCTCGAGCCCGCGACTCCGAGAGGTCTCCCGCGGCCGTCGGACCCTCCTGGTCTGCCCAGGGCCGCGCCGGGGACCCCGAGGTGCGCCCCTAACAGCAGCAGCAAAAGCGGGGGTCCCCAGCGGGGCTTTCCAAGACGGGGACCCCCGTTCGCTTCCCCGCCGGGGGGTGTGTGTCTCCCGACCGCCGATAACCGACGCCGGGTGTTTAAAGCAGAGCCCCCACCCCACCTCTCTGCCCATGGGCTGCTACGTGCAGGATGATGGGAGTTGTAGTAAAGCCCATCCGGAGGAAATGAGGCTTCAGATCGGCAGCACCTGGAAGGGGAGGGGGCGCATGATGGGCCCTAGCAAGGCCCCAGAGGGCCCCAGAATCAACCCCGGGTCTCCCACCCAGCTCACTGGATCCTCAGCCCCACAAGCAGTGGAAGAGTGGGACCCTCCCCAAGCCCCCCACCCCAAATTAGACCGGGGGCTGCTTTTCTTTGTGGCTTTAGGTGGGCAGTTCCCCTTTCCGGCTGCCAAGGAAGGTTAACAATTTTGCCCGTTTAGGCACAATCTGGAGCACAGCGTGGGCCCCCCCTCTTTTTCCCATGGGGGTGGGTGGGATACACAGGATCAGCCTTTCCTCAGCCCAGGAAGGGCCTTGTGTTGGGAGGGGGGGCACTCTGAAAGGACCAAAGAGGAGCCCCCTAAAAGTTCCTTGGGCTGATGGTTGGGGGGGTTCACCCTGCTTTGGCGCTCTCAGCACAGGCACCCCCCCCCCTGGCTTTTCCCTCAGGGCTGGGGGGGCTGTGAGGAGTTTAGCAAAGGAGGGGCAGGGAAACATTGGCTCCGGGGGTCAGCTTCCTCCCCACCCACCCCACTCCCACCTTCCCTGAGCCCCCCAGGGGTCAGGGGAGGTTAATGGCCTTTCCGGGGCCATTGCAGAAGACAAAAGAAAAGGATTTTTGTCCCCCCACCCCCCAGGAGGGATTTTCACCTGCTGAATTGCAATTCAGGCAAAAGGGGCAGAGGCTTCTCCCCCCCCCTCTAAAATCCCTGGCAGGCATGGAGAAGAGAAAGGGGGGAAGCTCTTCTGGTCCCCCCCCCCCCCCTGAAATGCAAAAGAATAGCATTACCATAAGATTTAGCCTAGGTCTTTTGTTAGGTTTCACTGCAGGAACCTGTTGGATTTCTGCCTGATAATCCTCTGCCCCACTCCCCCCACCCCAAAAGGAGCCTTGTGCAGCATACACCTCCACACACACAACAAAGAGAGAGACAAACACACATACACACAAGGGAGCAGAGTTCCTGGTGAATTCAGAACAGGGCCGGGAAAATCTTTTGTTTTTCTGGCCAGAAGCTCCATAACCCAGTTTCGGTTACTTTAAAAAAAAAGAAAAAATCAGCAGAACAAACCGAGATGAGGGTTCCAGGTGCCCCTTTTGCCAAACTGGGTCAAAAACTGACCGGAATCAAGAACTTAGAAGACGGGTTATCCAGGATCAAGGCTGAGAGACTGGCTGTGCGTGCCGGGAGCAGGACTTTGGAAGGGCTGTTTTCGAATCCGGGCGGCCAGCGAGCACGTGCAGAGTGCCTTTGCAGCGAATTTGAAATTGGATGGAGGGGCGGAGGATGCAGCTGGGAAGAAGGCAGAGGGGAGGGTGGGGAGGGGAGTTGGGTAGACAGTGGTGTTTAAAGGGAAAATTAAACTGATTAATTAAACTGATTAAACTGATCCAATTTGAAACTGATCCAACTGAGCCAATTAAACTGATCGTTTGGGGGTACACTGGTATAATTTTAAATCATTTTTTAATTGGGTTACTGATTTTAATTTGGTATTGTATTGTGATTTGTATTGAAGTTGTCATTTTGTTAAGCCGCCTTGAGTCCCTAGGGAGAAAGGCGGCATATAAATCGCAATCAATCAATAAATCAGCTCAACATCGGTTGGATTTCTAGCAAGGTGCTGGGTTCTAATCTCACGTGAAGGGTCTAGGAAGAAGCCGCAAGGGAAGGTGGCTTCCAAGGGACGGTCCCAGACTAGGTTTCTGTCCCCCACTCCCCTAAAAGATCCCATTTTGTCCCTCTCTATTACCTGCCAGGGCCTGAAAAGCTTGTGTGTGTTTTCAATTCTAGAGCTTTATGATGGGTGGACTTCAACTCCCAGCATTCCCCAGCCAGCATGGCTGGGGAATGCTGGGAGTTAAAGTCCACTCATCTTTAAGCTCCCAAAGTTGGCAAAACTCCCCCCCCCCAAAATCAGAGCAGCGGGCAACGCTTCATCCTTCAAATATATCATAACCAATACAATGAATTTTCAGACAGAAATCTCGAATCAAGAGCTATCCGGAACCTGGGCTATTTCCCACCTTGGCCATAGCGCAAAGGTGCCCCCCAAATGTGTGCCCAACCGATCCGATACCATCTGGCACATCCACCCCACCCCCCATTGTGAGAATGTAAAGCTTCCTCCCAGGTGAGGGGTGGGGACCCTTGAGGCCATCAAGTCCACCCTCCCCGGCTCGAGCAGCTCTTGCAAGGTGTTGTCCGGCCTTGAAGGGAGCCCACCTCCCCCACCCCATCACCCACTGCCCATCTGCTCCTAGTCTCTCCTTGCCCTTCATTCAAAGGATGCTTTTTGCTGTAACTTGGGAGTAGGGGGGTGGAATGGATGACCTCAAAGATCCCTTCCAGCTCTGTTCTGATTGACCTTCCGAGGGACAAAAGGGGGGGTCTCGGCTTTAATTCTGTCACCAGCCGGTTCTCGACTCAACCAGCAACTGGTTTTAACTGGAGGTGCTGGGAAGCCCCTTCCCCAATGTGTAAGAGACCCGGGAAGCCCCTTCCCCAACGTGGCAGACCCAGACGGAAAAAACCACAAAGGGAATCTCAGGTATTTTTTTTTTTCAAGAGTTGGGTTTTTTTTTTTTTTATTTCTCTTTTTAAATACTGTACAGTGAAAAATAAATAGTCTCAACCGTCACAGATCAAATCCCCCCCCCCATTTCCCCCCCCCACAAACACACAAACTCGAGACCGCCAGGCCAGGCTCTTCTCTTGCACAGTGTTTTCAGAAAAGGGAAAGAAAATGGGGGAGGGGGGACAGGGGGGGCGCCAGGGAGGACCCCCAAAGAGGGGCCAGGCTGCAGGCAGTTCTCCCCCCCCCCTTTTTTTCCCCTCCCTAGCCAGGCAAGGGCTGCCTCCCCCTACTCAGCTTGGACCCCCCGGGGGGGGCAGCAAGGCCCTGACCCAGGTGGCCCTCAGACCCTCGGCCCCCTCCTCCCGGGGGGGGGCTGGCTCTCCCAGGACGGGACCCCTACTCCAAGAAGCAAAACAAACAAAAAGAAACAAAGCACTCAGCTTTTGTGTGTGTGTGTCCGTTGTGTCTGTGTGTGTGTGTGTGTGTGTGTGTTTGCGTTATCAGAAGGCACAGGTTGCTCCCCCCTCTTCCTTCCCCAAGTTTTGAATAGCCGGTTTTATTTATATTTATTTTTTTTTTCTTTCTCACATTTGTTTCAAAACAAAACCAAAACAAAAAAAAAAATTTTTTTTTAAAGTCACCAAAAAAAAAAAAATTGTGAAAAGTTGTCGTATTTTCACACCTGCCCCCCCCCCTCACTACATGCTCCCTTGTCGGCACCTCTCGGGAGAGGGGTGGGGGGGGACTAGGACCAGCTCAGGTAGCCTCGGAGACACACACCCCCCGCGTCCTCTTTCACACACAAGAGGGCAGAAACAAACCAGGATTGGGGAGGGGGGGGCTTCAGACTCCCCTACCCGGCTACCATCACCGAAACTTTTAACCAGGATGCGTTTTAAGAGCCGCGGCACAGAGAGGTTTTTTCCCCCCCGTCTTTGGCAAGCTTAGAACGCGCACGAGAGGAAATACCTGGGGGGTGGGGAGGGAGGGGGGTGGATGTTGGTTTTGTTCTGGTTTAAATGATGGTTTGTTCTGTTGTTTCTGTTTCGTTGAAGGAGACTGGTTGTGGTGATTTATTTCGTTTCTCTTGAAGATGGTGTTGCAAGCAGGCGGGAAGGAGGGATCGTTTCGCGGAGAGGAAGAGGAAGAGGAGGGCCGGGTGGGCGGCACCGGCAGGGCCCTTAGGACACCCCGTTGACCAGGGCGGCCACCTCCACCTCAGCCCCGGCCGCAGCGCTGTGCTCCCCGTTCTCCGAAGGGCCGTTGGCCATCTTGCTGCTCGCCTCTCCCTGGAAGACGGGGGGACGAGAGGGACTTTGGCTTCTCTGCCTTCAACCCCCTGGGACCCCCCCCCTGCCCCCTCCAGAGCCCCCCCCATACCTTCTGCTTGGGGGGGTTGCCGTTCTCGGGGGTCTTCTCCTGGCTCTCCCTGCGGGGGGGTCCCTGGCGGCTCTGAGACTCTGCTCGGGATATGTAGTCTGCGACGGTCACTGCGGAGAGGAGAGCAGAGTGTGAAAACGGACATCAGTCACGTTGTTTCAGTGCCATTGTGACTTCGGTCACTCAAT